TTCAGTCCTGGTTTAGTTTTGTTTCAAATATGGTTTAGTCTAGATTCAGTCCTGGTCCAGTCCTGGCTTAATATCCTAGTCTAATCCAGGTTTGGTCTATGTCCAGTCCTGGTTTAGTCCTGGTTAGCTCTGATTAGGTCTTGGCTCAATCCTGGTTTAGTTCTGGTTTATTCCATGTTCGGTCTTTGTCCAGTCTTGGTTCAGTCGTGGCTCAGTCTTGGTTCAGTCCAGATTCAGTCCTGGTTTATTTTTGCTTCGATTATGGTTTAGTCTAGATTCAGTCCTGGCTTAGTCCTGGTATAATCCCGGTATGGTCTTTGTCCAGTCCTGGTTTAGTCATGGCTCAGTCTTGGTTCAGTCCAGGTTCAGTTCTGGTTTAGTTTTGTTTCAAATATGGTTTAGTCTAGATTCAGTCCTGGTGCAGTCCTGTTTTAGTCCTAATCTCATTCATCCAGGTTTGGTCTATGTCCAGTCCTGGTTTAATCCTGGTTAGTTCTGATTAAATCCTGCTTCAATCCTGGTTTAGTTTTGAGTCAAATATGGTTTAGTCTAGATTCAGTCCTGGTGAAGTTCTGGCTTAGTCCTAGTCTAATCGAGGTTTAGTCTTTGTCCAGTCTTGGTTTAGTCGTTTCTCAGTCTTGGTTCAGTCCTAGTTTAGTTTTGTTTCAAATATGGTTTAGTCTAGATTCAGTTCTGGTGCAGTCCTGTTTTAGTCCTAGTCTCATTCATCCCGGTTTTGTCTTTGTCCAGTCCTGGTTTAGTTCTGGTTAAATCCTGGTTCAATTCTGGTTATTTCTGGTTTAATACAGGTTTAGTCTTTGTCCAGTCTTGGTTCAGCCCTGGTACAGTCCTGGCTTTTCCTAGTCTTATCCCGGTTTGGTCTATGTCCAGTCCTGGCTTAGTCCTAGTCTGATCCAGGCTTGGTCTATGTACAGTCCTGGTTTAGTCCTGGTTCCTTTTGCTTTTTTACAACTGCAGAGAAAAAATAAATAAATAAATTGAAATGAAATGAAAAATTGTACGGCCTGGAAATTGTGTTTTTGTTTTGATCCATAAAAAACATTCTTAGCCTAAAAAGCAAATTGTAGTTAGTTGAAAATTTTATATGTTTACAATTAGATGTACTTTTTTGTTTACATTTATTAGTATTGCCTGGAAATTGTGTTTTTATTTGATATATATATCGTAAGTGCTGCTTTGTTTCTCTTTGCAGTATAATCATTTCTAGATATTTGAACTGTTTAAAATTCCAATATGTCCGTGTTATGATTATTAATTCTACTTTTTTAATCATTCATGTATTTACCTTTAGGGCTGTTAACAATGTGGACGTTTCTAGCCTAATTAAAGTAAGAATTAAATCTTTTGTCGGTGTAGTTTGGTGTAGAATTGTGTATTTTTGTGTGTATTTTGACTATAAAATTCTTATAAAAGTCTTACAGCACCATTTAACTCCCATTTTGACCGTAAATTGTATTAATGTGCTGCTGTAAAGTTAATCTGCAATTATCTTTTATGGCCCTATTGATTTTGTGAGACATGAAGTCCCCAAATCAATAAGTGTAATAACTCCGGTTTCTTTGAGCCATTGTTCCTCCATTTTTAGTCGATCTCTGAGTTTCTCCTTTGGCTCTTGCGCAATATAAATGTCGTTAACGTAATAAATAGGTTTAGAAATTAAGTGATTCATGTGTGTTGGAGGAATCTTTAATCGCGTATTTTCAGCAGAGTTGGGTCATTTTGGTACAAATGAAAAAAAAAAAAGCGTGACCTGCAGCTGTGCATCAGAGGTGCCGACAGCTCCCATGCACTTTCCCGCATATACGAAGAAAATGTGTCTTCCTGTAGTCTGGATAAAGAAGTGGATTAAGGGAATGTGACGTCACCCACGGCGTTCGGCTCCAGTCAAATGAAGCTCATCGAGGCTTGCGGTTACAGAGGTGAATTCATTTAAGGACAAAATAGAGAAACAAAAACACCAGGATCATGTAAAGCAGGTTAACACTGAATAAAACTGACAAGCCTGACAGCAGCAGTTACTGAGAAGGGTGTGACATAAATGTTCAAAAATTACATAAAATCCAGTGCAATATGTTTGTATATTGTGCGTAAAAGTGAAGATTTCTGTTTCCAGTTGATTAATATTTGTCACTGAAATGAAATTTATTGATCAGAAATGCCATCCATCCATTTCCTTCCGCTTATCCGTGGCCGGGTCGCGGGGGCAGCAGTCTCTAAGCAGGGGCTCCCTACTACTTCCTTCACCCCAGACACTTCCTCCAACTCTGAGGCGTTCCCAGGCCAGCCAAGAGATATAGTCCCTCCAACGTGTCCTGCGTCTTCCCCAGGGTGCTCTGGTGGAACATGCCCCGAACACCTCCCGAGGAAGGCGCTCAGGAGGCATTGGGAACAGATGCCCAAGCCTCAGCTGCTCCTCTTAACGTGGAGGAGCAGCGGCTCTACTCCGAGCTCCTCCCATGTGACTGAGCTCCTCACCCTATCTCTAGGGGAGTGCCCAGACACCCTGTGGAGGAAACTCATTTCGATCGCTTATATCAGCGATTTTGTTCTTTCGGTCATTACCCAGAGCTCATGACCATAGGTGAAGGAATGAACGAAGACTGACCGGTAAATCGAGAGCTTCGCCTTTCGACTCAGTTCCCTCTTCACCACAACGATCCGATACAGCGACCGCATCACTGCCGACGCTGCACCGATCCACCTGTCAATCTCACGCTTGAGATTGATTTGAAATGTTTTAAAGTTACACTAAGTGTTAACATGTCTGGAAAAGGGGTCAGAAAACATAAGATTCTTTTCATTTTTGTATGTTTAACATTAGGACACTGTTAATGTCTTTTTATACTTTATGAATAAAATAAATAATAAAACAAACAAAAAAATTCAATACAAAGTTATTTGGACCCAGAGTGAATGGAGCCAGAAGGGCGCCCATGTTCACTTCCTATTTTGCAACGAGACGGTTAAGGGGTTAAAAATGTTCATTTGTACACAGGTCTTGCTGAGTACTGCCGCTATCTAATATACAAGTGTTTCATGGTCCAAGAATCAGGAAGTGTGTGGTCAGCATGCTAGTTGTTCTGAGCTTTACCGTGATGCAGTGAAAAACTACGATGCTCTGAATGCTCAAGGGTCAGTGAGGAATAACTTTGGATCACTACAAACTGTTTCAGGTTGTTGTTTTTTTTGTTTTTTTTTTTTACATTTTTGAGACACCGGCTTTGGTCTCGCCTGATCAGATTTATAATAAAACACAAAGTCTTGTAAATGTCTTTTTGGCGTTGCTGTGGAAACGGGTCTGAAAAGCGTTTATTGCCTCTGCCTGTGGTGCTTCTTGCTCAGACGGGGAGCAGCTGCGGACCCCGGTGTTCTCAGACCGACTGATGGCTTCTGATGGCCCTAATGACGTTGTAGATTTGAGCGCTGATGGTTTGTGACAGTTCGTTTAGACCTGATTAAATGTCTGTGTTTGGGCCATATGCTCCTGGTTCAGAACAGACACCGCAGAGATCGAGCTACGACACCCGAGATCTTTTGTCCTTGTTTTGGTGAATGAGAAGCTTAATGACCAAATAGAGACACAATTCAAAGTTAATCAGGCTGAAACTGATTAATAGAACTGTATTTTCAAATTTGTGTCCGAGTGGTTGTGTAATCTTAGTTTTTGTTTTTGAGTAACATAGATTAGTAAAAAATATAGATGTTTTATTAGTGGTTGTACCTGCTTATCGTGGGAATATCAGGTACCACAGTGGGGCAACAGTGGCTCTAGAAAAGGGGTCTCCAAACATTTTTCCTCCAGTGAGCCTCCTTTAAAAAACTAAAATGCCAGAGAGCTACTCATTTTAGTAGTCGCAAGAAATTGAGTGCCGTGCTTTTCGGATTATAAGGCGCACTTTAAAATCCTCGAGAGTGCACCTTATAATCCGCTGCTTCTTATGTATTAATTCTGGTTGTGCTTACTGACCTCAAACTGATGTTATGTGGCACACGACACTCAAAAATCTGTCAAAATGTTTTAGTACGACTTTGGTAAACTATGAAGCCGCACCGCTTGATGGATTGTCTGAGCATTATGGCATTTTGTTTCTGTAAAACAAATGTGCGCAAAGCTGCAATAAACACATTTGTACTTAATGTATATTTGAGTCCACCTTGTAGGAAATAATAAAAAAAAAAAAAAAACACACATTCACATTCATAATAAACGTTCACTAAGATAGGGAGGCAAAGCCGGGCGAATTATGCCACAATCTGCCGATGGATCGTGAACACTTGAGCTAAGGATCAGTCTCAAGTGTTGTCCGTTTGTTTCTCTTAATGCGCTTTATAATCCGGTGTACCTTATGTATGAAAATAGACCAGAGAATTCAACATTGCTGATATTGTGCTTTATAATCCGGTGCGCTTTATAATCCGAAAAATACCATAATTATAAGAGCCACGGTCTTAGATAGGAACAGTTAGAAGCCTTTAGAACATAAACCATTTTCAATGTATTCATAAAGAAAGTAACGAAAACGATACATTTACAATTTTAATAGTCATTCTATTCATGAAATTTTAGTTAATTATAATTCAGAAATTCCTTGGTGAGGTACTTGGAAGGGGGTGGAGAGCTACTGGTGGCTCCTGAGCTACAGATGGTGGATGCCTCGTCTCCATCGGTCTACACCAGGGCAGCTGTGGCTACAATAGTTTTTTGCCGAGTGTAGAGTGTGGATCTGCAATTCGGGCATCAAATCATTGTGCGAACTTCTATATTGGACTGGTGATTTGAAGAGATCTGACGTGGCTACTCAGAAAATGATTAAGAAATAAAGAAAATAACATTCTCTATACAGTAAACCAATATTTTGAAGTGATTCTTGAGCATATATAAGATTTTGCCGTCACTTGCTCTAATATAATCTATGAGCTATTATAAAAGTTTGTGCATCTTTTTAAATGTTTTTATTTCCCTGTGTGTTTTTTTGCAGTTGGGACGACAGCAGTTCTGTGAGCAGCGGCCTGAGCGACACTTTGGACAACATCAGCACAGACGACGTGAACACTCCGGCCTCGTACACCGGGGGCAGCAGCGCGCAGAGGAAGAGCAAAGCGGGACAGGTGAGCAGAAGAAGTCGCTCAAACATTTTATTTAAATCACGTTTGGAAACACGCGGATGACGACTTCCGGTGTAGTTCCCGACACTGGGCATGTGATAAAACCGTGGATTCAGCAGCAGCGTCTTCACAACCTGCCACAGCTTTTCATGAGGGACGTGACTCTGATTGTTGTAACTGTTGATCTGCCGAACATAACGGAACGCTACAATTACATCTTTTTTTTTTTTAATTAGACAAAATTATAATACACAAATTAATAGGCAGTTTATAAAAGGAAAAAAGAAAGAATTCAATGACATGTAGTTGAAGAAAACCGGGGCATTTTCTCAGTTTTCCCAGATTTTGTCCGACTTACTTTCGCCAAGTCGTCATCCACATTTTCCCAAACATCTTCCGGTTTTATGGCCTAAGCGTGAATAGAGCCTTTTAAAAGCTACAATGTGTAACTTTTCTGGTGGAGGGTTCATCAAATGCTTTTCTCCGTGAAGACGTTATTGCTTACTTGCTTGCTGGAATGTCACGTTGGCGTACACGACGTCGTCACACACAGAGAGCATGCTCAGTGTTTACAGAACATCAGATTTGGGTCACTTCAGGCCGCAGTCTGAACGTGGCCTATTTAACACAAGTAAAACTACTGAACCAAACCAAGTAATGAACATGAAAACCTGCTGTAAGGACTTTAAAATGTGACGTTGGTGGATGGTCCGCTACTCGTTTGTGTTCACGGTAGGGATGGGCATGATTAGTCGATTTAGAATTTCGTCGATTATGCTCATTTTTTAATCGACAAACCGACTGTAAGTTGCTGTGACCAATCGTCTGTTTTTCACATCCTGTCCTGGCCGTCCGGGTTTCTAATTTTTTTTATAAAGTGATGCAAATGTTAGCGTTTTTGTTTCCTTTCAATGGGACATTAAACTGAGCGTCTCTCGTAGCGTCTGTGACTCAGAAGGAGCGAGCAGACACAAACAGTCGGTCAGTCTGCAACATGCAGAAGCACAAATGCACATGAGTTGTACAAGAAATTCCCTGCTTTCCAGTCGAGACAAGTGTGAGGCCATGTCCACAGTGTACAAAGCATGTTTCGGTGTCCAGTAGGGATGGGCATGATTAGTCAATTAATCGATAATTGATCATTAAGAATTTCATCAATTACGTTCACTTAAATCGACAAACCAAATGTAGGTTGCTGTGCGTAGTGTGACCAAACAGGGTCTGTACATGTGTCTCTCTGCACTCAGAAGGAGCGAGACACAAACAGAAACATTCAGTCAGTCTGCATCGTACCGAATGCGTATTTAAATGTGTATTTAATGATGACTTGTATAAGAAATTTCACGCTTTCCGTTTCCGGTCGGGACAAGTGTGAGTCCATGTGCACAGTGTATAAAGCAGCACATATGTTTCTGTGTCCAGTGGGAAAAAGTTTTTCCAGGTGAGAGTCGCTCAATGTCGATGACGAGTCCCCACCTCCCTCCCCCCGTACGGTGTCCTGGTTTTGACAAACGCAAATATGGTCACACTAACCTGTATTCACCTGAGTCATGTCTTTTAATCCGACAGAAGTTGAACCACATCAGCGACACAAGAGCTTTTTTTTCTTCGCTTAGTTTATGCAAATTAGCCTTGTGGTTTTAAGTTTTGTTTCTGTGAGAGTTGCACAAAGCTGCATTAAACACATTATAATGTCAAACGGGCTGATGTGACTCTAGAGTGGTTATGGTTTATATGTCGTAAAGTTGAATTTATTTATGCAGATTAGTAGTGCAGATAGAAATAATAATGATGATCATTTTAATATAAAAACATTAATGATTCATCGAAAATCAGTAGTTAATTCTCCTGACGATCGATTAAGAAAATTTTATCAAATGCCCATCCCTAGTTCACGGAGATGTCATTTCTCTGCCTGGAATGTTCCACAGTGGGGCATTAAACATATCTCTCTTACATTTGTTCAGTTCCAGGTGTTTTATTGCACAAAAATACATTAAAAACATGAATTCTTACCATGTGCCGGCTCCAGTGTGATGACAGAGTTTATTTCCGTACTGTGGAATAATCAAAGGCAAAACAGGGAGAAGAGAAGTCGGCGGACCCTCCAGGAGAAAAGTTCCGCAGTGCACCTTTTACTCTGTGTTCCGGTCTGGAGCTGTGTCAGATGTAAATGAGTCTGGCAGGACGCTGGCTCCTTCCTCGTCGTGTATTTTGCGTTTAGTGTTTTACATAAAGTCAGGGCCAGGTGTGAGCGTGAGGGATGACAGGGGGAGCTCAAGGGCGCTGCTTTTATCCCTCTTTCTACCTCCTCTCCCTCTTTCTTTCCTTATATTTTTCTCTCTTTCTTCTTTTGTTCCTTTTTTTCTCTATCTCCTTGTATTTTGCGCTTTATCTCTTTGTATTTCTCCCTCCTCCTGCTCTCTCTGTCTTTCTCTATCTCCTCCCCATCCCTCTCTCACCCCCTACTCTCTTCTACTGTTTTCCTCATTCCGTTCTCTCTCTTTCTCTCTCTTCTCTTGCTCCATCTGTCATTCTCTATCTCCTCTTCAATCATTCTTTCTCCCTTTCTTTATCTTTTGCTCCCCCTCTCTTCATCACTCCTTTAGCTCCCTCTTGCTTTCTCTTTATTCATATCTTTTACTCGTGCTCTTTCGCTTTCTTTCCCTCCCACTTTTTTTGCTTAGTCTCTCTTTTTTCCGCTCCCCTCTCTCTCTCTCTCTCTTCTTACACCCCGTTCTCTCTTTCTTCTATCTATCTTTCACTCTATCACCCTTTTTTCTCGCTCCCCAGCTTTCTCTCTTTTTTCCCATCTTTCCCCTCTCTCTTTCTCTCTCACTCCACTCCCTTGCTTCTTTCATTATCTTCCCCCCCTCTCTCTCTCTTCTTGCACCTCTCTCCCACTTTCTCTCTCTCTCCCCTCTATCTATCTTTCACTCTCTCTCACCATCTTTCTTGGTCTCACAACCCTCCCTCTCTCTTTCTCCCCCCTCTCTCTCACACACTTCGCTTCCTCGCTCCATTTCATTTTCTTTCCCCTCTCTCCTCTTTCTCTCTCTCTCCTCTTGTACAATTTCTCTATCTCCTCCTCTGTCCCTCGAACTTTTTCCTTTTCTTCCAGCCCCCTCCACTGTTTTTCTCCTCCATCTGTCTCTCTCTCTCTCACTTGTTCTCTCTCTCTGTCTCATTCCGCTCCCTCGCTTTCCTTTTCATTTTCTTCCCCCTCTCTCCTCTCTCTTCTCTCTCTCTTCTTGCACCTCTTTCTCTCTCTCCTCTAGCACAATTTCTCTAGCTCCTCCTCTATCCCTCTGTCTTTTTCCTTTTCTTATTTTTGTTCTTTTCCAGTCCCCCTCCACTGTTTTTCTCCTCTATCTGTATCTCTCTCTCTCTCTAGTTCTCTCTCTTTCTCTCTCTCTCTACTCAGTCTTACTCTTATCTTTCCCCTGTCTCCTCTCTCTCTCTCTCATTTCTTGCACCTGTCTCTCCCCCTCTCTGTTTCTCCTATTTGCCTTTCACTCTGTCACTCTCTCTTGATCTCTTTTCGCCCACAACCCTCCGTCTCTCTTTTTGCCTATCTCCCCCCCTTTTCTCTCTCTCTCTCTCATTCTGCTCCCTCGCTCCCTTTCATTTTCTTTCCCCTCTCTCTCTCTCTCTCTCTCTCTCTCTTCTTGCAGCTCTTTCTCTCTGTTTCCTCTTGCACAATTTCTCTAGCTCATCCTCTGTTCCTCTTTTTCCTTTTCTTATTTTTTTTGCTCTCTTCCAGTCCCCTCGTTTTCCTCCTCTTTCTCTCTCTCTCTCTCCTCTTACTCAGTCTGTCCCTCTCTCCCCCCTCTCTGTTTCTCCCCTCTTCCTCCCCTATCTCCTCTCTCTTTCTCTCTCACTCTTCTTGCACCTCTCTCCCACTTTCCCTCTCTCTCCCCCTCCTATCTAGCTTTTACTCTCTCACCCACTTTCTTGCTCTCTTTTCTCCCTTTCTCTCTCTCACTTCTTCGCTTCCTTGCGCCATTCCCCCCCCCCCCCCGCTGCTCTCTCATTCTCTCTCTTCTCTTACTCAGTCTGTCCCTCTCTCTCCCCCTCTCTGTTTCTCCCCTCTTCTTCTCTCACTACGCTCCCCCTCTCCCTTTTTCATTTTCTTTCCCCTATCTCCTCTCTCTCTCTCTCACTCCGCTCCCTTTCTTTCTTTCTTTCTTTCTCCCCCTCTGTTTCTCCTATCTAGCTTTCACTCTCTCACCCTCTTGTTTGCTCTTTCTTCTCTCATAACCTTCTCTCTCTCTTTTTGTCTATCTTTCCCTCTCTTTCTCTCCCTCTCTCTCTTTCTCTCACTTCGCTTCCTCGCTCCATTTCATTATCTTTCCTCTCTCTCTCTTCCTCTCTCACTACGCTCCCCCTCTCCCTCGCTCCCTTTCACTATCTTTCCCCTATCTCCTCTCTCTTTTGTCTATCTTTCCCTCTCTTTCTCTCTCTCTCACTCACCTCTCTTGCTTCTTTCATTTTTTTCCCCTTCTCTGTCCTTCCTCTGTTCCTCTATCTTTTTCCTTTTCTTATTTTTTGCTCTTTTCCAGTCCCCTCCAGTGTTTATCTCCTCTCTGTCTTGCTCTCCCTCGCTTCCTTTCTTTATTCCCTCTATCGTCTTTCTCTCTCTCTCTCTCTTCTGACTCGCAGCAGAGGCACCATCTGTCCTGGGTGGGCTTCTTATCAGACACAGAGGGTGTGTCAGATTGGACAACAATGGATCTAAAGATAGCGCAAACTTCTCACAAACTTCTGTCGTTAATGAAAGTCGGTTTTGAGTTCGTCCCCGGGTAAATCGAGGTGAAATAAAACCTCGACGTGCGCTCCGACGAGGTGCATCTGGGCTCCCGATAATTTATGTTAGAGTTTGTTTTCATACCTGACGGTTTCAGTTTCGTCCAACCAAAAGATAAAATAGAACCGGAGCGAACCAGGACTGGACCAGGACTGAACCAGGACTAAACCAGGACTGAACTAGGACTAAACCAGGACTAAACCAGGACTGAACCAGGACTGAACCAGGACTAAACCAGGACTGAACCAGGACTAAACCAGGACTGAACCAGGACTGGACTGAACCAGGACTGAACCAGGACTAAACCAGGACTGAACCAGGACTAAACCAGTCCTGACACTCAGGACTGAACCTGGTTCAGTTCTGGTTCAGTCCTGGTTTAGTCCTGGTTCAGGTCACTACAGGACAGTCCTGCAGATATCATGAGCCTATGCAGTTTGTTTTCACTGTTGCCAATAACAAATATAAAAATAAAACTTAAATGTCAAACATTTAAGTTGTATATTATATATATATATATATATATATATATATATATATATATATATATATATATATTTTTATTATATATCTCTCACGTCAGGAAAAGTGGGTGGACGGCGAATCCCCACGTACCACGCCCACTACACCCCTGACTGTAATTGAATAAATGTAAAGTAGAGCTGTTTAATGTCATACTATGGAACATTCAAGGCAGAGCAATGACACATCCATAGAAACAAGCAGGTGATGGACTCTCAACCAAAAAAATGACACAGTGCATCTTTAAATTCCCTGTACCTGCAACAGTTGTCTTGTTCTAGTACAGATATATTCATTCTATAAGTAGCTCTTGAGATCAAAATAAGTCAGCTGTGTTCTGTTTGCATCTAATTTTAAAGCATTTTATAATTTGATAATGTGTCTGAAGTGTGTGTTAGCATGCTAGTTGTTTAGTGTTAGCTTTATCATAATGGCAAAACTCTTGAAGTTGTGAAAAGCATTTATAAAACTCAAAATTGCGGGGAATAATGTGAGTGAGGCGTGACTTTGGACAACTGCAAACCGTTTAAAATGATCTAGTTTTGTTTTTCACATTTTTCAAGGGCAGTGCTTTTAATAGTTCATTGATATTCATGTATTGATCCCCATTTTTCTCTCCCCCCCAGTCCCAGAGAGGCAGCCGGTCGAAGCATGCAGAGTCAGAGGTGAGCAGTAGCTGGGCCGGAGCAGAGGACCTGAAGAAGGTGGAGGAGGAGCAGGACGGAGGAACCATGGACCAGAGCGGCGGATCTCAGAGATGGAAGCCCACGGCGGCATCTCCCTCTGCCCAGACACAGACCCACCAGGCCCACCAGACCCACCAGACCCACCAGACCCACCAGGCCCACCAGACCCACCAGACCCACCAGGCCCACCAGGCCCACCAGGCCCACCAGGCGCAGTACGAGGAGCAGGGCCAGAAGGGGGCAGCACTGGGGCAGGTGTCTCAGACTGGCTCCTGGAGAAGAGGGATGAGCGCTCAAGTTGGAATCACTCCACCGAGAACCAAAACCCCATCGGCTGCGCTCAAAACAACAGGTAAGAAAGAGCAATACATGGTTACAGCGTCAATTAAAGCAGCTCTATTACGCAAATCAACTTTTCAGAGCTTTTAACCATGTTGTGGTTGTTTCTGCTTCTCATTTACTCTCTCAAAGTTGTGTTTGGAATGATTCTTGCATGTTTGAGCAATCTTTAATCACTTATGTTAAAGACGCCATGTTACAGATCATGTCATTTTTACCGTCCCTGGTAAGGCAAGGCAAGTTTATTCGTACAGCACAATTCGTACACAAAGTAATCAAAATGCTTTACATAAGAATAAGAAACACATTAAAATCACAATACAAACTAATCAGAACATTAATATTCATAAAATTAAAGAGAGAGAGAGCGACATTAAAGGGACAGTCCGGAATTTTGGACATAGGACCTTATTTCCTCGTGATCCAGAGTGTTGGAGACGTGTGGAGACACTTTAGACTAGTGCATAGTTCTCCTGCCACTAAAAACAGTCTTACCCACTCCACAAAACACCCAAAGAAAATCTATTATTACACCAAACTGTCCATGTGAATGTCTGTGTTGATAGAATAATTTTAGAAGTAAAACCAACCTTACATTTGAAGGATTTATGTCTGAGCAGCAGCAGTGAGTTGTACTTCCTGATATAAAGCTCGGCAGCGGGGGACTGATATCACTTAGCACTTATCTTACCGGCAAAGTAAAATGCCGCTGCTGCTGCTGAGAAAATAGTCCCTCAACATGTGACAATTCATGCGATGCAAGGTTAGTTTTATTTCAAACATTATTCTATCAACACAGACATTTACATCGATAATCTGGTGTGATAATAGATTTTCTTTGGGTGCTTTGTGGAGTGGGTAAGACTGTTTTTACTGGCAGGATAACTAAGGCAAACTTAAAAAAGTGTCTCCACACGTCTCCAACACTCTGGCTCAATAGGAAATGAGGTCCTATGTCCAAAAGTCTGGACTGTCCCTTTAAATGAGAGAGAAGAGTGGGTAAAGAAAACCTTTCAGTCACACGCAGATAAACAGAACTGTTTTGACCCTGGATTTAAACAGAGTCAAAGTAGAGATCTGTCTTACATGTTCACACTGTTCAAGGTTTTAGCTGCGTGAACCTGAAACTCTGACTCTCCGTGTTTAGTCCAGACTCTGGGCACCAGCAGGAGGCCGGTACCTGAGCTCCTCAGACTGTGAGATGGTTCATATGACACTAACATGTCACAGATGGACTTTGGAGCTCGGCCATGGAGAGACTTGTATAAAACAGAGCCGCTTTAAAGTCTCTGCGCCACAGGGGGCAGTGCAGAGACCTGGGCAGAGGACGCATGTGCTCGTACTTCCTATTTCGAGTCAGGACCCGAGCTGCAGCGTTCTGGATGTTCTGCAGCGTGTCACAGCTCGTTTGGAGAGACCAGTGAGAAACCGTTACAGTGTCTAACCTACTGGAGACAAACGCGAGTCTGATTTAGACAGTGTACCTGATTTTTGCAGTTTTTTTTTTTAGATGGTAAAAGGCTGCAGATTGATTATTGATTTGATGTGACTGTTAAAGTTAAAGTCTTACCCTCATTGCTTTCTGCGTACTTCGTTCTTCAATTTTATTTCCCAAAATCGATGATACACCTAGGATTCGGCAGGTGTAGTAGTGTTATGTGCAGCTATGGAGACGCCGACGCCGACTCTTTGTTATTTTGTTGTTTACGGCGACGCCAGCTCCTATTGGGCACCACAGTTTACTAACGCGGAAGACAGCGAACTTGTTTCTCTTATTAAGTCTTTTTAGATGAATATTGTGATTCAAAATGTCCAAATTATAACAGAATGATGATTATAACTATAGAGCAAACACCAGCACAATAGGTCTTCTTTAAACCTTTTTCTATAATAAATTGTCAATTAAAACAGTGATTGCCAAAGCGGGACTGAGAATTATGAAACTGTATTTAATCTCTTTAGTGGCAGCACCATTAAACCAACTTACGTCAGGTCTGTGGAGCCCAGTCACACTTCATGTACACAAGCAGGTGAAAAGTTAAAACTGATGTAATAACACGAGCTCTCATAATTCACTAAAAGTTTTATGTTTAACTATATTCAGTGCGATAACATTTTTATAGAAACTGCAAATATACTGTTTTCATTCTGTTCATAATTTTAGAACAGTTGATTGCGTTTGACGATGGGAAGTGCTGCTCCGAGGAAATGCATTATTCATGAATGTGTAATGAAAGAGCCGGAGCAGAGTTTGGTGAATATCTGAACATAGAAGTCTGTTGTTAAAGTGGTTCAGCGGCAGCAGCAGGTTTCTGTGTAATCATGAGAGTTTTTTTTCTGTTTTAATGAAGTCTGGATTTGTTTCAGCGCTCAGATAAAGTCACTCCTGCCTCCTGAATCTATGTTTGCTGCAGAGTATAAAAAAACACATTGTCTAACTTTGCTTTTAGGCTTTTGAGTGTTTAAAGGTGCACTGCGTAACATTTCTAGTGGAGCGTCTGCCACCTGCTCATCTCCATGGAGATGTTACTGCTTTGTCTAGAATGTTCAACATGTATATTAAACCCATCTATCATGAGGGAGACAAGCGGACAATGATTTTGAGCAATAGAAACATTTGTAATGAATAAATGCCAGGTGGATTTGTTTAATGTCATACCACGGAACATTCCTGGATGCAAAACAACTTTCTCTAGCTAAACTCAGACAAGACAGAAGTCATAGTGTTTGGCCCACAGAAACAAAGCGACTGTCTCTCTAAAATCTTCAAATCAGGCAAGAAATTTAGGGGTAATAATGGACCCAGACTTGAACTTTAACAGCCACATTAAGTCAATAACATCTGCAGCCTTTTACCATCTAAAAAAACAACAAAAATCAAAGTTTTAGTGTCTAAATCAGACTTGGAAAGACTTGTCCATGTGTTTGTCTCCAGTAGGTTAGATACTGTAATGTTCTGCTCACTGGTCTCTCCAAACGAGCTGTGAGACGCTGCAGAACATCCAGAACGCTGCAGCTCGGGTCCTGACTCGAACCAGGAAGTACGAGAACATAAGTCCTGTGCTCAGGTCTCTGCACTGGCTCCTGTGACTCAGAGACCTTTAAAGCGGCTCTGCTTGTGTACAAGTCTCTCCACGGATGAGCATCAAAGTCCATCTGTGACATGTTAGTGTCATATGAACCATCGGCACTCTGAGGAGCTCAGGGACCAGGCTCCTGCTGGTGCCCAGAGTTTGGACTAAACACGGAGTCAGAGTTTCAGATTCAAGCAGCTACAACCTGTAACAGTCTTCATGAAGATGTGAGACAGGCCTCTACTTTGACTCAGTTTAAATCCAGGCTCAAAACAGTTCTGTTCGGCTGCATATGACTGAAAGGTTTTCATTTCGCACTCTTCTCTCTAATTTATTTAAATTTTATGATGATTATTTATGTTTTGATTTGTTTTTATTGTGATTTTAATGTTCTTCTTATTCTGTATAGCACTTTGAATTACTTTGTGTACAAATTGTGCTGTACAAATAAACTTGCCTGGCAATGCAATAACATTAGAAAAGTTGCACAGTTCAGTGTAGACATATTCATTTTTGTTTTGTTTTTTTTTTTTTTTTTTTTTTTAATTAAGGCTTTAAATTGGACTAAAATGGGACTTCCCTTGGACTGAATGAGGATGAACCTTTCTGAGTCTGCGTTGTAATTTCCAGAAAAGTACCCAAAAATAGTAGGAGTAAAATTGTTTCCAAATTAAAGGTGCACTTTTCTGGTGGTTTAGCTGTCAGCTCGTCTTAACTGAAATGGTATTGCTTTGCCTGAAATGTCCCACTGTGCACCCATCTGTGTTGACTTTATACAATTGCTAGTGTTTTTATTGCTCAAAAAGCCCTTAAAAACATCTAGATTCCTATCGCCACAGATCTGACCTGTAGCTTGACTGCTTGCCACTTGCTTGTCACCATGGAGATAGCTAAGATTAATGGCATACTGTGGTATACGGTATATTCCAGGCTGCACAATATCTCCGTAGATAAGCAAGTGACAATCCAAACGGAGATTTTTTCGGTTTCTAATACTGTCTGAAAACTGAGGTGGATTGTCGTTGTCTCATTGAGAATAGTCACCGTGAACGATCTTAAAGGGACAGTTCGGAATTTTGGACATTTTTTTCCTACTTATCCAGAGTGTTGGAGACGTGTGGAGACACTTTTTAAAATATTCCATCCAGTCCTTGTATTTGCAGAGGTCGCTGGTGTAAACTAGTGCATGTCAATGGTCATAGTTTATCCTGCCATTAAAAACAGTCTTACCCACTCCACAAAACACCCGAAGAAAATCTTTTATTACACCAGACTGTCAATGTGAATGTCTCTGTCGATAGAATAATTTTAGAAATAACACCGACCTTGCATTTGAAGGATTTATGTCTGAGCAGCAGCGAGTTATACTTCCTGACAGAAAGCGCCGCAGTGGTGGACTGATATCACCTAACGCACCGTCAAATGCAAAGTCAAATTCCGCTGCTTCTGAGAAAATAGTCCCTCGATTCATGCGATGCAAGTTTAGTTTTATTTCAAACATTATTCTATCAACACAGACATTTACATGGACAGTCTGGTGTAATAATAGTGCATCAGTTTTATATAGCGCTTTTTTTGGACACTCAAAGATGCTTTACAGTTCATTATTCATTCACTCCAGACCCGGTAGTGGTAAGATACTACTGTAGCCACAACTGCCCTGGGGCAAACTGACAGAAGTGCGGCTGCCAATCTCCGCCATCGGCCCCTCCGACCACCACCACCACTCACACACCACTTTCATACTAAGCAATGTGGGTGAAATGCCTTGCCTAAGGACACAACAACAGTTTTGTACAACTGGCACCTGATTTTCCCAGTGTCTCCCATCCGTGTACTAACCAGACCCGGCCCTGCTGAGCTTCTGAGATCTGACGGGATCAAGCTTCCACAAGCCGATACGGCCACATAATAGATTTGCTTTGGGTGCTTTGTGGAGTGGGTAAGTTGTGATTGCTTTGTCTGGAATGTTTCACAGTATGGCATTAAATCTTACTATATTCATGAAGACCCAACCAGACCAAGATACAGGTCAGATCTGTCAGAATGCCTGTTTTCCTACGTATTTTTGAGCTTTAATCCTCTCAGGCTCAAATTAAATTTTAGTAACAGGAAAAAATCTGATATTTGGGGAAAATGATCATATGGGGTAGTAATATACAGTCCTGACTTTTTTTTGAGAGAAACCTTCACATCCAGTGTGTTCTGGGATGTTACAGATTTGCAGCATTGGTCCGGTGTGGGAAATTAACACTGAAGACTGAAAATGATATGAACACTAACTTTATTTGTAAACCACTTTTCATAACAATGAAAACAGAAAGCACAGTGTAACAGCTTTACAGTGGCAGAACAACATCACTTTTTCGTGTGATGCTCTAAAAAACAATTTTTATCCTTTGTAAAGCACAAAAGTACTTTGCACTTCTGGCCATTTGTGTGTAGCCGTTCTTGCATAGTCTGCATCGTCCACGTTTATCAGCATGATGGGAAAAAAGGCTCCTGAGTAAAAAAGCTCATAAAATATGGATTTGGAGTAAGTAGGTAATTGGCATTTAGCTGTTGCAAATCTGCAACACCTGCCTGGAGAGGGTTAAAACCACCTGTTATTGCATAGATGTAAGGTAGAGCTGTTTAATGTCACACTGAGGAACATTCCAGACAGAGCAATGACATCTCCATAGAAACAAACAGATGACCCCCAACTAAAATGTTACATAGTGCGCTTTTTGTTCTGTTGACGGAATAATTAATCCACATTTACTTCTTGTCTTTAGGTAAAACCGATGACGCCAAAGCTTCAGAAAAAGGCAAAGCTTCGTCAAAATCTGCTTCTGGAATCCAGCGCTCCCCATCGGACGCCGGCAAGAGCAGCGGAGACGAGGGCAAGAAACCCCCGTCCGGCATCGCGCGCCCGCCTGCGTCCACCTCGTTCGGGTTCAAAAAGCTCCCTGGACCTTCCGGAACTCTCATCACCTCCAGCGGCGCGACGTTGGCCAGCGGTTCGGCCACGCTGGGGAAAGCCCCGAAGTCCCAATCCGCTCTGGGCAAAGGAACGGCGATCGTCGGCGCGCGGAAAACGAGCTTGGACGGATCCCAGCCTCAAGACGACGCCATTTTGATCAGCTGCGGGGGATCCAAAATGTCGCTTCAGTACCGCTCGCTTCCAAGACCGGCGAAATCGTCCAGCGGTGTCGCGTCGAGGAGTTCGCACCGCTCCAGCTCGAGTAGCATAGATTCAAACGTTAGTATAAAATCGGGAACCCAAGCTGCAGGCGCCAAGAGACGAGACAGCGGTAAAGTCTGTTCGGATCGCTCCAGTCCGATCACCATCAGCCAAACGGAGAACAGCAAAGTGTCAGACCAAGAAAATACTTTGGCCGGACTGTCAACGTCACCAAAGTCGAGCCCTACCTCTTCGGGACAATCCAGTCTGAGGCAACCGGGGTCCAAGTATCCGGACATCGCCTCTCCAACGTTTAGAAGGTAAGACTTTTGAGATAATATGTCGTTTTTGTGTCTAATTTGTCTTTCACTGTTGCGTATTTTCCATTTGGCACCAACATTTCACTGTTCATTGTTGATGTGAAAGTTGTTTTGTGTCGTCCGTGCATTTCTTTCACAGGTGTAGGCATGGAAAAATAAATTATATTGATACTTTGCAGCTGATAACGTCAACATTCGGTGGGGGTGTGATGCTAACTGGAAGCACTACTCTGTCTAAAGCTCTGTTAATCGAGTTAGGCTTTAATCCGAGCTTTATTTTAACACAATCTGACCAGAAAGAGATGGTTTAGCTGGAACTACAACAGGTGAGATGCTCTTAAAGAAATCTCTCAGGGCCAGTGAATGCTTGCGAGTAAAAACGACTAAATATTTTATCAGAAGTGCCTTTCGTTTAGACGGTGACGCCGTTTTTTGGGGGCTTAAAAACACAAAAATCTGAAACCACCTTCCAGAGTGGAAAAGTTGAATACGCGCCGCCGTAGAGTTTCCGTCTACACTGCCCAAGACGCAAAAATATGGTCACATCTGCTCATGTCGCGTACACATTTACGTCACATACATACAGTACACAGAAACAAACATGTCGGATCGTTTCCATGCGTCGGACCTTCAACAAACGTAGAGAATCTGCAGAGATACTATTAGTGAACAGAGGAGGATCTGCAATCACCTCTGTCAAATTCTGGATGCACCAGGTCATTGTAGGCGAGTCAGACGGATACGGACGAGACCTGGAGAACCAGTCAACTTTGTGGAAGGAGGAGCTGATGAAAATGTGTGTCGTGAAACTTCCGTATGTCCAAAGACGCCCTTGTTGCTTTAAGTACAAACATACGCAATCGAATTCCACACACTTTTGCGTCACCATACGCTCGCAGATTTCCTCCCCAAAACGCTCGTCTAAACGGGGAATAAAAAGTGAAGACGCGACGCCACTTTTACGTCTTCTGTTCAGACCGTCGTCATATAAACGCATCCTCAAACGTAAAATTACCTTCACAAGCTACCAATTAGTATTCAGTTAGTCACTCTCACCTTTTTGTTGGAAATCAAACACCTAAACAGCACCATGAACGCTCTTATCGATTACCTGAAAATGTGCTGTTTAAATCCATTTATTATTTTTTCCACGAGCTTTCAAGGCATTATTAAAAGATTTTGGCTCATGTTTTTACTGAAGTGTGCATTGACAAACATTTTGCTAGTAGAGATATATGTAGAACACCCCCACCATGGTGTCACTGCAAAGTATCAATACGATTCAAAAGAGAAAAGAAACTAGTTTGTTTATTTGTTTTCAGTGGGGAAAAAGTTAGTTAAGTCTATTTTACTGCCCCAGATAACACTAGGGACAGAAGATGGAAAGTACAGTTCATCTTTTCTTTGGTGAGATACAGGAATTTGTGCACAGTCCCTGGCTAATAAAAAATAATCTGAACTAAGTGAAATATAATATAAAAACGCAGAGCAAGTGAGAGCTTCAGGATCTTAGTTAAAAGTCCTCAACAGGTGCTCTTCAAGGACGAGGCTCAAAAAAGAAAAACAACATCGCCCTCTCTCTGTATCTGCTGCTGTCAGGCTCCTCATTTTGATCTTAAAATGTTCATGTATGTACCCAGTCTCCATGATCCTGGTGTTTTTATTTCAGTATTTTGTGCATAAATCAATTCCTAACATGGAACTGGCTCCAAATTTTCCACTATAACTCAGAAGAAGAGAAGAGGTAGAGCGCTTCACTGCGTCATAAAAAAGTCAAAAGTAGCAGTACAGGTGCTCTACGAGGGTTAAACCTGAAATCTAAACAGAATGTTGCTCTTACTGAAAAATGTAAATGTGTTTAATGAGACCTGTGTGTCCTGTTCCACCCACATGCCCTGACGAAGACCATAATAAAGGACTTTTTTATACCGTATTTTTCGGACTATAAGGTGCACTATATTTTAAGGAGTAATATCAATAATGTTGAATTCTCTCGTCTATTTTCATACATAAGGCGCACCGGATTATAAAACACATTAAGCAAAACAAATAGAGACACTTGAGACTGATCCCTTAGAGAATTAATTAATCATTCATGTTTTTATATTGAAAGTATCATCATTATTATTACTATTACTAATCTGCGAAAATAAACTCAACTTTACAACATATAAACCATAACCACTCTAGAGCCACAGAAACGAAACTTAAAACCGCATGGCTCATTTGCATAAACTACACCTACATTCAGCTTGTCGATTAAAAATGAACGTAATCGACGAAATTCTTAATGATCAATTATCGATTAGTCGACAAATCATGCCCATCTTTACCCTTAGCCCAGGCGTCTACGATCCATCGGCAGATTGTGGTATAATTGTCTTGGTGAATGCAGGTGGATAATTTAAGTTAGTTTTTTTTTTATTTCCTACGAGGATGACTCAGATATACATTCAGTAATAATGTATTTAATGCAGCTTTGCGCACATTTGTTTACGTTTTACAGAATCAAAACTTAAAACCACATGACTCATTTGCATAAACTATAAATGCTGAAAACAAAAAACAGCTCGCTCCTTGTACGCTGATATGGTTCAGCTTCTGTCGGACTAAAGGACACGACTCGGTGGAATATGAGTGTTCTTTCTGTGACAGAGGATGTGCTGCTGATGGTGTTACTCCGCGAGGCTCCTGACTCCTTCAAGCGGCGCGGCTTCGTAGTTTACCAAAGTCATACTAAAACATTTTGACAGATTTTTGAGCGCCGTGCACCACAAAAAATCCATTTGAGATCAGTAAGCAAAACCAGAATTAATACGTAAGTCGCACTGTCGATTGTTAAGAAAATTTAAGGATATTAAGTGCGCCTTATAGTCCGAAAAATACGGTATTCAGTCGGTGTGACTCGGGTTTGTACCTTGCCAATCTTTACATTTTTCAGTAAGAGCAACATTCTGTTTCGATCTCGTTTCATTAGACTGGAGCTGAATACTTTGGGTGACGTCACACTCCCTGAGCTCACTTCTTTATACAGTCTATGGTCTTGGTTTATTACTTTACAAACCCCATTTCATTCCTTTCATGTATGATGTATATTATTACCTGCTACGGCCTCATTTTACTGTCCGTGTGTGTTTGATATGGCACTGAAGATAGAACACAGCTCCCTGAATAGACTTTCCTTCGTATTAACCCAACGCTATGTTCAAACACGATATCAAAACAGACAGGAGTTTCCCCGCCTCATTTCCTAAGTCATTACGTAGCATATTTCCAAACTGCTTCTCGTGCTTCCACTTCTACCCGCCATATTTTTTCACTGCTACGGGATTTGACGAGCTAAAGCAGCATAAGGAGAAGTAAATATATGAGACAGCCGAGTGTGAGCGGCGAACAGAGCAGCTTAAGCCAAACGGCGGAGCTCAGGCCAAGCAGTTGTGTCAATGTTAGCATGACAAGAGACGTTTTCACTTATAAGTATGTGAGATGTTGGTTAAATGTGTTCTGAAAGGTGCACTGTGTAACTTTTTGGTTGGGGGGGGCATGTCATTGTCATTGCTCTGCCTGGAATGTTCCACAGTGTGACATTAAACAGCTCTACCTTACATTTATTCAACAGATGCATCACAAATTTCGGTCATCACACAATCCATACTGGGAAGGATTTTCCGAAAAAGTGAGCATCAAACCGCCATGTTTGTTTTCCCAGTGGGATGTGTCTATTGTCAAAGTCGATCTTTTCAAGTTTTTGAACCATATCGCTTTTGTTTCTGGTTCTGATATTGTCATATTTTAGTTTTGGGATTTGGACATCGTAATTGTGTGGTTGTTGGATCCTAACAGCGGAAAACGGCTCGAGAAACGGGCTTTGGAAGTTTGCGAACTCCATAACTGCAAAAGTGAATCAGATGTGTGTGACTGCAAACCTCCGTTCAAACTGTTTCTCTTTCCAACGGAATTGAAAAATAGTGAAAGGTGAAGGCGATGGGCAGGATTCATCCACAGGAAGGACCAAAAAGGAAACATTTGGCTGTCTAAGAAATCATCCTGAGTTTGCAGAGAACATTTTGTATGTGGAGCGACAACAAAACAAAATCCCGTTTGTTAAGTAAGAGGTACAGGAGACAAACAGACTGAGCTGCACTTTCTTGTTCCTTTGGCTTTACAGCAACATCACGTCTTGGTCTCTTTGCAGTGGAAGGTGATGTTCGCTGTAAACTCAGGATGATTTAGGCAGTCAAAGATTTCCTTTTTGGTCCTTCCTGTGGATCAATCCTGCCCATCGCCTTCACATTTCACTATTTTTCAATTTCATTGGGAAGAGAAACAGTTTGAACAGAGGTTTGCAGTCACACACATCTGATTCACTTTTGCATTTATGAAGTTTGCAAACTTCCGAAGCCCATTTCTCGAGCCGTTTTCTGCTGTTAGGATCCAACAACCACACAATTACGATGTCTGAATCCCAAAACTAAAATATAATATCAGAGCCAGAAACAAAAGCGATATGGCTCAAAAGACTAGAAAAGACTGGCTTTGTTAATAGACGCATCCCACTGGGAAAACAAACATGGAGGTTTGATGCTCACTTTTTCGGAAAATCCTTCCCAGGATGGATTGCGCAATGACTGGAAGTCCGAGATTCGTGATGCATGTATTACAGGTGGCTTTATAGCTCAAAAATACCAACCACACTGAAACATTCCAGACAAAGCAATAACATCTCAACTGGGAAAAGCATTTGATGGACTCTCGACCAGAAAAGTTACACAATGCAGCTTTAAGATACAAGTTGTGCCTCTTCAGTCTGATGCCCTTCCTGCTGCTTGAAATCATCGCTTACAAATTGTCACTGCTTCATAAACCATTGGCTATTAACGACCCAAATGTCCTACAAAGTGCAAAGTATGTCGACAATGTAAATGCAGTATATTTAATTTTTTGTATTCAAATTGACAAAAAATACTTGAGAATAAAAATGAATGTAGAAAAGCCATTTTTACTTCAATAAATTTTGCTACTGGGGATTTATTGTTGGACATACATTTAAAAAAATATTTCTGACGTGTATTTCCAGGAATGTCTAACATGATCAATATTCTAAACAAAATCTAAGGAAAGTCACAAAGCACTTTACAGTAACTACACCTAATAAACCTGTAAGACTTAATTCATAATGTACAAATAGTTAATTAAGAATGATTCAGGCTTAGTAACTACTTCATTAATACTCTAACCCTAACCACTAACCTCTTAATTAAGCAGTTACTAAGCCAGAAATGATCTTAATAAACAAATAATAATGTATTTGTTCCTTGTGAATTAAGTCTTTGCTCATGGTTTATTAAAGTTATAGTATGTAACGTTTTTTGCCCAAAAAAGTAAGATTAAAAGCATGTTTTTTTTTTCATTGTGGGTGTGTTTATCGCACTGAAAAACATAGAAAACATGCATCTTTACGGTGAGTGGGCTTGCATCTCCACAAACCTGACTCATACTTGGCCTGGAGGTCAGTGTCAGTCCATGGAGAATTCAGAGTGTGGTTTTAACTCTTTAACTCTTGATTTTTCACCTCCAGAAAGTGACATATTATCACTTTAAGGCTCATAAGGTGTTGTTATTGAAAAGTGCAAACAAATACTATTTAGATTAAAGAAAATGGAAACAAACCTAAACTAATCAAAACTATTCTTCTATCTTCTACCTGTTACAGCTGAAAGAGCTTTAGCCCAATTAACATTCCCTGAAGCATTGCACTTTGTAGGACCCACTAACCCCCTCTCCTCTGATTCCTAAAACTTTCCATTGCTCAGCAGATTGTGGCGCTCTGAGCATGTCTAAATTCTCTGACCCTCAGACTGTTCGGCTCCAAAGCGAGCAGCAAGGCCAGCACCCCCGGGACCCCCGACTCCGGCCCCCACGGGACCCTGGTGCGGCAGCCCAGCCTGGACTCTCCCTCGTCGGGCACGGGGAGTCTGAGCGCGGGGGCTAGCGGAGGCAGCAGCCCTCTGTACGGTAAAGGTCTGGAGCTGTGCAGTGACTCCTCCGGCCTGTCCCTGCCCTCGGCCTCTCGGGTCTGGAACAGTAAAGACACTCTGAGCTGCCAGAGCATGAGCAGTCTCCACACCAGCTCCGAGTCCATAGACCTGGGCCTCCACCAGGGCACTAAAGTGTCCCGCACCGGCAGTGTCAAGTCCACCCTGTCTGAGGGGTGAGTAAGGCTGGGCCTGGACCAAAGCAAAGGGTTGTTTCATTGGACGACTGAGATAAGAAGCTACAGTGGGATTATTTTATCGTATCATAGTAGTTAAAGTTAGTCCAGTTAAAGGTTGTTGTGTTTTGGTTCATTCACACATGTTTGAGTAACACTTTATTATTAATCTGTACATCTCCAAAGCTCAAAATGCTCTGTTCCACCTTGTGATGTCATGAAGCAGTAGTTTTTAAGTCAACAGCTTTTTTTTTTTCAAATATTTGTATAAATTTCCAGACCAAAAATGTTTACATGAACAATTGACCACATTAACATCGGTCAACATAACCAAAAAAAAAAAAAAAGAAAGAAAGAAAACAGGCTAATTCACACACTCACACACACATACACACATTCACATATTCAGTAACAATGCTTGAACAATACAATTTATTAGCCATAGGTAAGTCAAATATTCAGTGGAAATATAATTCTTAAAAAGGGAAAATGGTTAGAAGAGAGAGAAGTAGAAAAAATACATAAATAAAAAAAATGAAATCATCACCAGTGCCAAGTCCAGCAGCTTTTACATTTTACCTTTTGTTCAGTAGAATGTGGCAATTCCAGATCTGAAATAATCCAAATGATTCTAGTGAAGGTGTATGGAGTTTTAAAACGCAGTGGGGCACTTCCTGTATCACCACGTGACATCACAAGGTGGAGCAACGAGTGTTTTTAGTTTGAGAGAAGAACTCAGCCTAAATGTGCAGGGTTTGTGTGTTAAATAAACGTGTGAATGAAACAAAACACAACTCCAGGTGTGTTTTAGATGAGGAAACATTAAAACAGATCAGAAAATAGCGTAGAAACACACTTTAATTTAATCTCATCCAACTTGTTAAAACATAAACAATATTATTTTGCACATTAGCTGCTATGAAATGCAAATTATCACATAGAAGAATTAGTAATTAAGCCAAATACCAGCGCTAGTTCAGTTTAGTGCAGTAGTTTCATGCACAGGAACCATAAAGTACATTGTAAGTCTCATTTTCATTAGTTTTAGTCTTCCATCGTATTCTCTGTACGCACTTTCAAGTAGCAGAAACAGACATTAGCTGTTATTAAGTGTCGCCATTACATTTTTTACAAGTCTCCAAAATGAAACAATGGATTTTACAGTGTGTTTTGGTGGGATCTTGTCTTCTGTGTCCCGTGTCTTGTCTGTAAATGTCTTTTTCATTCATAAATTTGTCATTGGTGTTAAATGTAAGGGTTTTCTTTTCTCATGGTGCACTGCAAAAAAGAACGTCCAGGTTGGTTAAAATGACTTGAACTTTCTTTCAGTATATTCGCATCGCATTTTGAGTAAAAGCGTGAAGTAGGAACGTAGGAAGGAGTCTGTACAAACATGTGTAGTCTGAGCTCGAGTCTGATCTCCCAGATTTCAGATGAGCATGATTGACAGACGGTGTGTCCAATCAGAGAAACACATGCTCACTCTGTATCAAAACAAACATGGGGAAAAGAGAAAAACATTAATACATTAAAACACAGAGAAACGAATCAGAATCAGAAACGATTTGTGTCTAGACACGTTGTTTCTGTGTCCACAATCCTTCCCTATCCACACAGCTTTGAGCATATTTGTTTACATTTTACAGAAATTAAACTTAAAACAACATGGCTCATTTGCATAAACTAAGAGCTTAAAAAAACAGCTCGCTCCTTGTGCGCTGATGCGGTTCATCTTCTGTCGGACTAAAGGACACGACTCAGTGGAATATGAGTGTTCTTTCTGTGACAGAGGGGTGTTCTGCTGATGGTGAGTCTGTTCTGTGCTTCTATCACGTTGGAGATGGTTCATATTAAACTTTTCAGAAATTATACGTCTGCAGGTCGTACGCACAGACACACGTTTATATGAATGGACATATATTCTTGCCTCTTAGTGTTTTGGAGGTGAATTACTTCGCTGCACATAGACCTACATCAGAGTATCAGCGTTTTCAGACGTCCACACAGTGCCGGATCAGATTTGTTCTCAGATGAATTCGTGGGAGTTGGCAGCACCAGATCGTTCCGTCTCTGGAGCCGTTTTCCATCAGATTAGTGTGAATGAACACTGAATCCACAAAGAAAATGACTCGAATATGAACTAGTGTGGATGTGTCCTTAGTTTTAAGTCCACAGCAGGTGCTCCTCAAGGACGAATCTCAAAAGCGAACAGATGAACAGTGAAGATGACCAGGCTTGTAATGTAAAAACTTACTGTGATAAAGTAAAAAGCGGTTACAAAGTCCAAGGCACTCTGTTGAAATTAGAATAAAAATCCTTTAATGGTTTCATGGGACAAACAGATGCATTTCGACACATGTGGAGTCTTAGTCAAGGATCTCCAACATGTAGCTACCAGGAGATCTCTGGAAGAAGAAGGTTGGAGACCCGTGCATTAATACTTTATCTTAGGAAAAAAAAAAAAAAAACTGTCTACAAAGCTAAAACTCATAATCTTTGCAAGTCCAGAAGGATGTCACAGACTTGTTTTTTACAGCGACGCGTGTGAAACGAAGGAGCTCATTGGTCAAACATTATTGTGAACAAAATAAAAAACTCAGTCATTGATTCTGCAGCAATCAGTCATGTTTTTCCGTCCCCTGTAATATTTTTTTCCCTTACTTTTTTCCTCGTAAGCAGCCACATTTGTTTTGATACGGACAGACCATTCCTGTCCCTGATTGGCTGATCCACCTGTCAGTCACACCCATCTCAAAACGGGGAGATTCATCAGTAACCTCATTTCAGACTCACATTTTCGTAAAGTATTAGAAAATCTGTGTAACTCTGGATCTCAGGCGACTATAAACAAACCGTAAAAAGTAATACAAATCCCGTTATTGTTACTGAAACTCTGAATTCAAGTCATTTTAACTCATCTGGACAAACGTTTCTTGCGGTGTATTTTCTGTGGTGTCCATCTAATCCATTCATCCTTGTGTTAACAGCATGCCCCTGGACAGAAACACTCTGCCTAAAAAGGGACTCAGGTACATCTGCATCTGTGCTCTGCTCTGACATAACCAGGACATACGTGCTTGAGTTATGTTGCTCACGGAGGGCGGGCTCTGCAGTTTCTGTGTGTGTGTGCGTGTGTGTGCGTGTGTGTGGAGGGGGGGCTGATGCATGGAGGGCTGTGGAGTTATCTTTTGCAGTGCTCACAAATCACACACTAAAGAAACTGTATGAATAAATAAATGCGAGACAAAATTAGCTGTTCCAAAATATGCAAAAAGCAGAAGCAACGTGCTGCGGAAAAAACACTGTCGACTAGGGCTGGGTATCATTAAGAAGTTGCCGATACGATACATACCTCGATACACAGGTCACGATACGATACATACCTCGATACAGCGCACTTTCGATTCGATATGATATATTTCAAATCGATTCGATACGGTTCAATAAAAAATAAAGGCTAAATCATGGCTGTGACACTAAAAGTCTTTGTTAAACCACTTCTTGTGCAAAGTTCATATGAAACACAAACATTTTACTCATCAAAACAGTAAAAATATCAAATGTGTTGAATAAATGAGCTTCCTTTCACTAAACAAGCAACAAAACTGTAGCTCTGTAACAAAATTATTTAGTAAAACACACCTAAAAATACTCTTGGTGATATATCGATACAGTAGCCCATGATATCGATACTATATCATCACATTAAACGATACGATATATCGATATTCCGATATTTTTGCACACCCCTACTGTCGACCCAAACACGGTGCTCACAGTGATCAGTGTAGTTAAACAAGTGAAATGCCGCACTGTGAAACATTCCAGGCAATGCAATAACGATCTCCATGGAGACAAGCAGACGGTAGACTTTAAGTTAAGAATCATGTTAAAGGTCTTATAATGATGTAAAATTTACTCCTGTGAGCTTTAACCCGTTTTATAATCCTGTTACCTCATTTGAAACAGACCTGGAGTTGTGTTTTGTTTCATTCACATGTTTGAGTCTACATCTCCAAAACTCAAAATGCTCTGTTCCACCTTGTGATGTCATGAAGCTGCATTTTTTTTTCAAGGTACGTTTCAGTAGATCAGTAGAGATGGGCAATTCCAGGGCGTCAGTGAAACAAAACTCTGGGTGTGTTTTGATGAGGCAGCAACATTATAACAGATAAAAAAAAAACAGTCATATTTCAAAGTCGAGTTAATAAACTTCAAATTAAGTGAATACTGCTTTCGATAACCGCACAGCTTTATGTTTCTGCTTGGCTTCTTTCTTATCACTGTCACTTCCATTAAACTTTCTTCAGACAGAAAAAAATAAAATAAAAATCAACATCCTAAAAAGAGTTGAAGAGTGAAACCTGCTCTTACATCACAGTCCCACCGTCTCTGCAGGAGCCTCTAGTCCAGCCCAATTACCCCATCATCAGAGGAGTGGGCTCAGAATACAGCTTTTATTTTCAGGAAAGAATAATTCATCTTGCCTAACGAACACGAGATCATGTGGGTTTTTAACGATGGACTTTACACGACCTTCTTTTGGCTGTAGTTGTCGGAGATGAGAGATGGGCCTAGAATGTTCCACAGTATAGCCGTAAACTTGAGAATCTCCATGGTGACTTGGTTAGGTACAGCAAGAATGGACGGTTTTTAAGATATTTTTAGCAATAAATAACACCTGTACTTGAATAAAAGAAAAAAAAAAAGCAAGACAGATTAGTTTAATGCCATACTGTGGACAATTTAAACCAAAGAATTAACATCTCCATGGAGACAAACGCGTTGCAGACCTTCAGAAAAGTTACACAGTGCAGCATTTAAGATAAAGAAACACGATGGGGAAATTAGAAAGTTGTCTTAAACGCAAAGTTCAAAAACAGCGGGAGAATAATAAGTACATGCAATCAAAATCAAGATATATTATACTAAAAAGATTTACAAGAGACATAAAAAAACTAGTGCAAGACTAAAAAAACTAAAAGTAACTAGAAGAAATGAACCCTAACCCTAACCTGCATTATATGGAAAAGGATTAAAACCAGTGATTATTGATGGTTTTCAGATTCTAAATGCAGTTATGTCAAATTCTCGGATGGGGGCAAGAGGCAGACTTCATGATTAATTCTAATCAGTTAATATCTACAGTGGTTGAGCCGGATAATTTTTTTACGATTAGACCCTAGAGCTTTCTATGTTACAATATAAATCTGCCTTTTGACCATTTTAATTTTAGCTGCCTCATCTGTACTTAATAGTATTGGCTTATAGAGTCTCATCTGAAACCCAACAATGTATAACTTTTATTAAATGTAGCCTTTTATTATCTTTTTTTTATTTTTTATTATTCAATCTTTATTTAACCAGGAAGGTCCCACTGAGGTTCAAAGATCTCTTGGCCAACATATACTGGTACACTACCGGTCAAAAGTTTTAGAACACCATAATTTTTCCAGTTATTTATTACAATTGAAGTCCAATGAAGAGCTTGAAATGGTACAAAGGTAAAAACTGAACAGACAGAGGTTAAAAAAAGATACAAAACACAAGTCCAAGCTCTGCCAAAACTACCTCAGGGAAAAAAGAACAAGATGGTAAAGCTTGAAAACATGAAGTGTCCAGCAGCACAGTGGAGCTGGTTTGGGATGAACTGGACAGAAGAGTGAAGCGACCTACAAGTGCCACACATTTATGGAAACTTCTGCAACAGACTTGGGAAAACCTTTCTGAACAATATTTGATTTCTACTCAAAAAAGAACGAGCCACGAGTGTGTTCAGCTGTTGTATCTGCCAAAGGTGGACACTTTCATCAATCCAAAGTTTTAGAATATGTTTTGGTCAACAGTAAACAGAAAACAGCAAAAAAAAAAAAAGTGTGGTGTTCTAAAACTTTTGACCGGTAGTGTATACTGTGGTCCAAAGCACGAAAAAGGATCTGACGAAAGCTTTTTGCCGAAACGTAATTTAGAAATAATAAAAGCTTTTGGACATCGGCCATCTGAGTGTGCAATTTTCACTTTTGGATCCCTGGCATCAACAACACCAAAGCTGGAATTGTCTGAACCCACCTAAAGCGATTATCTAAAGCACACGATAGCTGAACAATAGAGGATAATCAATTTTAAAACTACTATCGAAACTAGATACTCAATTGAACAAGTATTAATACTGAAAAAAAATTACACTACACTTCCCGAATAGTTTTATTTGTTTTCATAGTCTTTGGGATATAATAATCTTAGTCAAGCAGACGGACATCAACACAATAATTTAAACAATAAACACACATACAAACAAAATGATATTCAACCAAAGATTAAATCACACTGACAAAAAATGATACAAAATATAATAATAAAAAACAAAACAAAACAGGACAAACAAGTAATCCAGAACACAGACAGAACAGACAGAAAACAGGCAAGACAGACAGGATACACAGAGAGGACAGACAACAGACGGGACACAGATGGGACGAACAGGACACAGACGGGACGGACAGGACACAGACGGGACAGACAGGACACAGACGGGGACAGGACAGGACACAGACGGGACACAGACGGGACGGACAGGACACAGACGGGACACAGACGGGACGGACAGGACACAGACGGGACGACAGACAGGACACAGACGGGACGGACAGGACACAGACGGGACACAGACGGGACGGACAGGACACAGACGGGACACAGACGGGACGGACAGGACACAGACGGGACACAGACGGGACACAGACGGGACGTACAGGACACATACGGGACGGACAGGACACAGAGGGGACATGGACAGGACACAGACGGGACGGACAGGACACAGACAGAACAGACAGAACGGACAAAACACAGATGGGATGGACGGGACACAGATAGGACACAGACAAGACAGACAGGACACAAACAGGATGGACAGAACAGACAGAACACAGACGGGACGGACAGAAGAGAGGGGACGGACAGGACACAGACGGAATGGACAGGACACGGACAGGACACAGACAGGATGGACAGGGGATGGACAGAACACAGATGGGACGGACAGGACACAAAAAGCACAGACAGGACAGAGAGGATAGACAGAACAGACGGGAAACAGAGAGGACACAAACAGAACAGACAGAACACAAACAAGACACACAAAAATAGACAGGACGAAACAGAAAGAAAGAAAAACTGGACAGAACAAGACAAGTACCTGAAGTCCCCGCCCCAACCACAGGCCCCACACCCTTCGTGAACAGGTTTAGAACAGTCCCGAATGCTCCAAATCAGAACCGGTCTTAGTCTGCACGGTGATGTTAAATAGAAATATTGGACGAAACTAAAAAACCCCACTGCAAGCTCTAACTTTGCTCAGCACGTTCTCCAGTCAGCATGCTTGTCTGGATTGTCGGCTTATAGGTCACCGCCGGCCGGTTGATTCGCGGCTCTTAAATGTTCTGCTTTCACTTCATGTTTCCTTGTCACACCCAATTGGCCGGACTTTCTGTAGAAATCCAGTGGAAATGAGAGGGGTCAGACGTGACAGCGGCTGTAATGGGGTTTCCTTTAGTCCGTGAACGCTCCGGCGCCGTGAATACAAACGCAATTATGATTCTCGACGGATTAAATGTGGCCGATTGTGGAGGGGACGATAAGAGGAGGACGTCCGCTGAGCCGCTGCTGCCGCTGCTGCTGCTGAGACGGGGACGAGAGAAAGGAGTGAATGGGAGGAAAAATGAGAGAAGGAAGGGGGGATGGAGGACAGAGAGAGAGAGAGAAAAGAGAGGGAGATGAGAGCAGGGAGTGATCACAGACGGGACGAAAGACAGGGCCGTGTATGGAGAAGAGAGGGATTGAGGGAGAGAGAAAGAAGAGAGAGATGAGAGAAGGAAGGGGGGATGGAGGGAGAGAGAGAGAAAGAAGAGCGGGGGAGAGCTGAGAGAAGGAAGGACGGATGGAAACGGAGAAGGAAGAGAGAGAAAAGGGGGGAGACAAGAGCAGGGAGTGAACGGGAATGACCACAGATGGAAAGACGGAGGGGTGTATGGAGGATAGAGGGAAGAAGTGGAGAGGGAGAGAGAGATGAGAGAAGGAAGGAGGGATGGAGGAGAGAGAGAGAAGAAGAGACAAGAGCAGGGAGTGAACGGGAATGACCACAGATGGGATGAAAGACGGGGAGTGTATGGAGGAGAGAGGGATGGAGGGAGATAGAGAGATGAGAGAAGGAATTGGAGATGAAGGAGAGAGAAAGAAAAGAGGGAGAGAGAGATGGGAAAAGGAAGGAGGGATGGAGATAGAGAAGGAAGAGAGAGGAAAGAGGGGAGACGAGAGCAGGGAGTGAACAGGAATGACCACAGATTTACGGATGAAGGGTGTATGGAGGAGAGAGGGATGGGGAAAGAGAGAGAGAAAGAAAAGAGGGAGAGAGAGATGAGAGATGGAAGGAGGGATGGAGGGAGAAAAGTAGAAAGAGAGAGAGCAGGGAGTGAACGGGAATAACCATAGACGGAAAGATGGGGTGTATGGAGAGGAGAGGGAAGGAGAGAGAGAGAAAGAGAGCAAGAGAGGAAAGAAGAGGGGGAGAGAGAGATGAGAGAAGGGAGAGAAGGAGAAAAAGAGAGAGGGGAGAGATGAGGGCAGGGAGTGAACAGGAATGACCACAGATGTGTGGAAGAGAGACGGATGAAGGAAGGAGTGAGGGAGAGAAGATTGGTTGTGAAAGAGAAAAAAGAAAGAGAGAAAAAGAAAGTTGAGAGAAGGAAGTGGGGGATGGAGGGAGAAACGGAAAAGAGAAGGGAGACGAGAGGAGGGAGTGAACGGGAATGACCACAGATGGAAAACGGGAGGTGTATGGAGGAGAGAGGGATGGAGGGAGGGATGGAGGGAGAGGGAGAGAATGAAGGAGTGGAGAGAGAGAGAGGAAAAGAGGGGAGAAGAGAGCAGGGAAAAAATGGGAATGACCACCGGGGCCAATATGAAAGAGAGAGGGATGGGGGGAGAGAAGGAAGAACAGGAGAGAGAGAGAAAGAAGAGGAGGAGAGAGAGATGAGAGAAGGAAGGAGGGGAGGGATGGGAAGGGAGAGAATGAAGGAAGAAGTGCAGTGAGAGAGAGAGAGAGAGAGAGAGGGGAGATGAGAGCAGGGAGTGAGGGGGAACGACCTCAGGTGAACGGGGGATGATGAGGGAGAGAGGGATGGAGGGGGAGGAAGGAGGGAGAGAGAAAGAGAGAGTGGCGCGTTAACGGGAATGACCACTGGAAGACTGGAGCTAATATGAAGGAGAGAAGAAGGGAGGAGTGAGGGAGAGAGGTTTGGTTGTGAAAGAGAGAAAAAAAAGAGAGGAAGCGAAAAAGAGCTAAAAAAAAAAAAAACTGCATGTTGCTTAATCTGGCATGTTTTTGATGTTAAAGCAACATCATGTGACTGGCTTGAAACGGACACTGCATCCTCTGTAAAACACAAGCTGGAATGTTTCACAGTTGCCACGTTTACATGAAAGCTTTAATTCTGGATAAAAATAATTTAATAAAAAAAATAATAATTCTGCTTTAAAAAGACCATGTCAACACTTAATTCCTAATGAAAATGATTATTTGGAATTAAACTTAAGTGGGTGGTTCATCAGCCGGTTTCACTTTGTGGAAACCGTCTGACCTCGCAGCATCAGGATTTGTTCGCTCGATAGTAGGCGGGTACTTTTTTTATTTAACTGATCACTGCTATTTGGTCGTGACTTATGTAATGCGCCAAATCCCGTAGGAAGAAGGACAATAACGTCTTTCCCCTTGATAAAATTCACCAAACATTCTCTTTATTCCGGCTTTAAATCCTCGATCTCGGGAATCGTTGCCAACACAGAATGTCTGTCTTCGTCTACATCCATCTCGACATTTTGTCCCTTTTGTTTGTCTACAAAAGGGACCCAGACAGACGCTTGAGTTTGACGTCATGGCTTCACAGCTCTTCGCTGATTGGCCGGTGCGCGGTCTACAACTTCCAGGGTTCGTGCAAACCGTCTAGTGTGTTCCAATTCCTGACCTAGTAGCTGGAGAGAAATTAAATTCCAATTTTAAAGCCAAATATATTTATTTCTCAATCATGTAAACGTTTATTCTTCTTAAAAATAATTCCGGTCGTTCAGCGCATGCTCGTTGTGTCGCCCTTCTGACGTGATCCCGACAATCCGGCTCCACCAGTCCTGGCTTCGGACTTTCATCCACGTCTCTTTGGATTTGCGAGCGGGATGTGGGAGTGGGCTGAGGTAGAGCAGCCTCAGACTCAGTTTGTCTTCTTCCTCCCTTCTCCGACACTCCTCCCTTCTCCTCCTCAGCCGACAGACGTAAAGCGCGATGATAGATAAAAGTTTGGATCGTGTTTGTGTCTGCGGCGTAACGACAAACCGAGATGACAGAAACGCCGGTAGCAGCTGAAGTGTGTGTTTTCTTCCGGTCGACGTAAATTCATTCGTGTCTCTGTCCAATCAGAACCCTTCCCCACCCCCAGACGCTGAGCTGAATTAAATAAAGACGATTTAACGTGTTTTCCATGTTAACTCGAAGGAGAATATTTCAATTCCAAACTATTTAATTCAGAACAATTAATTCAGAATTAAAAAACATCATGTAAACGTGGCCAGTGTTGCTTTAAATGCACTTCGGTTCACCCTTCACTTGAATGCCCCTTTCCCCTCGCTGTTTTTTCACGCTACATTTCCACAGATTGGTCTCACACCTGTCGGTTTTTCCAGGTACCCCCCTTCGTCTCGTCAGGCCTCACACGAAGAGGGGAAGGAGTGGCTCAGGTCCCACTCCACCGGGGGGCTACAGGACACGGGGCAGTCCCCAATGTCTCCACCGGGGGCAGCGTGTAACAACGCCGGAAAATACCACTACTCCAACCTATGTAAGGAAACACAGCTCTGCACAAGCAATGGTACATTTACTGTTTTATTTCATCTCTTTTTTTCTATAGCTGTGTTTTTTATTTAGACATATTTACTGTAACTGCACAGGCCAGGGTTTATTTCCTTCTCTAACCCTTCTCTTTCTCCTTCTTAGTCTTTGTTCTCCTTTCTTTATTAGTCTCTTCTCTCCTTTTTCTCTCTTGGTCTCATCTTCCACTCTCTCTTTGCCCTATTTCCCTCCTCTCTTTTCCCTCTTTCCCTCCTTCCTTTTGTCTCTCTCATCCTCTCTCCCTTCTCTCTCTTGGTCTCATCTTCCACTCTCTCTATCATCTCCCCTTTCTCTCTTTTCCCTCTCTCCTTCCCTCCTTTTGTCTCTCTCTACAGTATTCCCTTCATCTTGTTTCCCTCCCTCTTCCATTTGTATCTCTCCCTCTCTCCCTTCTCTCTCTTGTTCTCATCGTCCACTCTCTCTACCTTATTCCCTTCCTCTACTTTCCCTTTCACCCTCCTTCCTTTTGTCTTTCTCTTGGTCTCATCTTCTACTCTCTCTACCATCTTCCCTTCTTCTCTTTTTCCTCTCTGCCTCGTTCCTCTTGTCTCTCTCCCTTCTCTCTCTCTCATCTTCCACTCTCTCTACAGCATTCCCTTCCTCTCTTTTCTCTCTGTCCCTTCTTACTTTGTTCTCTCTCCCTCTCTCCCTTCTCTCTCTTGGTCTTCCTCTCTTTTGTCTCCCTTCCTCCTCCTTTTGTCTCTCTCTACAGTATTCCCTTCCTCTCTTTTCCCTCCCTCCTCCGTTTGTCTCTTTCCTCCTCTCCCTTCTCTCTCTTAGTCTCATCCTCCACTCTCTCTACCCTATTCCCTTCCGCTCTTTTCCCTCTCTCCCTCCTCCTTTTGTCTTTCACCACAGTATTTCCATCCTCTCATTTCTCTCTCTTCCTCCTCCTTTTGTCTCTCTCCACCCAGTTCCCTTCCTCTCTTTTCCCTCTCTCTCTCCTCCGATTGTCTCTTTCCCTTTCTTCCTTTTTTCTCTTGGTCTCGTCTTCCACTCTCTCTACAGTATTCCCGTCCTCTATTTTCTCTCTGTCCCTCCTTCCTTTTGTCTCTCTCCCTTCTTTCTCTTGGTCTCATCTTCCACTCTCTCTACAATCTTCCCTTCATCTCTTTTCCCTCTCTCCCTCCTCCTTTGGACGCTCTCCCGCTCCCTCCTTCCTCTTGTCTCTCTCTCCCTCTCTCCCTTTGCTCTCTTGGTCTCATCTTCCACTCTCTCTCTGCCCTATTCCGTTCCTCTCTTTTCTCTCTGTCGCTCCTTCCTCTTGTCTCTCTTCCTTCTCTCTCTCTCGGTCTCATCTTCCCTCTCTACAGTATTCCCTTCCTCTTTTTTCTTTCTGTCCCTCCTTACTTTTGTCTCTCTCCCTCTCTCCCTTCTCTCTCTCGGTCTCATCTTCTACTCTCTCTACCCTATTCCCTTCCTCTCTTGTCCCTCTCTCCCTCCTTCCTTTTATCTCTCTTCCTTCTTTCTCTTGGTCTCATCTTCTGCTCTTTCTGTCGTCTTCGCTTCCTCTCTTTTCCCGCTCTCCCTGTTCTGTTTATCTCTCTTTTCATCTTCCACTCTCTCTGCTCTATTCCCTTCTGCTTTTTCCTCTCTCCCTCCTTCCCTTTGTCTCTTTCCCTTCTCTCAGTCTCATCTTTCACTCTTTATTCCCGTCCTCTCTTTTTCCTCTCTCCCTCCTCCATTTGTCTCCCACCATGACTCCCTTCTCCCTTTTAGTCTCATCTTCCACTCTCTCTGCCCTACTTCCGACAAAAAGAAGGCGTTAGAGAGGGAAAAGAGAGGAAGGGGATAGGGCAGAGAGAATGGATGTTTGAGAATTACCTGAATATTTGAGAATAATCTGAATAGACCTTGTTCACCAATGTTCAGTTAATTTACTCTGTTCTTTATTAAATTGTGTAATCAATAACATGACGTTGTGTTTTTCTCACAGTGAGTCCGACCAGCGGGGGGCAGTACGTGGCTCCCGGCTCCAGCAGCATGAGCAGGTCCAACAGTATCCCGGCCCAGGACTCCTTCGACCTGTACGGAGAGGGACACCCGCTAGGGGGCAGCGCCACCTCCCTGGAGGACAGACCCCGGGCCATCAGCCGCTCGGGGTCGTTCAGGGACAGCACCGACGAAGGTACAGAGCGAGGGTTAAATGGAGAATACCATGAGTGTTTTTAAAGGTCATTGTGTAACCTTTCTGCGGGAGGGTCCATCAAATGCTTTTCTCCATGGGGATGTGATTGCTTTGTCTGGAAATTTTCATTGTGTGGCATTAAACTTCATTCAAAATCTTCACAGAGACCAAACCAGACCAATTTACAGGTCAGATCTGTGGAGAGGTGACCCCACTCAAGCAGAATACCCGTTTTTGTAGGTATTTTTGAGCCATAAAACCACCTGTAATTGAATAAATGTAAAGTAGAGCTGTTCAATGTCACACTGTGGAACATTCCAGGCAGAGTATTGACATGTAGAAGCAAGCAGGTGACTTGACCCTCAATCAAAAAGTTACACAATGCACCTTTAAGATGAGTGACTATTTAAGTTCAGATGGATTCTCATGATATCTCAAACTCACAAACTCAAGAGAGACTCCAGCGGTAAGACTCAAAGTGTAGAGGTTTGTGCGGAAGCCAAAGCCAAAACGCCCAAACAAATCAAAATAAACCAAAACAAACACTGCAAATTTCTCAGATCTGGCCAACTTATATCAGGTTATTCATCTTGTTTTCAGATTTATTGTCTACTTATGAGTTCTGAGTTGTTTAATTCTAGTCTAGAGGTCATTTATTTTAAGATGACTTGTCAAGTAAAATGATCTTGCTGCATGGACAGATAATTTCACTACTTTTAAGTCATTTTCTGATAGATTTAAGCGTTTATATCTTAAATTTTGCCCAAGCTTTTTTGCAGAAAACATGGCGACACAGACAGACCTACTTCAGCCTATTTTAGAAATACCGTATTTTTCGGATTATATGCGTTCCGGAGTATAAGTCGCACCAGCCAGAAAATGCGTAATGAAGAATTAAAAAAACATATATAAGTCGCACTTTTGGGGGGAAATGTATTAGAAATGTATAAGAAATCAGAGACCAGGAACTGACATTTCAAAGTCAAGTTCTAGTAAAAACAACAGAACAGAGAACAACAGACTGTTAACGTCACATATGAACAGTTCTTCAGATAAACTATAACATAAACAACAGAACAGAACAAGTTTAACAAACTCTCCATCTCACTCCAAATCACTAAATCCATTCAATTCTTCATCCTCGGTGTCACTTCTGAACAACTCCACGACCTCCGGAGGTAAACAGAGCGTCGCTTCCTCTTCTGTGTCGCTGTCGTCAGACTCAGCATCAGTTCCAGTTAGAATTATTCCGGCCTTTCTGAATCCCGACAGGATGGTTTCAGTTGTCTTTATGTTTGTTTAAATCTGAAAATTTTAGTGGTACAGAAGTAATGTTGCGATCGACTGACATGATACAGACAGGACAGAGGCTCTTTCTGCAGGAGACATGTGCAGTAGAGCCAAGTGTCAGTGGTACAGGAGGAACAGGAGCAGCAGATACTGACACACAAGACTAGAGCGCCCTCTTGTGGCTGTCAGTGTGAAAATGTTAATATATAAGTTGCACCGGAGTACAAGTCTCAGGAAACACCCAAACCATGAAAAAATGCCACTTATAGTCTGAAAAATACGGTAAATCAATAAATACAGACTGTTTTGTTTGTGCATTTGTGGATAGGGAAGATGTCTGTGCCTTTCTCTAAATGTCCGGGTGTAACAAAAGTTCGATTTTTCTACTGTTGTGGCGCTTCGACCGATCAGATCCAAATATTAGTCATGACAGTCCAGATTGTTTTCAGTGAGGGCCGTCCAGTAGAACTCAATTCAGAGTGACACACAGTTTTAGCTTCTCTGTTCTCTGTCTGCGCATCACTCTGATCTCGTTTAACCACAGGAGAGAGGCTTTCATTGATGCTCTCTGTGTGTTTTGGTATGATTTTGTGTTAATTTCCCTGCTGTTACTCCTGCAGTGAGGCCTTATATAACCATGCACAGGTGTTTTATATAGAACTTTGTAAAGACTCTCCTCTCATGTCTCGCTTCCTCCCTCAAACACACACGTCTAATCTGTATTTTTGTGTTTTTTGTGTCCACAGTTCACGGCTCCTCTCTGTCTCTGGTCTCTAGCACCTCCTCACTCTACTCTGCTGTAAGTACACACACGTTGGACTCAACTAAAAGGCGTCTCATCAAAATATTTCAGTACGATCTTAGTTAAGTTAGTTTCTGCAGTTTTTGGTTAAGATTATAGAGCATCTTAATACAGAAAAATGTGCAGATAGCAACGAATTTACACAAAAACTAAGGTCTCATTTGATCCAGAATCAAGATATACTCACTTGAATAAAAACATGAATTTTTGACACATTTTTATTGTTTTACTTTTATTTTATCTGGTTCCAAAGAGATGTAACTTTTCTGATGAAGGGTCCATCACCGGCTTGTTTAAATTGAGATGTTTTGTCTGGAGTTTTATCTAGCTTAATTATTTTTTTTTTTGTTCCATTTGTTTTTATAGCTCAGAAATATCTTAAAACATACCTACATACACAGATAGGAAGATGATAGAAAGGTTTAATGTTGTACTGTGAAGCATTACAGACAAAGCAACAACATCTCCATGAAGAAACATTTGACGGACCCTCCACCAGAAATTTTACGCAATGCACCTTTGAAATTCAGTGTTTATTTTATTTTGCGTGTATCTGTTTTATGAAAATTAAGTTCAATTCCTTTTTCCAAGTTACCGTATTTCCCGGACTATAAGTCGTTCCGGAGTATAAGTTGCACTGGCCAAAAAATGCGTAATGAAGAAGAAAAAAACATATACAGTATGAGTCGCACTTTTTGGGGAAATGTATTTTGTAAAATCAGAGTCCAGGAACTGATATTTCATCTTGAAAGGCGAGTTCTAGTAAAAACAATAGAACAGAGAACAACAGTCTGAATAGGCGTTAATATGCTAACCTAACATATTAACAGATAATTATAGCATAAACAACAGAACATAAGTTTACCAAACTCACGATTTCACTCCAAATCAATAAATCCATTGAATTCTTCATTCTCGGTGTCACTTCTGAGCAACTCCACACCTCCTCCGGAGATAAACCATAGATCCATGAGGTAAACAGAGCGCCGCTTCCTCTTCTGTGTCGCTGTCGTCAGACTCAGCATCAGTTCCAGTTAGAATTATTCCGGCCTTTCTGAATCCCGACAGGATGCTTTCGGTGTCACTGAAGTTTAGGCTTTGTCAATTCATCCAGTGACTTCCAGGAAAGTTGCATGGAGCACCTGCCAGGTTGTCGTGAAGCTGTGTTCTCCAGCCCCACTTTTCACCAGTCAATCACAAGTTTCTCGCTCACTCCAAACTTTCTTTCTGCTGCTCGATTACTGTTTTCGGCTGAATATTTCACTATTTGCAGCGAGACAGCAGCTTTTTCTACAGAAGGCATGTGCAGTAGAGTGCAAAGTGACAGTGGTACAGGAGTAAAAGTAGTACTAGATACTTGACACATAAGCCTAGAGCCTCTCACAGCTGTCAGTCTGAAAATTTTTATATATAAGTCGCACTGGAGTATAAGTCGCAGGAAACACCCAAACCATGAAAAAAAGTGCCACTTATAGTCCGAAAAATACGGTAATCATTTTGAGTTTATTTGAAACAGTCGATTCACTGAACTCAAAACCTGATTTGGACTTTCTGTTCTGTTATGTACAAACTCCACACACAGTCCATGCATTAATGATCGCCAAAGCTCTGCCCACGAAGTTATTTCCTCTGGTGAATTCGATTTGCTCAGTCATTTACATTTTAAACTATTTTTGCGTTTTGTTCCCTCTCCTCCTCCCCGGTGCGTGCGATGTTTTGTGCAGGATTAATCTGATTTTAATTATAGCTTAGCACAGGTCTGGTGGGAAGTGCTTGCGTTGGCCAATTCGTTTAGCGCGTCTGTCTGCTGTGGTGAAAACGCCTCTCGCGCCGTGCATTGTAATTTGTCTGAGGAGAAAGCAGATCCAAGATGGCGCCGTGTCATATTCTAATCTATTTGTGTTTCTTCCACAGACGGAGGAGAAGGCGCATTCAGAGGTGAGGGGCTGTTCGTGCATGGCTGTTTTTTTTATGAATGACAAATGATTCAGTAAATATTAGTTTCTCATTAGTTCATAGTTTTATTCTGAGAGATAAAATTGCTTTACGATCAGGTGAAAACATAAATGATAAACTCCTAAGTCAGGCCTGGCTGCTGGTACTGATGTCCTGGGGCAGTTTGTCAAAAATGTGGCTGCAATTCTGTGTCTATTACCACCACTGAATAAAAGTTTTAAGTTTTTTCAAAGTCTTATATTACTCAAAATTGACTCTTATGAGCTTTAAGTCATGTTACAAAGTTGTTATCTTCTCAAAAACAGACCTGGAGTTGTGTTTTGTTTCATTCACACGTAAGTAATCCTGCATTATTAGTTCACATTTCCAAAGCTCAAAAGGCTCTGTTCTACCTTGTGATGTCATGAAGTGTTGGTTTTCAAATTAACAAGTCCTTTTACCTAGAGGAGTTTGGCAATTCCAAGGGCTGAAATTGTCCAAATGATTCTAGTGAAGGTGTGTGGAGTTTAAAAACACAAGGGAGCACTTCTGGTATTACCACATGACATCACAAGGTGGAACAGTGTTTTTTTTTTTCAGTTTGAGACAAGAAATCAGCCTAAATGTGCAGGATTTGTGTGTTAAACGTGTGAATGAAACAAAACACAACTCCAGGTCTGAATCCGTGTGTCGTTCGTTCATTTGTTTTTCAAAATGAAACCAAAAATAAGAAAATGAAAAAACTATTAACTATTAGTATTAACTATTAGTAACTATACTAAACTATTTTCTTCATTATTGGTCTCCAAAACCAAAATGGAAAAACAGATAACAATTCATTTTTTTTATTTTTCGATTTTGTGTTTAAATGAATAATGGAAAAAACGGATAACGGCAGTTTCCTGTTTACGTGACATAAACTGCAATGCCGGACTTTTGCGCTGCTTATGGACTGAACCAACACTGAAACAGGACTAAAACAGGATTGAAACAGGTCTAGACCAGGTCTAAACCAGGACTGAACCAGGATTGAGTGTTGGGAAGGGCCCAGAGGTGTGCCCTCTTAGACTGTTGGGTGATCAGGACTGAGACAGGGATTTAGACCAGGACCAGACTTAGACCGAGACCGGGACTGAGACTGGGACTGAGACCAGGACTGAGACAGTTTTAGTCCTGTTTTAGTCCTGGTTCAGTCCGTATGCAGTGCAAAAGTCCAGCAAATTGTTGTTTTTTCATTTTCTTATTTGGATGAATGATACACAGATTGGTCTGTTTTCTATGAAGAAACAATATTATGACAGATCAATAGTCTAAAACAGACCCTTTAATTCATATATACTGTACACAATGTTTTGTAATGGCAGCAGCATGAACTGTTAAACCTCTGGTGAATGGGCAAATGACTAGACCAACTGAAATACCTATTGTAGCACAGTTGGAAAGTATTTGCCCCGTGACTAGGAGGTGGCCAATGAGGTCCATTTGGTCTTATGTCTAATTTATGTTATTAGGGTTTTATTTCAGACCAAGAGTTTGTTTTCAGACTTGACATTTCGACTGATCACTTACAGTTTTCCTCACGTGATGTTGCTGTGACGTGTCCAGTCAGTTGATTTAAACAGGGTTTGGTGCTGTCTTCCTACCGGTGGAGGCAGGACGACAGCGCCACCTGTAGTCTGACTTCCTCAGGACAGTATCCCAGGTGTGTGAGAGTAAAAACATTGTTGCATGGGACGATAAACCGGGAGGAGGGAACTTTTTTACTCTCACGCACCTGGGATACTGTCCTGAGAAAGTCGGACTGCAGATGGCGCTGTCGTCCTGCCTCCACTGGTAGAAAAACAGCACCAAAACCTGTTTAAATCAACTGAGCGACACAACACAGCAACATCACGTGACTCCGAGGAAGACCACGAGTGAACAGTCCAAGTCAGGTATGAAAACAAACTCTTGGTCTGAAAAAACAAAACAAAAAACCTAATAACATAGAAGGTGGCCAGTTCAAATCTAAAAACATAAACATACTAGAGATGGTTAGAGTTGCCCAGAAAATTAAGAATATTAAGTACCATTACTTTAAAATAGTTTTACTCAAGAAGAAGTACAAAGTAGTAGCCCAAGAAAGTATCGCAACAACTACAACTTAAGTAAGAGTAACTTTCTAGATTAATTTACTGGTATAATTGAAAGCACGAAAGCATTAATAATGTAGAAATCTGGTATTTTTAAAAGCAAAGGCTATAAAAAAGAATAAAAATATTCAAATTATTTCATATTGTCGACATAAAGTTTTTGTACCCAAAACTCAAGTTAGAGTAGTCTTAAAACGAAAATTTAAAAGTACAATTTTAAAGTTTCCCGAGTAAATGTACTTGAGTAGATGTAACTTTTAGTAGTACTGCCCCCTTCTGGCTAAAGTAGGTAATGTCACTGTGTTCCTGCATACCTCAGGATCAGTAAATATGTAGTAGAAATGTGAGAATAGTGATTTAAAAAGCTGAATTTGATTGCTGCATGTTTTGGGTTGCGTTTGCCTCGGCTGTGTTTGTGCGTGCTGTGGATCCATGCTACTTTCTCTTTCTCTCTGTCCAAATGTCAATCGAAGCACAAACAGTGATCTAAACAAACAAACATGTAAAGACTCCATTTGTATTTCAGCTCTTAATTAATTATAATAAGAGTTTTACAATGAAGCAATTTAACACTGTGTTGCATTGCTTTCCGTATCACTCTCTCCCTCGTCCGTGTGTTTAATCCTCCTCAAAATTATCCCACGTCCAAACCTGACCTTTGACCTTTTCATTTGGGATCATTCTGTGAGTTCCGCTCAGCCAATCACTGATTCTCCTTTGATTTCATTCATCGAGCCCTCCCCTCTCTCCCGCTCTCTCCACCGCCGACTGTAAACGAGACATTTTATGCTGAAGTTCATTTGTGCATGTGTCTAGAATCATGTATGTTTAGTTTTTCGTTTTTTGTCGCTTCAGAGGCCAAAACGCCCACCTGTCTCTGGCGCATGAAGCTCCTCTGTGTTTTTAAAGTCTGTTCATCTCAGTCAGATCATTTCGATGCTCAAAACCACCTCTGCATCGTAGAACCTTTGCAATTTTAGTCTTTTCATTCTCTGCTGGTTTGCTGTATCATCTGAAAAAGCAAAAAGCTAATTCTACTTGTTGCGTAGATATTCTGTATTTTAAAACAGAACTATAATGCAAAAGCGAGCAGAGTTTTTTAGAAATTTTTACCATATTATAGTTATGAAGTTGTATTTATAAGTTTTTACAATGTCATTACTTCCTTCTCTAGTTTTATTTTCTTCATCTATGGTACACGTGGGATTCCGCAGCATCATGTAGCTATTTCGTTTTTTAAAAATGTCACAGATTATAACTATATAGCAGACAAAAGCACGATATGTCTTCTTTAAGTTATACTGAAATGCAAAATTGCATTGGAAAGTATTCTAAAAACCTGAATACAGCATAACATGTCTCAAGTGATAGGACGAGACACAATTGTCACAAGATAAGACACACCACGAGATTAGGTCCACGAGAATGAGAAAAAACGAGATTTTGACTTAATTTCTTTTTTACTTTTATTAATTTTATATACCGTATTTTTCGGACTACAAGGCATTGAATTTTCTTATCTATTTTCATACATAAGGTGCACCGGATTATAAGGTGCATTAAGCGAAACGGACAACATTTGCAACTGATCCCTTAGCCCAGGCATCCACGATCCACTGACAGATCTTCCTGTCTTGGTGAATGTGTATTATGAAAGTGAATGTGGGTGGATCATTTAAGTTTGGAATTTTATTTCCTTCGAGGACGACTCAAATATATATTGAGTAATAATGTGTTTAATGCAGCTTTGCGCACGTTTCTTTACGTTTTGCAGAAACAAAACTTAAGACCACATGGCTCATTTGCATAAACTACAAGCGCTGAAAAACAAACAGCTCCCTCCTTGTACGCTGATGCGTCAGCTTCTGTTGGACTAAAAGACATGACTTATTTATGATGCAAGGCTCATGACTACAGTAGCCGTAATGCTCCAACAATCCATCAAGCAGTGCGGCTTCGTAGTTTACCAAAGTCGTACTAAAATATTTTGACAGATTTTTGAGCACCGTGTACCACTTAAATTCAGTGCGAGGTCAGTAAACACAACCAGAATTAATACATAAGGTGCACAATAGATTATAAGACACACTGTAGATTTTTGAGAAAATTAAAGGATTTTAAGTGCGCCTTATTATCCAAACAATATGTTAATGTTTTAGAGATCATTGTATTACTCCTCTTTCCAAGTCCAACTTTTCAAATTGTACAACTCACCAGCTCTTAACTCTTGTTTTTTGTCCAAGCCAAAAGTAAATTCAGGGAGAAAACATCTCATGAGATTCTCACGTGTGTACAGTTTTGTGGTACTTTTGTCTCTCGAGATCTTGTGGCAGGAGATCTTGTCCCATCCCTACATATCTCTCATAATCTTTTTCTATTGTTTCTTGTTGCAAATCTCTGTTTTCACTGTTTTCCCTGTTTCCAGACCTCATGAGCCTTTGCCTTAATCGCCCACACTAACATGAGCTTACATTGCTGTGTCTTGTCACATTAACCTTCACTGTGTGTTTTGCTGTTTCTCCATCACGTTTTAATGAAAGCAAAGCAACATAGAGTTAATTTGTACTTTTCTTTTTCTCAACCAAGGGCCAAACTGTTCCAAACACTACGGTAAATCTCCTACTTTACTTTCACTGCCCAGAATAACTTATTAAAAGGAACAAGAACAGCTATTGATTTTTGTTTTTTTAATTTCTGTTGGAGGGAATGGAGATGTTATTGCTTTGCCTGGAATGTTCCATGGTGTGACATTAAAGATATTCGTCTAGTATTTATTCATTACAAGTGTTTCTATTGCTCAAAAATACAACGACACTCCACAGATCTGAACTGTAATGTAGCGTAGTGCTGTAACCTGCTCGTTTCCTTCGTTATAGATTTATGGTTCAATCTATACTGCGGAACATTCTAGACAAAGCAACAACATTTCCATGGAAACAAGGAGGCAGCAGACTCTCCACTAGAAATGTTAGAAGTAGTAGTAGCAGCAGTAATAGTTGTTGTTTTAGCAGTAGTAGTAGTTGTAGTAGTAGTAGTAGTTTTGGTAGTAGTAGTAGTAGTAGCAGCAATAGTAGTAGTAGTAGTAGCAGTAGTAGCAGTAGTAGTAGTAGTAGTTAGTGTTGTAGTAGTTGTAGTAGTAGTTGTAGAAGTAGTTGTAGTAGTAGTTGTAGTAGTAGTAATTGTTGTAGTTGTAGTAGTAAATGGTGTAGTAGCAGTAGTAGTAGTAGTAGCAGAAGTAGTAGTGGTTGTAGTAGTAGTTGTTGTATTAGTAGTAGCAGTAGTAGTAGTAGTAGTAGTAGTAGTAGCAGTAGTACTAGTTGTAGTAGTTGTAGTAGTAGTTGTAGTAGTTGTAGTTGTGGTAGTACTAGCAGTAGTTGTAGTTGTTGTAGTTGTGGTAGTACTAGCAGTAGTTGTAGTAGTTGTAGTTGTGGTAGTACTAGCAATAATAGCAGTAGTAGTAGCAGCAGCAGCAGTAGTAGTAGTTTTTGTAGTAGTAGTAGTAGTAGTAGTAGTTGTAGGTGTAGTTGTAGTAGTTGTAGTAGTTGTAGGTGTAGTTGTGGTAGTAGTTGTAGTAGCAGTAGTTGTAGCTGTTGTAGTAGTACTAGCAGTAGTAGTAGTAGAAGTTTTTGTAGTAGTTATAGTAGTAGTAGTAATTTTTGCAATAAGAATAAACAGAGTTATTCAAAGTTATAAAATCTGTGTCTTAAAAGTGATTTTAAAAAAACTAAAATAATCAAAAGTAAAATAACGAGTATTGTGAATTCAAGTATTTTGCACAGTTCTCTCTTTTGCTCAGTGAATTCTGACCAGTTCTTATTTTCTATCTCCTTAAACAGAGTAAATATTTGTTTTTCCTCTCACAGCAAATCCGAAAGCTTCGCCGGGAGCTGGACGCGTCTCAGGAGAAGGTGGCGACCCTCACGTCTCAGCTGGCTGCTAATGTGAGTCTGTTTACGTCAACGCACAATACACAATAAACAATGGAAAAGACTGGGCAATTTGCATCATAACCTTCTGTCAGTGCTTTCAGGGAGAGAAAGAGACAGCTGCCTTTGATGGTTCAGAGAATAATGGTGTTTGTTTTACTGCTGAAGAATTTAAATCGGAGATATTATCATGTAAAATGGACTTCTAACCATTTTATAACATTCTTGTGAGCTTTAAGTCATATTATATTGTTGTTATCTCATCAAAAACTCATACATGTTTACACATGAGTAATCCTGCATTATTAGTCTGTCTACATCTCCAAAACCTCATACTCCACCTTGTGATGTCATGCAGTGGTAGTTTTCAAGTTAACAGCTCCTTTTACCTTTGGTTCAGGAGAGATTGGCAATTCCAAGGCTGAAATCATCTAAATCAGACATGCCAATCTCAGGCCTGGGGGCCAAATTTGGCCCGCAACATAATTATATTTGGCCCGCAAGATCATATCAAATATGTATTAGAGCTGCCCTCCGGCTACAGACAGACGATAGAGACATTATTGATTTACACTTTTGTTATTATTTTATATTTAGCTTGTTCTGGATTCAGTGTTGAAGCAAAACTATTATTAAACTTGTATTTTAATAGGAAAAAGTTTAACATTACATATCTCAAAAGAACAGAAAACATGCACATGATGTTCAAATTTTTCAATAAATATTTAGTTTGGCCCACGACTTAGTCCCAGTTTTTAATTTTGGCCTCTGTGAATTTGAGTTTGACTCTCCTGATCTAAATGATTCTAGTGAAGGTGTATGAAGTTTAAAAACACAGTGGAGCATTTCCTGTATTAAAACATGACATCACAAGGTGGAACAGAGTGTTTTCTTTTTGAGGGTCTGTTTACACGAGAACGCTTGTGGGTAAAAATGACAAAATATTTTATTGGAACTGCCTTTCGTTTAGACGGTGACGCCGTTTTTGGGTTTCCAGGCTGGCGTCATTATATGAACTCTGCTCTATGGCATAATAGAGATACATGTGTAATGCCATATTATGGAACATTCCAGACAATATTTCCACGGAAAGAAGCTGGTGACAGATAGCCTGATTCATCAGCTGGTTTCACTTCATGGAAACCGTCTGGCCTCGCGGCATTAGGATTCATTCGCTTGACACTAAGCCAGCATTTTTTTTATTCAACCAGTCGCTGCTATTTGGTCGTGATGTGTGTAATGCACCAGAACACTCAGTGGTGTCGAAGTAATTGCCGGCACAGCAAACAAAGCAGAGAGTGAACATGTCTGTCAATGATCACTGTTATTTCTCTGAGATGAACTTGCGAATTAAAGGTGCAGTAAAAGATGCAAAGTTTGAATCGTCTACATCCATCTCAACCACTTTGTTTACTGTTCCACAAAAGGGACGCAGTCATGGCTTCACAGCTCTTCGCTGATTGGCCGGTGTGCGGTCTACAACTTCCAGGGTTCTTGCAAATCGTCTAGTGTATTCTGATTCCTGATCTAGTTGCTGGAGAGAAGTGAAATTGAGCGGAGGCATTAGGTGGCACCAGTCTGGCTAGGTGACAGACCCTAAACCAGAAAAGTTACACAGTGTATCTTTAAGAAAAACATGATACATCATTAAGAGGAAAGGAATCATTTTAGTTTAGTAACCGTCTTAATTGAAATCCATATTCCAACCAAGTATCTTCAGAAAACAACACCAAAACTTTAGATTTATTGGTTTTCTTGTGTCTTTGGTTCGACTTTGGGAGAGTTGTAGAGTTGTTTATGTGGGTGGTGCGTGTATCAGAGAGGAGCCTGTGTCTGTCTCCATCCAGCTTCAAATAACGGCATCCACCTTCCTGCGCTCCGCCAGGCTTTCAAACTCACACTCGAGAGATGAGTGAAGGGCTGATATAGGAGTCTAGACTGGTGCATTTTCGTGTGGGTGGAGAAAACAGAGGCGCGGAACCTCTAGAGCACAGATAAGAAATGTCTGGGTGGTCAAATGGAGATAAATCGGCAGGTTTCTGTGGTTTTAAAGGTCATATATCACACAAAATTGACTCTTGTGAGCTTTAAATCGTGTTATAATGTTGTTACCTCTTCAAAAACATAACCAGAGTTGTGTTTTCTTTCATTCACACATCTTAGTTTTTTTCTCACTTAGTTTTGAAGTTAACAGCTCCCTTTTATGTTTTGTTCAGTAGAGATTAACAATTCCAGGTCTGAAATGATCCGAATGACATCACACACAAATTAAAATCATTCTAATTGAAGCGCTTAATTTTTTTCGATGCGCCTCTCAAAGAAAACGTGACAGTAAATGAGGATTGAATAGGTGGTAAGAAAGCTTTTAGAAAAATTTGTGTGCATATTTGTCTGTAGTTGAGCATAAAATAAATATTCGTAAACTCTCGAATGAGTCCAGTCGTACGTAAAATGTGCTGTGTGTATTTTATCCCTCAGAATGCGAATTGAAAAGTTACAACATCAAGAATTAAAATCACGAAATGAAATGAAACGATTACGTTTTTTTCAGTGCAAATACAAATTCACAGGCGCGACTCGACTGTCAAAAATACATCATCACTTCACAGGCTTTATTTACTGAGCCGAAGAAACACTCATTAAAAATGCCGGACTTTTATGCCACACACGCCACAGACGGAACCAGGACTAAACCAGGACTAACCCAGGACTCATCCCAGGACTCATCCCAGGACTGAACCAGGAGGACTGACCTAGGACTAAAACAGGACCAAAACAAGACTAATCCCAGAACTGAACCAGGAGGACTAAAGCAGGACTAAACTAGGACTAAAACAGGTCTAAACCAGGACTGAACAAGGAATAAAACAGGAGTAAACCAGGACTTGAACTAGGACTAAAGCAGGACTGATCCCAGAAGGAAAACCAGGAGGACTAAGGCAGGACTGCTTTAGTCCTCCTGGACTAAAGCAGGACTAAGGCAGGACTAAAGCAGGACTAAACCAGGACTGAACCAGAACTAAACCAGGTCTGACTGTCGGGAGGTGCGCCTGCTTAGACCGTCAGGTGACTGCTTGAAAGGACTGGCGCAGATGGTTTAGACCTGGTTTAGACCTGGTTTAGTCCTGGTTTAGTCCTAGTGTAGTACTAGTGTAGTCCTGGTTTAGTTCTGATTTAGACCTGGTTTAGACCTGGTTTAGTCCTGGTTTAGTCCTAGTGTAGTCCTGGTTCAGACCTGGTTTAGTCCTGGTTTAGTCCTGGTTTAGACCTGGTTTAGTCCTGGTTTAGACCTGGTTTAGTCCTGGTTTGGACCTGGTTTAGTCCTGGTTTAGACCTGGTTTAGTTCTAGTGTAGTCCTGGTTTAGACCTGGTGTAGTCCTGGTTTAGTCTTGGTTTAGACCTTGTTTAGTCCTGGTTTAGACCTTGTTTAGTCCTGGTTTAGACCTTGGTTTAGACCTGGTTTAGCCCCTGTTCAGTCCTGGTGTAGTCCTGGTTCAGACCTGGTTCAGTCCTGGTGTAGTCCTGGTTAGTCCTGGTGTAGTCCTGGTTCAGACCTGGTTCAGTCCTGGTGTAGTCCTGGTTCAGTCCTGGTTTAGTCCTGGTTTAGTCCTGGTTTGGACCTGGTTTAGTCCTGGTTTAGACCTGGTTTAGTTCTAGTGTAGTCCTGGTTTAGACCTGGTGTAGTCCTGGTTTAGTCTTGGTTTAGACCTTGTTTAGTCCTGGTTTAGACCTTGTTTAGTCCTGGTTTAGACCTGGTTTAGACCTGGTTTAGCCCCTGTTCAGTCCTGGTGTAGTCCTGGTTCAGACCTGGTTCAGTCCTGGTGTAGTCCTGGTGTAGTCCTGGTTTAGTCCTGGTGTAGTCCTGGTTCAGACCTGGTTCAGTCCTGGTGTAGTCCTGGTTCAGTCCTGGTTTAGTCCTGGTTCAGTCCTGGTTCAGTCCTGGTTTAGTCCTGACCCGACTATTTGCTGGTATCCGACCTGGTGCAGGACTCTGACTCCAGGTCTGTTTGTGATGAGGAAACAACATTATAACATAGATCAGAAAATAGCCTAATATGGGCCCTTTAAATAAATGCAGTAACATCTCCATGGAGACAAGCAGGAAAGTTCCATGGTGCACCTTTAATATTAGAATGCGTGCGAAGATTTCCCCTCAGCCGTGTCGTCAGTGTTAATTATCGAAAAACCAAGGCCCACCCACCCGCAGAAGCCTTGTGGTTCTGACACCGTCGTTTGGGCAGAGACCGGGCGTGTCTGCCGGAGTGCGCGGGGCAGATGGTCGGTTTGCGGCGCCCCTCGGAGGTGACAGGTGGCAGCGCGAGGAGCTTGGACCGAGTCGAGATTCTGAGGAGATCTGTTCAAACGTTTGGCATTTGGAAAGGCCGTGAACTTTGAGAACGCAGCCAGAGACCAAGGAACAAGCAGCAGAGGGAGCATGTAGAGGGAGCGTTCTGGACTTTAAATAGGTTTGGGCAGAATGAGTATGTCCCTGAAAATGTTGTTTAGGAACAGGAAAAGTAAAAAGAAAAAATTGCCTCTTGTGCACTTTTCGCCACATTATAATGTTGTTACCTCCTCAAAAACAGACCTGAAGTTGTGTTTTCATTCATTCACCTTTGAGTAACACTTTATTATTAGTCTGTTTACATATCCAAAGCACAAAACGCTCTGTTCCACCTTGTGATGTCATGAAGCAGTAGTTTTCATCACAAAGTGGAACAGAGTGTTTTCAGTTTGTGAGAAAAACTCAGCCTAAATATCCAGGGTTTGTGTGTTAAACAGGGATGTAACAATAACCCAAATATCGTGATATCGTATCGTCAAAGTTCTCATAATAATATCGTGGACCATCACAATATATCGAATTACAAGTCTCTTTGCTTAAATTAAGAATTACGCTGCAGCAGTAGCTAAAAAAAGACTACATAGACCATGATCCTTTGCTCCATTTGAGTGCAGACTACAAGAAGAAATAACAGTTCTAAGCACTTTTAAGTCTTAGTTCTTTGGGTTAAGTCTTGTCAAGGGCATTTTAAGAGTAAAAAGAAGCATATTTACATTTTGTTTTGTTTGCCTCCACAAAATATCACAATAAATATCGTACCGTGAGATGTAGGGATGTAACGATATCCAAATCTCTTGGTACGATATTATTACGATATGTATCTCACGGTACGATATTTATTGCGATATTTTGAAGTGTAGATAGGACACGTTTTTGCTTTTAAAATACCTTGACAAGATTTTGGTGTGAATTATTTCCGTCATAATCCCAAGAATTCAAATAAAAACATATTTCTTCATGTTGTCTGCGCTGAAATGAATCATGGGATATGTAGTTCCCGATTTTTATTAGCTATTGCTACTATAAAAAATGCATTTAAGCAAAGAGACTTGTAATTCGATATATTGTGACAGCCCATGATATTATTGTGACACTTTTGACGATACGATATCACGATATTTCGGTTATTATTACATCCCTAGTGAGATGTATGTCATGTAAATATACAGAGAGATTTGGATATTGTTACATCCCTAATCGTGAGCCTCCCTATCATATCGTGAACTTTCCTACAATATCGCAATAAATATCGTACCGTCAGGTTCAGACAAGTGACAATATCGTATCGTGAGACTTGGATATCGTTACACCCCTAGTGTTAAACATGTGTGAATGAAACAAAACACAACTCCAGGTCTGTTTGTGATGAAGAAGCGTAATATGGGCCCTTTAAGAAAAAACTTGATGTGGTCTTGAGTAACAGTAAAAACATATTTGGGGAAACAACTACGTAGAGCGTTTGAAAAAGTCACTGTCTGGACGCAACATTTGGTTCATGATTTGAAGTTTAATCAGAAGTATAAAACATTAAATAATGCACAAAAGCTGGTGTTTTTAAAGGATAAACCATCATAAAAACGAGAAAAATCTGTAAAACTACGTCATATCTGAAAGAAAATTGCAAGAAGCACAAATGTTTAAATAAAAATAGTCAACATAAAGTCAACATTTTGTCATTTCACACATAGGTCCTTGGTTCATTACTGCACTGAATAGAATAAATAATGGTTTTGAATGAATGTTTTAATGTTTTTGTAGTCATTAATGCTCTTTCTGTATAAAGTAATAGTTTGTGTTTCTCCACAGGCCCATCTCGTAGCAGCGTTCGAGAAGAGTCTGAGTAACATGACGTGTCGACTGCAGAGCCTCACCATGACAGCAGAGCAGAAGGTACAAACACTCCAAACACACTGTTATTAAGCTTTAAGTTGCAATTTTAAACAGTTTTGAAATTTGATGATACCTATGTTTTCTAATTGTCTGTGGTGATCAGGAGTCAGAGCTGGCGGAGCTGAGGGAGACCATAGAGATGTTAAAGACACAGAACACAGACGCACAAACAGCCATCCAGGTGGCTCTGAACGGCCCCGACCACCTGCACAAAGGTACGACAAATAAATGAATGAAACAAATGCATCTAAAGGTACGAAACAAGCACACCCCTGGTCTTTTTCACAGGTTACTGCTCTGCTCCCTGTGATATGTTACAGCCAGTGATCCAAGTGATTTACGTCAGTGTTTCCCAAACTTTTTTTCTGGCGACCCATATTTTAAAATTCACAGACCTTCACGACCCAGGTCAATAGGCATTATTCGTAAATCACAAAATAAAGGTGGATTTCACATAGGAAAGGGCATTCGATGAAATTTTATTAATCGATCGTCGGGAGAATTAACAATTAATCATTAACGTTTTTATATAATAAGTATCATCATTATTATTACTATTACTAATCTGCATAAATAAACTCAACTTTACAACATATAAACCACGACCACTCTAGAGCCACATCAGCCCGTTTGACATTATAATGTGTTTAATGCAGATTTGAGCAACTCTCACAGAAATGAAACTTAAAACCGCATGGCTCAATTTGCCTAAACTAAGCACAGAAAAAAAAAAAAAAAACGCTCTTGTGCGCTTATGCGGTTCAGCTTCTGTTGGACTAAAGGACATGACTCAGTTGAGTGTTCTTTCTGTGACAGAGGGATGTTGATGCTGAAGGTGTGTCTGTTCTGTGTGTGTGTGTCGCATGATGTTTTCAAAGATCGTACATGTGCAGGTTTAGCTCAGCTCTTTATGTTGCTGTAACCGGGATACTGCGTAAACATGCACCATGACGAAACGGGGATACAGATGTGTATGTAAACACACTCACTTGAGTGGACAGTGTCTCCAAGAAGGTGCCGGAGCCAAAAGGTGGGACTGAGGCCGCAACTCCAGTTACATTAATGAGGATATTTTATTGTTGACGCAGTGATCATGTCTCTCTGAACAATTAGTTTTACTCAAGTTGTAAAACAATGAAAAACAGTCATTGAACCAACAATAAAAGGATCCATAAGTTGCCTACCTGGACATTAAAAGTAGCCCATTTCTTTTTCTTTTCAAGTGACTGTCATGTTCACATTGGCCCAAGTAGCACTGTCAGACCGCTCTTTTACATTGTCCTAACTAGGGGCAGTGGGAAAACAAAGTAGGTCTAAACTATTCCAAATGAGTTTACAAAATGTTTTCGTGTTTGTGTGTCTCAGATCTGAGGATCCGGCGGCAGCAGTCGTCTGAGAGCATGTCCAGTATTAACAGCGCAGCCAGTCACTCCAGTCTGGGCAGTTTGAGCAAAGACGCAGAGGACAAGAAGAAGAAGAAGAAGAACTGGGTGAGTCCATCAAAAGCAGAAATAGAAAATTCTGTTGAAATTAGTCATGTTTTTTTGAATACCTCCATAAGGTTTAGGATTTTGCTAACAATTTCTAGTCATTTTTTGTCCTCATTTGGATAATTTCTTGTTTAAAACTATAATGTATATGATGTGGTCCACTTTTAGACATGGTTTAGTTCTAGATTAGACCTAAAATAGATCAAATATAGACTTTTAGATAGGTTTAGATCTGGTAGAACTAGAAAATCCGAAAAAAAAAGCAACCAGGAATGTTCCATAGTATGACATTAAACAGCTCTATCTTACATTAATTATATCAGACATTCTGACTCTGAGTGGGGTCACCTCTCCACAGATCTGACCTGTAACTTAGCCTGATTTGGTCTCCGTGAAGATTAAAGCTTTAATGCCATACTGTGAAACATTCCAGACAAAGCGATAACACCTTTAACAATCCCGTAGTTCGGTTTCATCTGCTAACGAAACGTCTTCAATCGTCAGGCTTAAGTTACAGTAATTTCAAAACCAGCCTCATAAAGTCATTTTTAATTTAAATATAATTAAAGATTTATTTGTGCAGATGTAGAGAACGGAGCAGAGTTGAGGTGAGGTCACTGAGATGGGAATAAATGATGCAAAAGTTTGTGAGATCAATAAAGGTGGAGTCTAATGCAGAGGAAAAAACAGACCGATTCAAACACATGTAAACAGTGTTATATAACTGTACATACTTTGATTTGCAGTGGTCTTTATAATTGACTGGAATCCAATATTAGTCTACTCTTAATTAAATAACGTGTTCCTTGCACAGAACAAATCTATACTTAAATTGTGGAGCTTCTGTTATCGATTTAATATCCGTAATTGCTTAAAGTTTTCTATGTCGAAGTGCCTTGCTTACAGATTACACTTCAGAGGCTTTATTACTCTAGTTTTGTTGTTTCCTTGTCACAAAAAAAAACAGACCTGGACTTGTGTTTTGTTTCATTTACACATGTTTAACACACAGATCCTGCAACTTTTGGCTGAGCTTTTTTCCTCTCAAACTGAAAACATTCCACCTTGCAATGTCATGTGGTAATACAGGAAGTGCTTCACTGTGTTTTAAACTCCATACACCTTCACTAGAATCATGTGGATGATTCCTATTGGGAATATTATTATCACTGACATAAAAACTTCCATAAAGAATACTAGTTGTGTCGTGTTAGGTAACTGTACAGGCATATAATATATTAGATACAACAAATTACAGTTTATTACCATTTAGGGATGTAGCAATGCCCGAAATGTTGTGATATTGTATTGACAAAACTCTCACAATAATATCGTGTGCAGTCACGATATATCGAATTGCAAGGTTTTTCACTTAAAAGTAAAATAATAAAAAAATAGAGAGAACTACCGTATTTTTCAGACTATAAGGTGCACGGATTATAAGGTGGAAAATCAATAATGTTGAATTCTCTCATCTATTTTCATACATAAAGTGCACCGGATTATAAGGAGCATTAAGCGAAACAAACTGCGACACTTGAGACTGATCCTTAGCCCAGGCATCCACGATCCATTGGCAGAATGTGGCGTAATTCACCCAGCGTTGCCTCCCTCCCTCATTCAGTGTAGACTGCATGATAAAATAACAGTTATTAAGCATTTTTAAGTCTTAATTCCTTGGTATATGACAAAAATGATTCACACTGAAGACTTCTGAAGGAATTTTAGAAGGAAAAAGTTGCATATTTAAAATTCTGTAACTCTCTCTAAAATATCACAGTAATGATCTTATTGAAAATATTGTACTGTGAGATTGTTAAACTCCTATTACCATTAATATAAAAACATTATTACATTACACTGTTATTTTGAGACGCCACAATATGCTACAATTTTTCCATGAAATACAATTGCTTCAGTCATCGAAACATGTGATTCTTCAAAAGTGTACACGAGAAAATAGCTCCAAATTCAGTCTTTAAACTTTTAAACCAGCTACGTTTTTTGATACGTTTTTTTGATAGAGTGCACTTTCGATTCAGTACGATTCAATACAATATATTTATATTGATGCGGTTCAGTGAAAAACAAAAGCTAAATCATGACTGTGATACTAAGTCCACTAAGTTTGTGCAAAGTTAATATGAAAAACTAGCCTGATTCATCAGCCGGTTTCACTTCGTAGCCACCCTCTGACCTCGCAGCATTAGAATCTGTTTGTTCGACAGTAGGCAGGTACTTTTTTAATTGAACCAAATCCCATAATAAGGGCAATAACGTCTTTCCCCTTGATAAAATTCACCAAACATTCTCTTTGTTCCGGCTTTAAATCCTCAATCTCAGGAATCGTTGCCAACACAGAATGTCTGTCTTCGTCTACATCCATCTCGACTGCGCTTGAGTTTGACGTCATGACTTCACAGCTCTTCTCTGATTGTCCGGTGTGTGGCCTACAACTTCCGGGGTTCTTGGAAATCATCTAGTGTATTCCGAGTTCTGACCAAGTCACTGGAGAGAAATGAAATTGAGAGGAGGCACTAGGTGGCACCAGCCTGGCTACTGAAAAACACCCATTTTACTCAAAACAGTGAAAATGTCAACACAATTGTAGCTCTTACGCAAAATAATTTAGTGAAATATACCTAAAAATACTCTTGACGATAAATCGATACAACAGCCCACGATATCGAGACTGTATCATCAAATTAAATGATACGATACATCGATATTTAAGTGTACTGCATGTATATTTTTTAGGATGACTTACATTGGCTTTGGGGTTTTTAGCTCAAGTTTGGTTTCTTATCACTTTGTTGTTCTTCAGGTGGCAGACTCCATCCCCGCTCAGGTCAGTCCACGTGTCTGCTGCTTCTCTTTCTGCTTCGTGCCTTTAAACCCCTCCATCTTATCTCCCCATTTTCTTCTCCTCCCTCCAAAATCATCCTCTCTCTTCAGAATGATCAGCATGGATACAGCGACCCAGCCCCTCCCCGTTTCTCTTCTTTTATTTTAGGCTGGTTTCACAAAGGCTACGTGGCTAAATCTAGCAACAATCCCCATGTATTGTGTTCATTCGTTTTTCAAACTAAAACCAAAAATAAGAAAAAACAACTATTTTCTTCTTTATTTGTCTCCAAAACCAAACCGAAAAAACAGATAATGATTCGTTTTTTCAGTTTTCGATTTTGTGTTTAAATGAAAAATGGAAAAAACGAATAACGACTGTTTCCCTTTTACTTAAACTGCGATGCCGAACTTTTGCGCCTCATACAGACTGAACCTGGTCTAAACCAGGTCTAAACCAGGACTAAACCAGTCTCAGTCCTGGTCTCAGTCCCGGGCTGGTCCCGGTCTAGTCCTTTTCTCAGGCCTGATCTTGTCCCAGTCTGGTCCCGGTCTCAGTCCTGGTCTCAGTCCTGGCTTCAGTCCTGGTCTCAGTCCCGGTCTCAGTCCCGGTCTGGTCCCAGTTTGGTCCCGATCTCAGTCCCGGTCTGGTCCTGGTCTCAGTCCCAGTCTCAGTCCTGGTCTGGTCCTGGTCTCAATCCTAAACCAGGACTAAACCAGGACTAAACCAGGACTAAACCAGGACTGAACCAGGACTGAACCAGGACTAAACCAGGACTGAGACCAGTACTGAGTGTTTTGATGGGCCCAGAGGTGCACCCTCTTAGACTGTTGGGTGATCAGGAGACCGGAACCAGACCGGGAATCAGAACGAGACCAAACCGGAACCAGACCAGGACTGAGACCAGGACTGAGACCGGTTTAGTCCCAGTTTAGTCCTGGTAGACCTGGTTTAATTTTGGTTCTGTTTTAGTCCTGGTTCAGTCCGTATGCAGCATCACAGTTTTAGTCATGGAAGCGAGGAACATCCGTTTTCTGTTTTTTCCATTTTTCATTTAGAAAACTGAAAAAATTAATCGTTATCTGTTTTTTCATTTTGGTTTTGGAGACAAAAAATAAAATAATGAAGAAAATAGTTGCTTTTTTGTTTTCTTATTTTTGTTTTTATTTTGAAAAATGAAAAACGAGTGAACGGACTGACCTACACAAAGACATAAAATGCTGCTAATTTCCACTTTCAGTTCCCGGACAGGTAGATGTCATAAATGGCGAACATGCTATTTCAGAAAAAAGAACACTTATGAGTTTTATCGAAGCCTATATCTTTATGAAACCAGCTCTGTTCATTTTGACGCCTGTTGATCCGTACTTACAGGAATCCCAACATGGCCGCCTTCTTTACCACCTGCATCTCTACTTACTGCCTTGCTTCCTCCTCTCCCCTTTTTAAAACAGTGATCATTGCTTGGAAACAGCACGGACTGATCCATCTCTAATATCCTCTCTTAAACGTCTGTAACGTCACTCTCCAGACTCTCATTTTCTCTGCGAATGTTGTTTTTTTTTTGCAGTTGCGCAGCTCGTTCAAGCACGCGTTCAGCAAGAAGAAAACCAAGTCCCAGTCGGCTCACGATGAGATGGAGGAGATGAGCGACTCTCTGCCCTCTTCGCCCAAACTGCAGCACGATAACAGACAGGGCAGCATCGCCACGCTGCGCTCCTCCCCCTCCACCACAGAGTATGTCAAGTCTCTATGAATATCTTTGTATACTACTATATCCTCCTGGGACCCAAAAAAAGTGTATCGCAATATCTATTTTTTGTGATTTTCTATCTATTTGGAGGTAAATGAACACTTTAGCATTAGATTTAGTTAATTTTATTTTTATTTATAATTTGTGACATGTCCTCTGTAATGGACGCTGGGGACATTTTGGTGTTAAATGTTAAAAATTAACAGTCTAACAAAAACTTTTTAAAACTTTTCTGATGACCAACATCTCCGGCAAGCTTCTACAGTCGCCTCAAGAAGATTTTAGACTCCCTTTTAATGTTTTTATTATTATTATTATTATTATTATTATTATTTATTTATTTATTTATTTTATTTTTATTTTAATCATAGTGCACTAGTAGTGTGACCAGACGTCCCTATTTACCCGGGACAGTCCCAGTTTTGAGCCCTGTGTCCCCTGTCCCAGCAGATTTATTCAAAACCAGTGATTTGTCCCAGTTTTAAACAAGAAATGTCCCTGGTGTCTTTGTTTTTGACCAATATGAGGCATAAATTGTCATTTGTTTAGGTAAAATACAGAAAAGCTGCTAAAAAACAACCAAAACACAAAGAAAATGTGACTCTACTGACTTCACATGTTTGTCATGAATGGGCCGAGCGCAGAACAGTTCTCCTTAGTTACACACTCGTTTCACAATTTCATTATTACCAAACCTGGAGTGTCCCAGTTTTTGAAAATCTGGTCACACTACTGTTGAGTTCATTTTTTATCCTGGACAGAATAGTACCCTATAATCCCCCAGCCCTAGTCTCCCCGTTAAGAGTTTATTTCAAAACACTTAAGACAGACTGGTTCACTCAATGTCCACTATAATGGACACAAATGAATGGGTCGGGTCTCAGGAGGATATTTGGGTTTTAACTTTAGGTTGGCACCGTCTGCTGGAGATGTAGGATCAAAAATAAATCTTTTTAGGTGTAATTATCCCAAATATTTGAACAAACTTACAGACTAGTAGTAGTAGTAGTAGTAGTAGTAGTAGTAGCAGCAGCAGTCATCGTAATTGTGGCAGGCGAGTTGTTGTTCATAACTTGTTCAGTTGTTTAAAAAGTTATAAAAGGTTTGACTTGAGATAAAATCTTCCAGTTGTAAATGCTTCCACAAACTCAGAACTAATATTGTAGTAAATAAGATTCAATGTGACTATGTCAAGTATTCTGCAAAAAACACAGGGACTTTTGCATCCCTATTCAGTTCGTGTCTCATTTTAATTTTCTGTTGAACGTTATCTTATTTTCTTTTCATCCTCCATCTCTCCTCCTCTTCACCTGTTCCTCTTCCTCTTCCTCGTCTGTAGAAAGTGTGTTTGTGATAGCTCGTCCTCTCCTCTGTGGACTCCAAAGAAAAAGCCCAATGGTCATGTGGTGTACAAGCACAGATCACGGTAACAGGGTCAGGGTGTGCCGTGACGCATGGTGTGGCTTTGACAGAAACAAGCAAAAAAAGATCCAATTAGACACAGGAATAAGTTTGAAATGTTACCGAAGACCATCTGAGAAAAGTACTTTACTTTAGAAAACATTTTACAGTTTATATTGTTCCATTATCATAACTTTTCTGACTTTTGTAGGGTGGTAGGTTGTTGATAGGTACTACATACTGAGAGCATCGTCATTTTATATCTTTTTTTATTTGTGATTTTGACCAGAGATCTTGAGAAATTGACAACAGAAAGATCTACTGTGTACTATATAATTTTATGGATGTAGGGTTAATCTCATTATTATTTTTTTGCCTGGAATGTTCCACTGTATTCAACTTTTCTAAGGTGCCTTTTTTATTAATTAATTTATTTATTTATGTATGGCTAAAAATTAGAGGTGCAACGATATCCACATCTCACGGTATGATATTTATTGCGATGTTTTGGGTTAGGGATGGGCATTCGATAAAATTTTCTTAATCGATCGTTGGGAGAATTAACGATCGATTATCGATTAATCATTAACGTTTTTATATTGAAATGATCATCATTATTATTACTATGTGCACTACTAATCTGTATAAATAAACTCAACTTTACACCATATAAACCGTAACCACTATAAAGCCACATCATCCCGTTTGACACTATATTGGCAAAGATTTTTTTATGTTTTTCGGTGTCCTGGTGAACTTTGAGGTCCTTGGCACCACCACTGGACACCGAAACTGTGCACATGTCCTCACACTTGTCTCGACCTGGGTGGAAAGTGGGGAATTTCTTGTACAAGTCATCGTTTAATGCGCATTTGCGTTTCGGCATGTTGCAGACTGACTGACGGTTTGTGTCTGCTCGCTCCTTCTGAGTGCACAGAGGGCCCAGTGAAAGGTAATGAAAACCCGGACAACCAGGACAGGACCTGAAAACCGGGGAAAAACAGACGTTTGGTCACCCTACGCTACACACAGCAACCTACATTCGGTTTGTCAATTAAAAATGAACGTAATCAATGAAATTCTTAATGATCAATTATCGATGAATCGACTAATCATGCCCATCCCTATTTTGGAGAGGCTGATATAATTACCTCTCAGGGCCTGTTTATACAAGAACGCTTGCGGGTAAAAACGACAAAATATTTTATCAGAAGAGCCTTTCGTTTAGACGGTGACGGCGTTTATCGGGCTTAAAAACGCAAAAATCTGAAACCCCCCTCCAGAGTGGAAAAGTTGAATACGCTCCGCCATAGTGTTTCCATCTACACTGCCCAAGACACAAAACTCTGGTCAGATCTGCTCACGTCATGCACGCGTTTACATCACATACATACAGTACACAGAAACAAACATGTCGGATCATTTCCATGCGTCGGACCTTCAAGCTGCTCTAATAAACTTACATGAGGCTCCCGACAAATGTAGAGAATCTGCAGAGAAACTATTAGTGAACAGAGGATCTGCAATCACCTCTGTCAAATTCTGGATGCACCAGGTCGTCGCAGGCGAGTCAGACGGATTTGGACGAGACCTGGAGAACCAGTCGACGGTGGGACGACTTTGTGGAAGGAGGAGCTGATGAAAATGCACGTCGTGTCCAAAGACGCTCTTGTTGCTTTTAGTACAAACATACCCAATCGAATTCCACACACTTTTGCGTCACCGTATGCACGCAGATTTACTCCCAAAAACGCTCGAAAACAAAAACGTGGAATAAAAAGTGCAGACGCGACTCCACTTTTGTGTCTTCTGCTCAGACTCTTATCATATAAACGTAGCCATACAGTGAAACATTCCAGGCAAAGACATAACAACATCTCCACGTATCAGAAAAAGTTACCTCTAAAATGAAACGGCAGCTTTGACTGAACTGAATGTGACTTGCTTGTTTTAGTTTCACAGCTGAGCACCTGCTGAGAAAGTTCAAAGAAATACAAAACAGAATGTGTGTTTTTTCACAGCATGAGACGTTTGTGATGTAACAGGCTCTGGGGTCTGTGGAGGGATCTGCTCTCACCTCTGTTTTCATTCACGACTTCACGACTAACTCTGGCTTCTCCCCTTTTTAACGTATCTGCGTAATCCCTTGACTTTAAAGGTGCATTGTGGAACTTTTCTGGTGGAGGGTCCGTCAAATGCTTTTCTCCGTGGAGATGTTATTGCTTTGTCTTGGAATGTTTTACAGTATGACATGACAGCTTTTTATTTTCATGGAGACCAAACCAGACCAAGTTACAGGTCAGGTGTGTGGAGAGGCGACCCCGCTCTCAGTCAGAACGCCTGTTTTTCTTGATATTTTTGAGCTGTAAAACCACCTGTAATTTAATGAATGTAAAGTAGAGCTGTTTAATGTCATACTGTGGAACATTCCAGGCAGAGCAATGACATCTCCATTAGGGCTGGGTATCAGTAAGAAGTTGCCGATATGATACATAGGCCACGATGCGATACATGTCTCGATACAGTGCACTTTTGATTCGGTGTGATATATTTCAATAGGGGTGTGCAAAAATACTGAAATAAGTCAGTAAGTAAGTAAGTCTATATTTATATAGCGCTTTTCTCAGACATAAGTCACAAAGACGCTTTATGATATGTCGTATCGTTTAATGTGATGATACAGTATCGATATCATGGGGTGCTGTATTTATATTTCACTAAGAGTATTTTTGATATATTTTGCTAAATTATTTTGTTACAGCTACAGTTTTGTTGTTTGTTTAGTGGAAGGAAACTTCATATGAACTTTGCACAAGAAGTGGTTTAACAAAGACTTTTAGTATCACAGCCATGATTTAGCCTTTTTATTGAACCGTATCGAATCATTTTCAAATATATTGTACTGAATCAAAAATGTACTGTACCGAGATAGGTATCGTATCGGCAACTTTTTAATGATACCCAGCTCTATATTTCAAATCAGTAAAAACTAAAGGCTCAATCATGGCTGTGATACTAAAAGTCTTTGTTAAACCACTTCTTGTGCAAAATTTACATGAAACACAAACATTTTAATCATCAAAACAGTGAAAATGTCAAACGTGTCGCATAAATGATTTTCCTTGCACTAAACAAACAACAAAACTGAAGCCCTGTAACAAAATAATTTAGTAAAATATACCAAAAAATACTATCAGTACAGCTATCCCCAATATCGATAATGTATCATCACATTAAACGATACAATATGTTGATATTTCTATATTTTTGCACATCACTAATATCCATAGAGTCAAGCAGGTGACAGACCCCTAAACAAAAAGTTAGGCACCTACTGGTATTTTTGAGCTTTAAAACCACCTTTAATTGAATAAATGTAAGTTTGAGCTGTTTAATGTCACACTGTGGAACATTCAAAGCAGATCAAGAAGATGACGGACCCCCAACCCAAAAAGTTACACAGTGCACCTTTAATATAAACCTGTCCTTTAACCATCACGTGCTGAAGTCTGACCCTGCGTGTTGCCCCTGTGTGTGTGCGCGGTGAACCCTGTAGGTTGTGCGAGTGCACGGAGGCCGAGGCCGAGACGATCCTGCAGCTGAAGAACGAGCTGAGAGAGAAAGAACTCAAACTCACCGACATCCGACTGGAGGCTCTGAGCTCCGCCCACCACCTCGACCAGATCAGAGAGGCCATGAACCGCATGCAGGTACTTACACTTAGACTAACTTAGACTTAATTAGACTTAGACTTACTTTTACTGAGACTTTCTTAGACTTATTTAAACTTAGGCTTACTTAGACTTACTTAGACTTATTTAGACTTAGACTTACTAAGACTTACCTATACTAAGACTTAGACTAACTTAGACTTGGACTTACTTAGATTTAGTTAAATTTACTTAGACTTTAACTTATTTAGACTAACTTAGACTTAGACTTATTTAGACTTAGACTTAGACTTAGACTTACTTAAACTTAGACTTACCTAGACTTAGACTTAGACTTGGACTTACTTAGATTTACTTTGACTCAGGCTTACTTAGACTTAGTTAGATTTACTTAGACTTTGACTTACTTAGACTTACTTAGACTTAGACTTATTTAGACTTAGACTTACTTACACTTAGACTTACTTAGACTGACCTATACTTAAACTTAGACTTACTTAGACTTAGACTTACTTAGACTTGGACTTACTTAGATTTACTTTGACTCAGACTTACTTAGACTTACTTAGACTTAGTTAGATTTACTTAGACTTTGACTTACTTAAACTTAGACTTGATTAGACTTAGACTTACTTAGACTGACCTATACTTAAACTTAGACTTACTTAGACTTAGACTTACTTACTTAGACCCAGTTACTTACCATCATTGTGATGTACATGTAATGGTAATAAAGGAAGTACTCCACTGTGTTTTAAACGTGTGAATAAAACAAAACACAACTCCTGGTATGTTTTTGAGGAGGTAACAACATTCTAACAAGGCTTAAATCTCACAAGGGACAATTTTGCTTAATATAAAACCTTTGAACCCAATCCCAAAGCCTGTCACATTTGTACCTAAACTCCTGGTGAAATCTATGGATCATGTTCTATTTCTTATCTCGCTCTAACCTTCAGCGTAAAACATTTTCACAGATCAAAAAGCAGCTTACAGCCCCTAATGCGTCTAAAACCATCTGAAATAACTGCGCACGGCTGAACGCACAAAATCACTGTAATCCGATTTCACATTTTGTCATATTTTGGTGAGTAAATGCGCAGAATTTTGAATAACTTTGTGCGATTTCTTGCTCGAAGCTTCTCCCATTTGCCCTCTTAATACTCGGCTTTGCTTCTCAAATGGAGCGAGTTAAATATTCATTGGTCATTCTGCCGGAGGTCAAGTCATTTGGATTCACAATGGAACTTTCTCGTTCAATTTGGGCACATTTTATTAGACTCTTTGCTGTTTCCTCACTGACTCCGAAGGGGAAGTTGTCCTGTAATTCAATGTACATAAGTTTTTACAGTGAACTTAATTCAGGAAAACAAGATTGACTTTATTATTTGAAGGTCAGGCCAGCGGGACTAAGACTAAACCAGGACTAGACTACAGAATTAGACCAGGACTGGACTACAGAACTTGACCGGGACTGGACCATGCCTGGACGAGAACTAGACCAGGATTAACTACTAGCAGGACCAGGCTAGAACTAGACCAGAAAGACTGAACCAGGACTAAAGCAGGACTAGTCTACAGAACTACCAGGACCAGGACTGTACCATGACCAGACGAGAACTAGACCAGGATTAGACTAGGCTAAAACCAAACCAGGACTAGATGAGTACCAGATCAGTACTAGACCAGAAGGACTGAACCAGAACTGAAGCAGGACTAGACTACAGAACTTGACCAGGACTGGACCATGCCCAGACAAGTACTAGACCAGGATTAGACTAGCAGGACTAGGACTAAAACCAAACCAGGACTAGATGAGTAGAACTTGACCAGGACTGGGCCAGAACTAGAACTAAACCAGGACTAAAACAGGCTAGACTAGGACTAAACCAGGGCTAAATCAAGACTAAACCAGGATTGGATTAGGACTAAACCAGAACTAAACCAGAATGACTAAACAGCACAGGATTAGACCGGACCTATACCAGAACTAAACTAGTACTATATACCTGGACTAAAACAGGACTAAACCAGAGCTAGACTGGGCCTGAACCAAGACTAGACTAGAACTAGGATTAGGACCAGGCAGGACCATGCTAAAACCAAACCAGGACTAGATGAGTACCCGACCAGTATTAGACCAGAAGATCTGAACCGGAACTAAACCAGGACCAAAACAGGACTATACCAGCAGGACTAGACCAGAACTAGGACTAAACCAGGGCTAAATCAAGACTAAACCAGGATTGGATTAGGACTAAACCAGAACTAAACCAGAATGACTAAACAGCACAGGATTAGACCGGACCTATACTAGAACTAAAACAGGATTATACCAGGATTAAACAGGCCTAAACCAGAGCTAGACTGGGCCTAAACCAGGACTAGACTAGAACTAGGATTAGACTACAGTATAGAACTAAACCAATACTATACCTGGACTAAAACAGGACTAAACTAGAGCTGAACTAGAACTGGGACTACAGAACTAAACAAGTACTATACCAGGACTTAAACAGGACTAAACCAGGACTAAACCAGAACTAAACTAGAAATAAACGAGTACTATACCAGGACTTAAACAGGGCTAGACTAAAACTAAATCAGGGGCTAGAAGAAGACCAAATCAGGTCTAAATCTCAAACCAGTTCCAGACCAAAATGGATGTGCACACTGTTCTGGTTGAGGTCCTTTTCCACGTTTTGTTTTGTATTTTCTCAGAACGAGATCGAGACTCTGAAGGCGGAGAACGACCGTCTGAAGTCCAGTGGAAACGCGACCCCCACAGCCACCCCGGTGAAAACAGCCCGGCCCCCCTCTGAGACCTCCAGCACCTCCTCCTCCTCCTCACGCCAGAGTCTGGGCCTGTCCCTCAACAACCTCAACATCACAGACACCATCATGTCAGGTCAGTCTGAACAAATCTACAAGAGAGAGAGAGGGAGGGAGGGAGGATGGGAAGGAGACAAAAAGAAAGAGGAGGAGAGAGACAGAGAGAGAGATGGATAGAGTACCTCCTCCTCTCTCCAGAGTCTAGAACTGTCCGTGAACAACCTCAACATCACTCGGGCTGAACTTGAAGGAGGGAACTGAACTTGAAGGAGGGAGACAAAAAGAGAGAAGGAGGGAGATATATAAAGAGAAATGGGAAACCTCCATCCTCCCCCTCACGCCAGAGTCTGCGACTGTCCCTGAACAACCCCAACGTCACAGACACCATCATGTCCGGTCTGTCTAAACATATCGATGAGGGAGAGTGGAAGGGGTGAGGGAAAGATAGAAAGAGTAGGGAGGGAAGGAGGGAGGGAGAGAGCGAGAGGGAGGGAGAGAGTCGCCAGAGTCTGGACCTGTCACTCAACAACCTCAACATCACTGATACCATCATGTCAGGTCTGTCTGAACATATCTGTGAGAGAGAGAGGGAGAGGGGGAGAAAGGGAGGGAGAGAAGGAGGGAGACAAAAAGACAGAGGGAGAGAGAAACGGGTAGAGCACCTCCTCCTCATACCAGAGTCTAGGACTGTCCCTGAACAACCTCAACATCACTGATACCTTCATGTCAGGTCAGTGTGAACATAACTACGAGAGAGGGAGAGAGAGAGGGGAGGGAAAGCTAGAGAAAATAAGGGAGGGAGGGAGAGAGAGAGAGAGGGAGAGAGAGAGAGAGGGTTGCCAGAGTCTGGGCCTGTCCCTCAACAACTTCAACATCACTGATACCATCATGTCAGGTCAGTCTGAACATAACTACGAGAGAGAGTGGAAGAGAGCGAAGGAGAGACAGAGAGAGAGAGATGGGTAGAGCACCTCCTCCTCCTCTCACCAGTTTAGGACTGTCCGTGAACAACCTCAACATCACTCGGGCTGAACTTAAGTATGAGAGCGAGAAGGAGGGAGACATAAAGAGAGAAGGAGAGAGATGTATAGAGAGAAATGGGAAACCTCCATCCTCCCCCTTATGCCAGAGTCTGGGACTGTCCCTCAACAACCTCAGCGTCACAGACACCATCATGTCCGGTCAGTCTGAACAAATCTGTGAGAGAGGGAGGGAGAGAGGGAGGGAAACAAAAAGAAAGAGGGAGAGAGATACAGAAAGAGAGAGAGACAGGTAGAGTACCTCGTCCTCCTCGCGTCAGAGTCTAGGACTGTCCATGAACAAACTCAACATCACTGATACCATCATGTCAGGTCAGTCTGAACAAATTTATTAGAGATGGAGGGAGAGAGAGAGTGAGGGAGAAAGGGAAGGAGAGAAGGAGGGAGACAAAAAGAGAGCGGGAGAGACAGAGAGAGAGACAGGTAGAGCACCTCGTCCTCACGCCAGAGTCTGGGTCTGTTTCTCAACAACCTCAACATTACAGACACCATCATGTCAGGTCAGTCTAAGCAAATCTATGAGAGGGAGAGAGAGAGAGAGGAAGGGAGGGAGGAAGAAGGCGAGGGAAAGATAGAGAGAGTAAGGGAGGGACGGAGAGAGCGAGAGGGAGAGAGAGAGTCGCCAGAGTCTGGGTCTGTCCCTCAACAACCTCAACATCACAGACAGCATCATGTCAGGTCAGTCTAAACAAATCTATGAGAGAGAAAGGGAGGGAGAGAGAAGAGGGAGACAAAAAGAGAGAGGGAGAGAGAGACAGGTAGAGCATCTCCTCCTGCTCACGCCAGAGTCTAGGACTGTCCCTGAACAACCTCAACATCACTGATACCATCATGTCAGGACAGTTTGAACATATGGATCGGAGGGAGAGTGGAGAGAGGGGGAGGGAAAGATAGAAGAGTAAGGGAGGAGAGGGAGGGAGAGAGTCGCCAGAGTCTGGGTCTGTCTCTCAACAACCTCAACATCACTGATACCATCATGTCAGGTCAGTCTAAACAAATCTATGAGAGAGAGAGGGAGGGAGAGAGAAGAGGGAGACAAAAAGAGAGAGGGAGTGAAAGACAGAGAGAGAGAGAGACGGGTACAGCACCTCCTCCTCCTCTCACCAGAGTCTATGATTGTCCCTGAACAACCTCAACGTCACAGACACCATCATGTCAGGTCAGTCTGAACTCATGTATTAGGGAGGGAGAGAGAGCGAGAGAAAGAAGGAGGGAGAGAGAGAGAGAGGGGGAGAGAGTCGCTAGAGTCTGGGCCTGTCCCTCAACAACCTCAACATCACTGATACCATCATGTCAGGTCAGTCTGAACTCATGTATTAGGGAGGGAGAGAGAGCGAGAGAAAGAAGGAGGGAGAGAGAGAGAGAGGGAGAGAGTCGCTAGAGTCTGGGCCTGTCCCTCAACAACCTCAACATCACTGATACCATCATGTCAGGTCAGTGTGAACTTATGTATGAGAGAGAGAGAGACAGAGAGGGAGAGAAACAGGGGCAGAGGCAGATATAAAGAGATGGGGAGAGAGGGAAGAAAGAGGAGACAGGTACAAAGAGAGAGAGGGAAAGTAGTAAGAGGAAGCACCTCCTTGCGTGAGAGTCTTGGACTGTCCCTAAACACCCTCACCAATACCATCAGGTCAGGACACTCACTTATGTATGAGAGAGAAGGAGAGGGAAGGAGAGAGAGAAGGAAGGAGAGGGATCGAAGAGTTTATGTAAAAATGTCTCTGCAAAGAGAACAGAACAAAGAGTTACAGGAACAGCTTTGTTCCGTCAGCAGATTTCCTTATGAACAAATCAAACTTTATTCTTCTATTTTTATATTTCTAATGTTTATTAGTTTGTGACTCTGAGCCAGTGTGAATAATCAAGTGTCTGTATTCTCTTAATGTGTATTGATGCCAAACCTGAAAACTACTGCAAAACATTCAACAAATAACCCGAACCTGAACCTGAACCTGCCTTTTGCCGCATCGATATATGTAACAACCTGGAAACGAATACACAGGACACACTGATAAACTGACTTTTGTTACGGCCAGTTGAGAAAAAAGCACAAACGTTTTTCTCGTTCACAAATGCTCCGCCCCAACTACAAAAGCTGCTCTGTGATTGGTCCAGTGGGACTCACAAATATTGCGAGAAGAGAGAATCCATTTTGCTGTGGAAGGTTAAGGCAGAATCACTAACAAACTAAACAAAATAAAGAGAGAGACCAAACTAAAATAAGATAAGTTGATATGTAACAACAATATACCGTATTTTTCGGACAATAAGTCGCTCCAGAGTATAAGTCGCACCAGCCAAAAAATGTGTAATGAAGAAAAAAAAATCATATGTAAATTGCATTTTTTGGGGGAAACTTATTTTATAAAATCAGAGACCAGGAACCGACATTTCATGTTGAAAGTCAAGTTCTAGTAAAAACAATAGAACAGAGAACAACAGACTGTTAACGTCACATATGAACAGTTCTTCAGATAAACTATAACATAAACAACAGAACAGAACAAGTTTAACAAACTCTCCATCTCACTCCAAATCACTAAATCCATTCAGTTCTTCATCCTCGGTGTCACTTCTGAGCAACTCCACAACCTCTGGAGGTAAACAGAGCGCCGCTTCCTCTTCTGTGTCGCTGTCGTCAGACTCAGCATCAGATCCAGTTAGAATTATTCCAGCCTTTCTGAATCCCGACAGGATGGTTTCGGTGTCACTGAAGTCCAGGCTTTGTCGATCCATCTAATGACTTCCAGGAAAGTTACATGGTGCATCCTCCCGGTTGCCGTGAAGCTGTGTTCTCCGTCCCCACTTTTCGCCAGTTCCTCACAAGTTTCTCTCTCACTCCAGACTTTCTTTCTGCTGCTCGATTACTGTTTTTCGGCTGAATATTTCACTACTTGCTGCAGGACAGAGGCTCTTTGTGCAGGAGACATGCACAGTAGAGCCAAGTGACAATGGTACAGGAGGGACAGGAGCAGCAGATCCTGACACACAAGACTAGAGCGCCCTCTCGTGGCTTCAGTGTGAACATTTTAATATATAAATCACAGGAAACACCCAAACTATAAAACAAAATGCGAATTATAGTCTGAAAAATACGGTAGTTAAAAGCTCTTAAAGGCCAATTTTGCACTATATGTCTCCTTTAAATTATGAAATACCAATTTGAAATAGTTTAAAAAGCCAGACTGATGAATAACAATAATGTTTTACTATACTATTATTTTCGGTGTGGTCAGGCCTCCTTATCTTTCATGTCTCGCTACAAAATCTCATCTCCCGTTAAATTCCATTCGTCACAATCTGCATCTCACTAAAATACAGACGCAGGGCAGAAACGTGTGCCTAAATCATTTTCATCTCCAAAGCAGCTCTCCTGTAGAGTTTGTTTATTTCAGCAGCGGTAGAAATGCCAAAGGCCCTGAGTGTTTGAGACGAGGATTAAAATCAAACTGTGTGTTCTTAACAGACACTTTTCTGATAGATGACAGCTTCGAGGGGAATCTGCGCAAAGAAGGACGGAGCGTGAGGATCGTGGTATCCATCTGCAGCGCGCCCAAGACCACCAAGGTGAGGGGGGCTGTGTAATAGATGTTTATAAAGAGTTTTTTAAAATATCTGTGCTAGAAATAATATTAGTTTTACAGCTCTGGCTCTCAAATTTTTCACACCAAGTACCACCAAAGAAAAGGTCTGGGTTTCCGAATACTACCAGATCTAAACCAGGTCTATTCCAGGTTTAATCTAGGGCCAAACCAGGTCTATAACAGGACTATTCCAGGTCTAATCTAGGGCCAAACCAGGTCTATAACAGGACTATTCCAGGACTAACCCAGGTCTATAATAGGACTATTCCAGGTCTAATCTAAGGTCAAACCAGGTCTATAACAGGATTATTCCAGGTCTAATTTAGAGCTAAACCAGAATTATAACAGATCTATTCCAGGTCTAATCCAGGTCTATAACAGGACTATTCCATATTTAATCCAGGTCTAATCTAGGGCCAAACCAGGTCTATAACAGGAGTATTCCAGGTCTAATCCAGGTCTATAACAGAACTATTCTAAATCTAATCCAGGTCTATAACAAGGCTATTCAAAGTCTATTCTAGGGCCAGACCAGGTCTGTAATAGGACTGTTCCAGGTCTAATCAAGGTCTATAGCAGGACTATTCCAGGTCTATAACAGGACTATTCCAAGGCTAATTTAGGGCCAAACCAGGTCTATAAAAGGACTATTCCAGGTCTAATCTAGGGCCAAACCAGGTCTATAAAAGGAATATTCCAGGTCTAATCCAGGTCTATAAAAGGACTATTCCAGGTCTAATCCAGGTCTATAACAGAACTATTCCAGGTCTAATCTAGGGCCAAACCAGGTCTATAAGAGGAATATTCCAGGTCTAATCCAGGTCTATAAAAGGACTATTCCAGGTCTAATCCAGGTCTATAAAAGGACTATTCCAGGTCTATAAAAGGACTATTCCAGGTCTATAACAGGACTATTCCAGGTCTAACCTAGGGCCAAACCAGGTCTATAAGAGGAATATTCCAGGTCTAATCCAGGTCTATAAAAGGACTATTCCAGGTCTAATCCAGGTCTATAAAAGGACTATTCCAGGTCTAATCCAGGTCTATAACAGAACTATTCCAGGTCTAATCTAGGGCCAAACCAGGTCTATAATAATATTAAATTCTAAATTATGCAAACCCATAAACTGTAGCTCTGTAGCCAAGACCCACCTGAAGGAGCTCGCGCACCACAGTTTAAGAAATAATGCTTTATACTATTTAATGATGACAATACACGGCTGACAATCCACACCATCCGCCCCTCCGTCAACACGCACACGCCTCGTTCATACTAGGCAATGTGGATGAAGTGTCTCGCTTAAAGACACATCAACAGAGTCAAATTAATGAAATGTCAAATTTGTGGTTGCTTCAATTGATAATGCAAAGTGAATTACTATAAAACATTATTGAGGACCATTGCGTTATAATGATATCACTGTCCTTTATAAATTCCAGGGTAAACTGTGTCAGGAGTATCTGATCGGATCAATCGGTGTGAGCGGGAAAACCAAATGGGACGTTCTGGATGGAGTCATCAGACGCCTCTTTAAGGTAATAACACTTCATATACACTTTAATATGTCAGATACACACTCATCCTTTACGGTTTTTGTCTACTTTTGGCTTCTCTTCTTTTCTACTTCTATCATTTCACTCATGCACATCGAAACAGCAAGGACCATAGTGAGGGAAATTCATCCTCTGTGTTTTATTTATTCAAGATTTCAATAGGTCAGTTGAGAACACCTTATTTACAATGATGACGAGGCCAAGGCCCAGTATAAAACAGCACACGAAGGATTTATGGTGGATCCACACATCCATTTTAAAATGCTACAGTAAAACTTTTACAGTTAAAAGATAAAAGTGTTAAAACATCTGCAGTGATCCTGTGAAATATTCAGAGGCACAAACAAACTGGTCTTTAGAGTCTGTTGTATCGTATTTTTCAGACTATAAGGTGCATTTAAAATCCTTTAATTTTTTTCAATAAACAACAGTGCGCCTTATGTATTAATTCTGTTTGTGCTTAATGACTTTGAACTGGTTTTATGTGGTACATGGCGCTCAAAAATCTGTCAAAAATGTTTTAGTACAACTTTGGTAGCCGCACCGCTTAATGGATTGACGGAGCATTACGGCTACTGTAGTCAGGAACCTCATGGAGTAAGTGAGTCGTGACCTTTAGTCCGAAAGAAGCTGAACCGCATCAGCGCACAAGGAGCGAGCTGTTTTTTTTTTTAGCGTTTATAGTTTATGCAAATTTAAAGTTTTGTTTCTGTAAAATGTAAACAAATGTGCTCAAAGCTGCATTAAACACATTATTACTCAATGTATATTTGGGTCCTCCTCGTAGGAAATAAAAATCCAAACTAAAATTATCCACCAACATTCACATTCATAATACACATTCACCAAAAGTATCGTCCATTTTTTTTGCGTTTTATAATCCTGTGTGCCTTATGTATAAAAATATCATTATTATCCTTAATATCAAATTCATCATTATTGGTATTGTGCCTTATAATCTGAAAAATATGGTAGATGGTTCCAGTTTCTTGCTGCAGAACTGAAACGAGGAGATAAAGATGCAGCAGTAGCTCATGGATCCTGACAGGTTGGCCCGGCGACAATGGTTGAAGAATGAACCAGTGTCGCCGTGGGCAACCTGTCAGAGCACTGAGCTACTGACGGACGACGCTCAGACTAGTTTTCGGTCGGGACTACTTTAGCTGGAGGATTTGACCCCTTATGCGTGTTTTGGTGGAAACTGGGGAGAAATTAGACGTCCCACGGAGCAGACAGCGACACCCGCAGCCACACTCATCACTCCACGTGGACGAGGAATGGAACGGAGGAACGAACCGAAAAAGCGAGCGCAATGTGCCACTTCTAGACACGACTGAACAACTGAGTCACTGCGAACACGCTGACAATCCAGCGGTCCCAGACAGCACCCTCCCTACACGCCACAACTATGAATAAAGCCCAGAGTCACCGGGAACGCCACAAACAAACAAAACCACTCACCCATCCAACTGTTGTGTTTCCTTTAAAGTCCGGTGCGGTTTATTTGTGAAAAAAGTTTGAAAATAGACCATTTAATGACAGTGTGTTTTATAATCCAGAGCGCCTAATAGTGTGGAAAATACGGTAGATTCTTTTTTCCATTGTAATATTGGACATTTCAAGTAATAAAGTCCCATTTTGTCCCTTCCGTTTGTGTTTTCAGGAGTATGTGTTCAGAGTGGACCCCAGCAGCAGTCTGGGCCTGAGCTCAGACAGTATTGTGTGTTATCGGATGGGGGATGTGGTTCGCTCTCACTCGTCTGAGGTCCCGGAGCTGCTGCCCTGCGGATACCTGGTGGGCGACAGCAACGTCATCCAGGTCAACCTCAAAGGTACAGACGGAACATTTATTATTTCATGAAATGTATTTTTGTAAAGCCCAAAAATGCACTTTGTAATTAAATTAAACACATGCATATTTTGAAGATCTACACATTGAACACTTGCTTATAAAACCCTTATATAATACTCCCTACAACTGTACAACTCACTCTTATGTAACAGATAACACTCCCTATAAATGTACAACAACTCACCTTTATGCAACAGATAATACTCCCTACAAATGTACAGCAACTCACGTTTATATAACAGATAATGCTCCCTACAACTGTACAATAACTCACCCTTATGTAACAGATAATACTCCCTACAACTGTACAACAACTCACTCTTATGCAACAGATAATACTCCCTACAAGTGTACAACAACTCATCCTTATGTAACAGATAATACTCCCTACAATTGTACAATAACTCGCCTTATGTAACAGATAATACTCCCTACAATTGTACAATAACTCGCCTTATGTAACAGATAATACTCCCTACAACTGTACAACAACTCACCCTTATGTAACACATAATACTCCCTACAAGTGTACAACAACTCATCCTTATGTAACAGATAATACTCCCTACAACTTATGCAACAGACAATACTCCCTACAACTGTACAACAACTCACCCATATGTAACAGATAATACTCCCTACAACTGTACAACAACTCACCCTTATGCAACAGATAATACTCCCTACAACTGTACAACAACTCACCCTCATGTAACAGATAATACTCCCTACAACTGTACAACAACTCACCTTTATGTAACAGATAATACTCCCTACAACTTTGCAACAACTTATGCAACAGACAATACTCCCTACAACTGTACAACAACTCACCCATATGTAACAGATAATACTCCCTACAACTGTACAACAACTCACCCATATGTAACAGATAATACTCCCTACAACTTTACAACAACTCACCTTTATGCAACAGATAATACTCCCTACAACTGTACAACAACTCACTCTTATGTAACAGATAATACTCCCTACAACTGTACAACAACTCACCCTTATGTAACAGTTAATACTCCCTACAACTGTACAACAACTCACCTTTATGCAACAGATAATACTCCCTACAACTGTACAACAACTCACCCTTATGTAACAGATCATACTCCCTACAACTGTACAACAACTCACCCTTATGTAACAGATAATACTCCCTACAACTGTAAAACTACTTCCATCTATTATGTATTGAACGATAAGTTGCTGTAGTATTTACCTTTAACACTTTCTCTGATCTGATCTCGTTTCTCGTGCAGGAGTGAGGGAGAACAGTTTGGACAGCCTGGTTTTCGATACTCTGATCCCAAAGCCGATTCTCCAGCGTTACCTGAACCTCCTGATGGAGCACAGACGGATCATCCTGTCTGGACCCAGCGGCACGGGGAAGTCTTTCCTCGCTGCCAAACTGTCCGAGTACGTGATCTACCAGCTGGGACAGGAGCCCACCGAGCTCAACATAGCACGGTTCAACGTCGACCACAACTCCAGCAAAGTAAGGACACACAAAACTGTTTACTGGGATTTGTAGTTTTTTATCTAAGTTTTAAGTAAACTGGGAGTCAAAAACCTTCTGGTGGAGGGGTCCCCAACCTGCTTGTCTCCATGGAAATTATATTGTCTATATATTTGTCTAGAATATCTCACAGTATGGCATTAAACTATCTATTTCCATGGAGATAAACCTACAATGCCTCCAGGCCAAGTTATAGGTCTGATCTGTGGAGAGGTGAGCTCGGTCACTGCGTAGTATTTTGAAAAGTAAAACACCTGTAATTGAATGAATAGGTGCTTAGACGAGTTTAATGCTGTACTGTGAAACCTTTCAGGCAAAACAATGATATCTACATGGAAACACGGGACCCCCTATCAAAAAAAAAGTTACACGGTGCACCTTTTAAGGTCCTGTTGCCGGGTTTCAGTCACGTGACCCTGATGATGTGGGAAATTCAGATGGGGGCAGAAAGTGTTTTGCTCTGCTTCAAAACAGAACAATGGGTGACTACTTTTGGGTGACAAAAGTTTGAACAGGCCGGCACAGACCCACTATTGAGAAAAAATAAGTCTAAATATACGTTAAGACTCGTACGATATGGAGAAGTCAGACTTTTCATACAATTTGGACGATTTTCTCGATGGATATAATAAATGATGTGGTGCTGCAGACCTTGTATTACACTGAGCCAAATGAAAGCCTTTAAAAGCCTGGAGGCGTACGACTATTTTGAATTAAAATCACCCGCTGCAGGATAACCTAAAATAATGATTAAAAAAGGTATAAAACACCAAATTAAAGCAGTAAGCGCATAAAATTAGCACCACATAAAGCTTTTTGCGTGACAATTTAGGACCTATAATGCAACAGTTTATCTGTCACTTACGACACTTTCTAAATAATTGTCCAGAAAAACTTTGAAAATATTCATTAATAAATGACACAATCCTTACCTGCTACAAAGTGGTTGCTGCAAACTCTAGCATTGTCTGTTTCCACGCCTCCTGTTTTTAGCCAGAGATTGTGGATCAAATTTTTCCAAGTTTTTTAAAAGTAACTCTCTTGTGACACACCACTTTCAGGTACACACAAAAAAAAGTTTGTCTTTCTCCCAATTAGAGTGGTTGCAGCAACCATAAACTGCACAGAAATTAGGCATTTTGGTGGTTTTGGATTTTGGAGGTAAACCGGGTTCTGTGTGTCGGTCTCATAGTCCGTATATATGAGTGGACATAGCTAACGCTGTAGTCGTCGTGTGCCAAATAAGAAGTTCTCCAGGAGGCTCTTCTGGCTCCTTCTGACACTGGCTCCAATTGTCTTACATTAGGATTAGGATTGTGGTTCCTCTCTCTGTACCTGCTGCAGTGAGCCTCGTCATTTTGGTCTTAAAATGTTCGCATTAACCCACGACACATGATCCTGATTTTTTTTCCCACTATTTTGTCCATCAAAAAAGTTCTATTCATAACATAGACCCTGGCTCCAGATTTGCTCCTGTAACCGTGGCATTGCGAGCCTCATTTGAGCGACACTTGAACACTGTGGGTGACTTCACACTCGCTTAGTCCACTTTTTTTATCTGCCGCTTTGGATCGGTTCCGTCGGAAAATAGTCCCGCGGTCACTTCCGTTGTGGCTTTTTGATGTGTTGCAGCATTTGCGTTCGTGTTGTGGCGTTTGTATTTGTTGCGGCGTTTGCATTAATATAGAGTCCCGCAGTCACTTCCGTTGTGGCTTTTTTTGGTTTGTTGTGGCTTTTTGTTGTGTTGTCGCATTTGTATTTGTAGTGACGTCATCTGAAACCAGCAATATTACAATAAAATAGACTTTTGTGAGCTTTAAGCCGTGCTATAATGTTGTAACCTCGTCAAAACATATCTGGAGCTGTGTGAGCAATCCTTTATTATTAGTCTGTCTACATCTTCAAAGCTCAAAATGCTCTGTTCCACCTTGTGATGTCATCATGCTGTAGTTTTCGAGTTGCAACAGCTCCTCTTTTTTTTCACCTTCTGTTCAGTAGAGATTGTCAATTCCAGGTCTGAAATCATCCAAATGATTCTAGCGAAGGTGTGTGGAGTTTAAAAACCCAGCAGAGCTCTTCCGGTATTACCACATGACATCACAAGGTGGAACACAGTGTTTTCTGTTTGAGAGAAGAGCTCAGTCTAAATCTGTTGTGTGTTAAACATGTGTGAACAAAACAAAAGACAACTCCAGGTGTGTTTGTGATGAAACATCAATCAGAAAACAGCGTGATATAGACCCTTTACTTTAATAAATGATTTGGAACGATGGTGTTGAACGTAACTGTTGTTTTTTTTTTTTTTTAAAGTTCCTTCTGTTAAAAAAAAGGATCAAAGGAGCTCTTCTGTTGCATCAGATGTGAAGATTATTTATTTTGGATTTGAAAAAAAAAAAAAGATCAAACACAGAAATGTCACAGGGTTTAGATTCAGTGACTTTTATTTTAACATTTTATTTTAACGTTTTATGAGACACATTGCACCAGAGTGACACAAGCAAAAAGGAACGAGGGAGCAATAGCTTTAGTTTTATTAGTGAGCAAGTTGCACGGTGTAACTTTTCTTGGTGGAGGGTCCGTTAAATGCTTTTCCGCATGGAGATGTTAGTGCTTAGTCTGGAATGTTCCACAGTGTGACATTAAACAGCTCTGACTTACATTTATTCAATTACAGGTGGTTTTATAGCTCAAAAATACAAGTCCTAAAACAATAAAACCAGTCAAATCAAATAAAAGCAAAAACATAAAACTCATAAAATAGCAGTAAATAAATAAAATAAATAAAATAAAAGACACAGAGGACCACACAACTCACGCAGTATTAAAAGCCAGGGAATAAAAGTACGTTTTCTGCGGTTACTACTTCTCATATTATTGCTGTCACTATTACCACTACTACTACAACTGCTACTGCTACTTTTTATATTAGTACTACTACTACTACTATTACTACTACTACTACTACTACTACTACAAGTGTACTACTGTAACTACAACTACTATGGAAGATAATTAGTTTCATCAGATTTAAAATTTTAAATACCATTGAATTTCTCACTTTGAATTTTTGAACTGAAAAAACATGTTTGAATTGTTTTTATTCAGAATTTTAGTTGCTGAAATTTTAAGGTTACTTTTTCAAAATGTTTAAAATTCAATATTTAAAAAATCACCTTTTAAACATTCAGCACAAATATTTTCAAGCCCTCAAATTCAAAAGTCAAAATTCAGATTGTAGAATTGATCCAAGATCCAAGATGCCAAGGCAGAAACAACTGATCCAAAATTATCTGATCGAACTTGGTAACAAGCAGGAAATGGTGCAGTGAACTAGGGCTGTCGTGGTTAGGGAGTTTCTCCTGTGGTGCGGTGTAGCGGTTCAACAGCGTGATATGCAATGATATCGCACCCCCTCCTCCACCCCCACATCCCCCGGAGTTATAATATTTCCAACAGCACTGAAAACTCTCTCTGATGATGCACTTGTTGCAGATGCACATGTACCTTGGTTGTCGTGACTCGTGTGGATAAAGTGTGTGTAGCGGGAGAAGTAACATTTGGCTTTGGAACAAGTGCTGCTGCATCTCTCCAGCTCTCACTCTGGCAGCTCAGGTTAGAGTCCTGCACCGGGTCAGGTCAGAGTCCTGCACCAGGTCAGGTCCCCGTGGACTTAAGAGAGAACCCCCGAGCCCATGGAGCAGGTGTCCGCAAAGTGCGATCGGGCGACGGCTGCGTTTACTTCCGTGCGGCACACAGCTGCTGCAGTCGTTTCGCCTGCGGTCACCCGATGGTCTACGCGGGCGCACCTTAGTCCTGGGTTAGTCCTGGTTTAGTCCTGGGTTATCACAGGCACGGGCGGTAACGGGTAGAATGTTAACAGGTACGGGTGGGTGCGGGTTTCTAAAAAATGGACCTGTGCAGGACTCTGGGTCGGGTCATGTTGGTCATGTGCAGTGATCGCGGTGGGCCTCTTAGTACCACAGTGATTCATTTTTGCAGTTATTGCAACAGCCCTACAGTGAAGCAATCCGATTAGTCAGAATTAGCCTCACCCAAACCTCATCTCTTTTATTTGTTAAGTGTAAACTTCGCCCACAGATGAGAACGTCTAATAGGAAACAGCCTTTGTTTGACATTGACATGAAATTAAATATCTCTGCCTTACATTTATTCAATTACAGGTGAGTTCATGGCTCAAAAATACCTAGAAAAACAGGGATTCTGACTGTGAGCGGGGTCGCCTCTCCACAGATCTGACCTGTAACTTGCACTGGTTTAGTTTTATAGGTTAATATATATGTATATTTAATACAGATGGGGTCAGCTGAAATTATGCAGATTTTTGTGGTAATACAGTGTTATGGTGCATATGTCTTGGAATCTAAATGTAATCTTGTTCTCTGTCTTTCTGCAGGAGCTGCGTCAGTACCTGTCCAGTCTGGCAGAGCAGTGTAACTCCGAGGACACGGCCCCACACCTCCCCCTGGTGGTCATCCTGGATAACCTGCACCACATCGGCTCCCTCAGCGACATCTTCAACGGGTTCCTCAACTGCAAGTACCACAAATGGTCAGTACATGGCATGGATTTTAATAAAAATAATTAAAATACGCTGGCAACTTTTTTTTTTGCTATCCACTCATCTCTTTCTATAAAGTAATTTTACCCAAACCATTCATCACATTCATACATTCTAGTTTTTTTTTATCTTGTTTGTGTATTAACTAATATGCTACTATTACTCAAATTGGAGTTTCAGTATCTCTACTACTACTACTACTACTACTACTACTTCTACTACTTCTACTATATAATCAACATATTCATACGACATATTTCAAATCCAAATCCACTTTATTTCTATAGCACATTTTACAAACAAAGCAGTTCATAAGATCATAAAATGAAGACAACAAAAAAGTAAATTGCTAAAATTTCATCATTCCAGCCCTAAAACAATAAAACCAGGCAAATCAAATAAAAGCAAAACCATAAAAATCCTAAAATAGCAGTAAATAAGTGAAATAAATAAAATAAAATAAATAAAAGACACAGAGGACCACAGAAATCATGCACTACAACTTCTACAGGAACACTACTACTACTGCTATGACTTCCATAAACAAAAAATACTACTACTGCTACAATTACACTACTACTATAACTACAACTACTACAATAAAATAATATTGCTACCAAACTCCTGTAAACCCCAAATATACTGTATATATTTGTCTATTTACAGTCCGTACGTGATTGGGACGATGAACCAGGGCGTGTCGTCATCGCCAAACCTCGAACTACATCACAACTTCAGGTAAGTCACGTTTCTGTTTATTTGAACCATTGGCAGAGTTTGTGGGGGTCAGAGGTGCACTGCCCCCCCTAGTGGCTGGAATATGTCATGACATTAAGTCTATAATATGATCAATGCTAATATTTACTTTTAAAAAATGACTAAAAAGGACTGAACCAGGACTAAAACAAGACTGAACCAGGACTAAAACAGGACTGAACCAGGACTAAAACAAGACTGAACCAGGACTAAAACAAGACTGAACCAGGACTAAACCAAGACTGAACCAGGACTAAAACAAGACTGAACCAGGACTGAACCAGGACTAAAACAGGACTGAACCAGGACTAAAACAAGACTGAACCAGGACTAAAACAGGACTGAACCAGGACTAAAACAAGACTGAACCAGGACTGAACCAGGACTAAAACAGGACTAAAACAGGACTAAATCAGGACTAAACCAGGACTGAACCAGGACTTAAACAAGACTGAACCAGGACTAAAACAAGACTGAACCAGGACTAAAACAAGACTGGACCAGGACTAAAACAAGACTGAACCAGGACTGAACCAGGAATAAATCAGGACTGAATCAGGACTAAACCAGGACTAATTTTGGACTTAAGAAAGAGAAAGAACCCCAAGCCCACGGAGCAGGGTGTCCGCAAATCGAAATCGGATGCGGAGCTCTGCGCTGGTCCTTTCACCTGCGGTCACCCGTCCTGGTTCAGTTCTGGTTTAGTCCTGTTTTAGTTCTGTTTTAGTCCTGGTTCAGTCCTGGTTCAGTCCTGGTTCAGTCCTGGTCCCTCATCGTCTCAGATTTCATGAGCCTGTGCAGTTTGTTTTCACCATTGCCAGTAGCTCCGGTTTGACATTTAAGTTGTACCTATTTTATATTTGTTATTTTTTTATATCTCGCGTCAGGAGAAGTGGGTTTACGGCGAACCCCTTGCATACCCTTGCTTACTACTACACCCCTGATCATGTGCGATGCGCCGTGTAAGAGGCTTATGAACACTACTGTTTTATGTGTAACAGTATTATAACTATTCTGTGTCATGTAAATATGCAGGTTTTGAAATAAAACACAACTCCAGATATGTTTTCTATGAGGAAACTATATATTATAATTAAAACATAGATCAGAAAATAGCATAACACGGGCTCTTTAATGCACTTTCGGCTCTAAAAGCACCTCTCTTTTCTCTCCTCCTCGTGTTGTAGGGACCCACAGCTTTACTCAAATCAACATAACACAATCTTTCCCCGTAGAGGCTGTAATTACTGCTGCGGTGTAATTATTCTTGTTAAATGAAAATGAATTGAGCGTAATGCGTCTTCCACTCTGGAGGATCACTCTCTGTGTTTTAATTGCAGAGGATTTGGCAAACGTACAGTCAGCTCCAAAGCCCATTATGAGTCAAACACAAATATATTACGCTTTTTATATTACGTTTTCATTTACTGTCATCTGATCTGTCGAGGGATTATTTACACAGAAACGCAGAAACACTGGCAATGTCGTTTATTGTGAGGAGGATGAATAGTACATGTACGTTTACAGTAGTTAAAGTTAAAGGTGCACTGTGGAACTTTTTGGTTGGACTTTTTTTACCTGCTTGTTTCTATGGATATGTCATTGCTCTACTTAAAATATTCCACAGTATGACAGCTTTACCTTACATTTATTCCATTATAGGTGGTTTTATAGGTCAGAAATAACTGGAAAAACATGCTGACTCTCCACAGATCTGACCTGTAACTTGGTCCGGTTTGGTCTCCATGACAATAGAAAGGTTTTAAAAGGTTTCAGAAAGGTTGTCTCCGTGTCTGGAATGTTCCGCAGTATGGGCACTGAATGTTTCTATCTTGCATTTCTCAATTGTGTCTGTTTTTATTGCTCCAAAATACTTTTAAAAACATCTCTCCAGTCTCCACAGATCTGACTTGTAACTTGTAAATAACCCACTTAGCTTCAAGGAGATAGATGTATTTAATGCCATACTGGGGAACGTTTTTGGCAAGGAGACAAGCAGAGGGCAGACATAGTGCACCTTTAACATGCTACATCAGCTATAAACAGGACAGGATATTACATTAAATCTGTGTACCATTCGTTTTTCAAAATAAAACAAAAAATAAGAAAACGAAAAAAAAAAAAAAACTGTTTTCTTCAGTATTTGTTTCCCGTTTCTGTGACTTAAGCTGCGATGCCGGATTTTTGTGCCACATACAGACTGAATCCAGGATTAAAACAGGACTAAAACAGGTCCCGGTCTCTGTCCTGGTCTCAATCCTGGTCTGGTCCCAGTCTCAGTCCGGTCTCAGTCTCGGTGTGGTCCTGGTCTCAGTCATGGTCTAGTCCCAATCTGGCCCCAGTTTCAGTCCTGGTTTGGTCATGGTCTGGTTCCTGGCTCATTTCTGGTTTGGTCCTGGCTTGGTCCTGGCCTTAGCCCTGGTTTGGTCCTGGTCTGGTCCCAGTTAGACTTGGTTTAATCCTGTTTTAGTCTTCTTTTCTCTTGTTTTGGTCCTGTTAAGTCCTGGTTCAATCCTGGTTCAGTCCTGGTTTAGTCCTGGTTTAATCCTGGTTTAGTCCTGGTTTAGTTCCGGTTGAGTCCGGCATCACAGTTTAAGTCACTGAAACGGGAAACAGTCATTATCTGTTTTTTTTTCCATTATTGATTTAAACACAAAATTGAAAACTGAAAAAACAAATCACCTGTCATATCTGTTTTTTTAATTTTGGTTTTGGAGACAAATAATGAAGAAAATAGTTTTTGTTTTTTTTCGTTTTCTTATTTCTGGTTTTATTTTGAAAAACAAATGAACAAATGATAAACAGATTACATTATATTCCTTATCCCTGTATTGTCTGGTGCCACACTCTGGGACATTTTAGGCATCTCCATGGAGACAAGCGGGTGGCGTACCTTCCAGTTAGTTACAAAAAGTTGCTTCAACAGTTGTAAACCGGATATTAGACTAACTTAACTAACTTATTAGACTAAATTAACTTGTCTGGCGTCCCCGTGCAGGTGGGTGCTGTGTACGAACCACACGGAGCCGGTGAAAGGGTTTCTGGGACGTTTTCTTCGGAGGAAACTGATCGAGACGGAGATCGATAAAAACATGCGAAGCAACGACCTCATCAAGATCATCGACTGGGTCCCGAAAACATGGCAGCACCTCAACTGCTTCCTGGAGGCTCACAGCTCCTCTGACGTCACTATCGGTCAGGATTTACTCTTTAAATACATCACATTATATATTTTAAAGGGGCTGTAACTGATTTTTATCATCTTAAAAACATGAAAAACAGAACTAGATCATTTTTTATCAGTATGCAGTGATCCAAAGTGATTCCTCTTTTACCTTACGCATTTAGAGCAGCCTGATTATTCACTGTGATGAGTTCATAAGTGCTTTTCGGTGCACTGATTCTTGGAGGATAAAACGCTTTATAATTAGATACATTCAGTGTAGTATATATGTACTGGGGCAAGACAAATGTTGCTCAAATACAGGGACAAATCATACAGTATTTATTTGCTAATTTAATTTTAGGTTTTAATTACATTTTTTTTTAATAACACAGTTCCTTCGTCACAGAATTTAACTGGTGAAGTATGTTAGCCTCATTTACAAATGTTTGAGAACCTTCAGTACAGCTACAGAAAACAGTATCTATATATACCAATATTTGAACCATGATACAACATTATCCCATTTTAAAAAATCTTCAAAAACATTCTAAATTACAAAATGGAGGCAACTAGAGGCAAAAATGAAGTGGAACATAATGTGATTTCAATGGGAAAACTGGGATTAACTTCAGAATATCACAAAATATGAAAATCCCAAGGAAATTTGGCAAATGAAAACCACTCAGATACATGAGAGTGATATCAGAGCCCAGTTTAAAAACATTTACAATAGTGTTTTACGTTATTTGTTAAGTTAAAAAAGCGATTATGATAAACACTAAGCATTTTTGACAAAGGAAAGATTCAGATTTTGAGGTTTTACTGGACAAATCCTCACAGAATAGTTGAGTCCACTACAGTTTGTCACTTCATCTACAGATATAGTGCACTTTCATCATAAACTTTACCTTGTGTGAAGCTCAAATACATTTTGTAATTTATATTTTTCCATTTTTCTTAGCAGACAAGCCAATTAACTAAAACATGTACCTTGGAAATTCAAATGTGTTGTTTATTTTTTGTTATAATGTTGTAAAAGCACCAGAATTTAGGTCTGCTCATCAGTTAATCATTAAAAATGTAATATCTGCTTCACTTTGGCTCCAGTCACATTCTGATAGGATTTAAAGGGTCTATAAATTAAGTACTTATAATTGTCTTTTCCTAACACAGACATTATTTTAGGCGATGGCCAAAAATCATTACTTTAAAACTTGGAGTATCTAAGTGCCCATAAGCTGAAGTAATGCATGACACATAACCATTACAATGCATAATGTAATGTCAATAAAACAATAATCTTAAAAGCACTCTGCAGTTACTTCATTATGAAAATGAAAACTTCCTTCTAATTATTACAAATCCATTATAGATTATTACATTTTTAAAACTCTAAATGAAAAAGGAGATTAGCCGACCATAGAACTATTGAAAGTTGTATTTATACGTCTTTTTCTTTTCAAATATTCAGATTACACTATATACCAAATTCAGTGTGTCCCTGTATCTCATATCTCATGTCATATCTCATGTTGATGTTTGTCCCTCCAGGCCCCCGTCTCTTCCTGTCCTGTCCCATGGATGTGGAGGGCTCCAGAGTCTGGTTCACTGATCTGTGGAACTACTCCCTGGTGCCGTACCTCCTCGAGGCTGTGAGGGAGGGACTACAGGTACGACACTGTTCATATCAGATATTTAAAAGTGTTTGTGAATTAAATTATCTGAGCTTTAAGTCCAGTTGTAATGTTGTTTCCTCAATAGAGATACATTTTGTTGCATTTGTACATGTTTGAAAAAGCCTCTGTTTTTAGATTGGCTCCCACGCTGCGCTCAAAACACTTGGTTCCACCTTGTGACATCATTTTGAGATGATCCAGAAAGCTCTCCCGGGTGTTTTTAAAGTCTATATGCCTTCACCAAATTAATTCTGAACATATTTTGCTTTCACGTGGAATGGGGAAGATGATCCTTTCCACTTGTGAGGTGGAAATTACGAGTGTGTTGTGTTCAAGTGCCCTGAGGTTTCAAAATGGCCACCCATTAAAGTCAACGGGCCAAGCTCAGTGGCACATGACTCCAGATTCGCCTTTAGCCCGGCGAGGTACTTCCGGTGACTCTTTTCTCTCATGGGCACACGAGCAAACGCAGGGAGTGCAGTCTCGTGGATCATGTGATCGCTTTGACCAATCAGAGCGAGAGGAGCTAGAGCTGAGCCGGAGCGAACTATTATAAAGTATTGTTTAAGACAACTGAAGGATTTTGAGCTGAGAAACAGTTTATGATCTACAAATAGGTAAAAATCGCAGTCTTACCCACTCCACAAAGCACCCAAAGTAAATCTATTATTACGCCAGACTGTTGATGTGAATGTCTGTGTTGATAGAATAATTTTAGAAGTAAAACCAACCTTGCATTTGAAGGATTTATGTCTGAGCAGCAGCAGTGAGTTGTACTTCCTGATAGAAAGCTCAGCAGAGGCGGACTGATATCACCTAGCACATATCTTACCGGTAAAGTAAAATTCCGCTGCTGCTGAGAAAATAGTCCCTCAACATGCAACGATTCATGCGATGTAAGGTTAGTTTTATTTCAAACATTGTTCTATCAGCACAGACATTTACATGGACAGTCTGGTGTAATAATAGATTTTCTTCGGGTGTTTTGTGGAGTGTTTAAGACTGTTTTTAGTGGCAGGATAAATATGACCATTGACATGCACTAGTCTAGCACCAGCGACCTCTGCAAATACAAGGACTGGATGGAATATTTTAAAAAGTGTCATCTCCAACACTCTGACCAGGCTGGCACCACCTATTGCCTCCGCTTAATTTAATTTCTCTCCAACGACTAGGTCAGGAATCTGAATACACTAGACAGTTTGCAAGAACCCCTGAAGTTATAGACCACGCACCAGCCAATCCCTTTTGTGGAACAGCACAACAGTAAACAAAGTGTCGAGATGGATGTAGACGAATACAGACATTCTGTGTTGGCAACAATTCCCGAGATTGAGGATTTAAAGCCGGAACAAAGAGAATGTTTGGTGAATTTTATCAAGGGGAAAGACGTTATTGCCCTTCTTCCTACGGGGTTTGGGAAAAGCTTAATATACCAGTTCACCGTGCATTACGTCACGACCAAATAGCAGTAGATTAGTTAAATAAAATAAAGTACCTGCCTACTGTCGAGCAAATGATGAAATAACGAATTCTAATGCTGCGAGGTCAGACAGTTTCCACGAGGTGAAACTGGCTGAAGAATCAGGCAAGGAAGTGGGGTCCTATGTCCAAAATTCCAGACTGTCCCTTTAACTTTCACTGTAATACAACATGTTAACCAGACCTCCTTGACAGTCTGATCTCAGAAGCTAAGCAGGTTTGGGCCTCGTTAGTGGTTGGATGGGAGACCGCTGGGACTACCAGGTGCCACAGTGGGGTTATTGTGTCCTCAGGCAAGACACTTCTCCCACATTGCCCAGTAAGAATGTTGTGTGTGCGTGTGGGCAGAGCTCCAATGCAATGCAAAGCGCTTTGTGTGTCTTGAAAAACACTATATAAACCCAATTAGGTTTTCAAACACGAACGCGCAGATTTAAAAGGAATTATTCAAGGTGGGCAGAGGGATTGTTTCGTGACGAGATTTAAACTGGTGAAGCATCACTTGAGTAAACTTTGTGCCAGTCGTTTTCGGTGCCATCCTCGCCATCTGCTCCACAGAGCTCATTATCACCATGACGACAGCTCTCCTCCTCAGGCCTCTTCATTAAGTCTGTGCTGTGTCATTAGAAAACAGAGGGACAGGTGCACCGCTCACACCAGGCTACTTATATTTACCATGTGTGTTTTCCTTCTCGTTTTTGTTTATATTTTTGAGTAAACACAATTAAGTACGTAGTTTTATTAAGACGCCAAATGAGACGAGCAAAGGGTTTTCTTCATTTGAGCCGCAAGACACTTCTGTTGCTACAGCTGCCTTGGGGCAAAGACTTTGGGTATATAACAAGCCCCCGGGTTTCAAAATGGACGCCCATTCAAGTTAATGGGCCAGAGCTCAATGGCACATGATTCTAGATTCGCCTTCAGCCCGGCGAGGTTCTTCTGGTGGCTCTGGGTCGATTGAGCATGTGCATTAGTGCTTTTTTCTCCAGCAGGTACACGTGAATGTACACGAGCGCAATCTTGTGTATCACGTGATCGCTTTGACCAATTAGAACGAGAGGAGCAGAGTGGAGCCGGAGCGAATGATTATAAAGTGTTTTTTTACAACTGACAACTGAAGGATTTTGAGCTGAGAAAAAGTTTATGATCTAAAAAAGTTGTAGGTCCCTGTCAGCCGAACACGAGCAGTTTGTGATTACATTGCGCACTATGAGAAAGATCCTTTCTCAGCCAGAGGGATTTTTCTGCTGAAGTACCAGTGAGTTAGTCTGATTCATCAGCTGGTTTCACTTTGTGGAAACCATCTGACCTCACAGCATTAGAATTCGTTCACAGTAGATGTGTACTTTTTTATTTAACCAATCGCTGCTATTTGGTCGTGATGTATGTAATGCGCCGCTAACGGGACTAACGGGTATATTGAGCTTTTCCCAAATCCTGTAGGAAGAAGGACAATAACATCTTTCCCCTTGATGGAATTCACCAAACATTTTCTTTGTTCCGGCTTTAAATCCTCGATCTTGGGAATCGTTGACAGCACTGAATGTATGGCTCTTCATTGGCTGGTGCCTGAACTTGCACTTCCGGGATTCTTGCAAACTGTCTGACCTAGTCACTGGAGAGAAATTAAATTGAGCGGAGGCACTAGGTGTCGCCAGCCTGACTACCAGAGAGTGGCCGCTATGTCAACTGGAGGCAGCTACAAGCAGCAATCCACTTATTTTAATAGATTCATGCTGTGTGTATATAAATGTACACAGCTATCCCAGTGGCCACCGCATTCCAAATAGGAAATGAGCGTGGGTGCACTTAAGGCTCCATCGATTCCGGCTCTGGTTACCTCTCACTCTGTATCTGCTGCTGTGAGCCTCGTCATTTTGGTCTTAAAATATTCATAGTAACCCGCTCTACATGATCCTGCTGTTTTTATTTAGCTGTTTTTCTGTAAATAAACTCTTATTCATAGTATGGAAATCGGGTCCAAATTTGCCCCATACCTGCTAGACTCGTGAGCTTCATTTGACAGAACCTGAACGCTATGAAAGTGACTTAGTTCTGCTTTAGGGAAATTACTTGGACACAGTAGCTCACATATCACCATATATTATAATAACAAAAAGTAAAAAATATAAATGGTAAAAATACATTCTAAATAAGCAGCAAAAGTAGCAAGAAACTGGTGTCAAATAAAGCATAATTATATAAATGTAGATGTACAAGTCAAAATAAAATAAAAAATAGGAATAAGTAATAAAAATATCTCAGTTAAAAGAGGTCGTGAGGAAAACAGTGCAGAGATGATATGATGATTGACAGGACGCTGGGTTTTCTGTTACATAAGGATGAGTTGCACATTATTAACATTCTCCTATCTTCTTCTCTCCTTTTACAGTTGTACGGAAAGCGTGCGGCCTGGGAGGACCCGTCCAAATGGGTGAATGACACGTACCCCTGGAGCGCCCCCTGTCTGCAGCAGGAGGGACAGTCTCTGCTGCAGCTCAGACCTGAGGACGTGGGGTACGACGGGTACAGCTCCTCCAAAGAGGGGGCTTCATCTAAACAGGTGTCCCAGAGCGACACAGAGGGAGACCCACTGGTGAGGATCGTGCACTATAAACGTCACATTTATTCTGTTTTTGTAGAGGCCAAAATCACCACTGCAGTCGCCTCAAATGGCTTCACAAATGATTGAGTTAAAGCAACAGAAAGTTAGAAAATCAAACAGTGAAACAGTCATTGGTCAATAACACTTATCTTATCAGTAGAGATAAGCAGGTGGCACAAGTTACAGATCAGAACTGTGGAGAGGTGATTCAGCTCAGGAAGAATGCAGCTTTATCTTGAACTTTCTTTGTCTTCCTCGTCTCTCAAGATGACTGCACCTGTAAAGGAAGTTAAAAACAGTGGCACCAGTCAGTTCAAAATCTGAAACTGATTCTCAAAAGCAGTGACATTGAGAATACAACTTCATTTGAGCTAAATCTGTAATACAATTAAATTAAATAAAACAAGACCTGTTTATAAGGGAATATAATATAACATATAAACACACACTCACTGAATAAATGCCTATATACCATCATTTACGGACTATTGAGTGCACTTGAATATATCATCATACATCAACAAAATATTAAAAGAAAAAAAAGTTGTACATATATAGGCTGCATCTGTCTATAAGCCGCAGGTGTCCACGTTGAGATATTTATACAGAAAGACGGTACAGAGAAAGATTATTTAAATTTTTTATGAAATACTGGTACATGTGTTTTCCAAACAGTGCCTGTAACACGGCAGTAAAATGACAGGATTACGACAGGATTATCAGACTACATCACTTGGCTCTACTGCGCATGTCTCCTGCAGAAAGAGTCGCTGTCCTGTCTGTATCATGTCAGTGTTTTGGAGGATTTCAGCAGATTTCAGCCTTTCCCGAGGGCGGTTTTAGGTGTGTCTAGGCTACTGAAGTTTGAAATGTTTCTTCTCGTCATTTACGCACTCGCCTGCATTTAACACCTACGGGTCATTAAGACGTATCCCTGTGATGATAAACAAATAATCCATCCATGGTATTCGCTGCATTGTTGTTTAAGATGCAGGTTTTAAAGTGTAAGAAAAAAGTAGCAGTTTATAGTCCGGAAATTACAGTAATTAAAGTTTAAAGCCCTATTGTGGAACATTCCTGTCAAGGCAGATGATAGATTCTCCACCAGAAAAGTTACATAGTGCACCTTTTATACAACACTATAATATTCCTACCTGTAGAGATAGTTTGTTCAAACATTGCACTGGGTCGTGGAAATGCATAATGATTGAGAACAGCGTTGGTCATTGCACCGAGAAGTTAAAAAGCAGCCACCCGAACGTATCTGCTCTGAATTAGCTCGTTATGCTAATGTGAGTGTCCGGACGTGAGCACTTTAAAAGCAGGTGTCAGTGTGGGGAGTCTGTGAAGCCACGCTACATTTCAGAATTATTAGGACCATTAAAAACAGGAGCAGAGGTAAGAAGTCCTGCCTTTTTAACTGCTCAAATTTACGGCAGGGTTTGGTCATAAAAAGTAAAAGGCTAAAGCTACGGACTGTTGCTCTTTGAGACGATTTAAAATGTCATCTGTGGAGGATCGCCGTGTCTCTAAAACTAATGACACAGGCGCTGATAATGGACACGATGAGGGGTACAATTTGTTAGAGCAAAGGACATGGGGAGTATTTTATAATTAAATCCAGATGAACAAAGAAAGCCAAAAATAAAACAATATTCTGTAATCAGATTTTGTATTTTTTACTAATGGTTTGGGCAAAAATGCTAATTGCAAGAGTGATACCAATCAAAATTTATTTATAAAGCACTTTTGAAGCTGTAACACAAAGTTCTTTACAGTCTCACCAATACACACACACACACTAAAATGTATGAGGCTAAATACAGATAAACATGAGGCTGAGTAAAAGTAATTGTCGTTTGATTTGACAAGTTTTAGAATAATACAATTTAAAATAATAACAAAATATTGAGAGTATTGAGCCGAAGCATTTAGTTCCCTGGTAATATTTCTGGTGATTTACTGCATCTATGTAAAATACACAATATGTTTCTCCTGACCAAAGGAGAACAAGTACAAATCGTCCCAATATATAAGTATAGATTGTAATTTGTTCTTGTTTTTGGTGCTTTTCTTCCAGATGAACATGCTGCTGCGTCTCCAGGAGGCGGCGAACTACTCGAGTACTCAGAGCTGTGACAGCGACAGCACCAGTCATCATGAGGACCAGCTGGACTCATCCCTGGAGTCTGCCCTGTGAGTCCACCTGCGCCAGGAGGACTGGTCTAACTGCGTCAGGGGAACTAGTCTATCTGCATGAGGAGGACCACTCAGTTACCAGAACTAATCAATCTAATCCACCATGAAGCCCGGTCCACATGGCGATAATAATTCTACCTGCGTCATGAGGATCAGCTGGACTCATTCCTGAAGTTTGCCCTGTGAGTCCACCTGCGCCAGGGGGACTAGTCTAACTGCACCAGAGGGAACACTCCACCTGCGCCAGGGGGACTAGTCTAACTGCACCAGGGGGACTAGTCTAACTGGGCCAGGGGGACTAGTCTAACCTGCACCAGGGGGACTTGTCTAACCTGCACCAGGGGGACTAGTCTACTGCACCAGGGGGACTAGTCTAACCTGCACCAGGGGGACTTGTCTAACCTGCACCAGGGGGACTAGTCTACTGCACCAGGGGGACTAGTCTAACTGCACCAGGGGGACTAGTCTAACCTGCACCAGGGGGACTAGTCTAACTGCACCAGGAAAACCGGTCCACAAGAGGATAATAATTCTACCTACACCATGAGGACCTGCTGAAGTCATCCCTGAAGCCTGCTCTGTGAGTCCACCTGCATCAGGGGGTCTAGTCTAACCCGCGCCAGAAGGACTAGTCCATCTACATTAGGACCTATAACCTGCATGAGGAGGCCTAGTCCATCTTCGTCAGGGGGACTAGTCTGAATCACCCAGGAAGATCAGTCCACTAGCGTAATATAATTCTACCTGCATCATGAGGACCAGTTGGACTCATCCCTGAAGTGTGATCTGTGAGTCCACCTGCACCAGGGAGACTCGTCCATCTACTTTAGGACCGGTAACCTGCATGAGGAGGCCTAGTCCATCAGTTTGTAGTGAAATCCAGTTGGAGCCGAGTCTTGTTCCAAAATGGGACCTAAATCAGAAACTTTAAGACCTCAGTCAACAACACACAGCGCCAAAGGTTTATATGAAAAGTTTGTGCTGTAATTACAAAGGCATCAGATCGCAAAGAGTTATATCCAATTCCACCAATCATCAGAAAAGCTGGGTAGCCATTTCATACTGGAGGCTTGAACCAAAAAACTTTTAGTTAGAGGGCTCAGTTATTTAGTACCTGTGCAAGTAATTTCCTCTATAAACATATTAAACTACAGCTTCACCATATAAACTTTGGCGTTGTATGTGACAAAAGCGGTTGACTACTACGTTGTGCTGTCGACACTGTTCAGTTGCTCGTCGAGAAAACTACGGAAACTGGATTTTTTTCAACTTAATCCCAGTTATGTTTTATATTTTATCTCCTAATGTTTACAAAGAGGGCAGATTTTGTTGACTTTGTTTACAGAAGTGAAGTTCAAATGCACTTAAATATTAAAGGGAGGCGGGCGCGGGTGTGACATTAATCTTAAATCAGGTTGCGTTCTCGTTCTTGAATTCCGTGATGTCAGAAGATCAAATGGAGGACAGTGTATTGGCAAGAAGACGATATTTTTAAGTAATATCCAAAGAGAAAATCTGAAAATGTTGAACCTGGTGATGTCATGTTGGCAATTTGGTCCACAAACTTTATCTTGTGGATTAATTATTTATTTTGCGTTGAAAGAAATGGCATTAAATTTGGTTGCAGTTTTTGAGAATTGCATTTTGGAACTTAAAATATCCCCACATCTCATTGCTAAATTTCATATGATATCAAAATATTCTAGAGGTGTATAATCTTTAAAGAAACTGTAGCTGATTTTACTGTCTCGAAGAAAAAAGAAAAAAAAAGCATGCTAACAGCTTACTTCCTGGCTCTCAGAGGATAAAACGCTTTTTAAATTAGATTTAGATACACAACAGTCTCATTTTGACCCTAAGAGCTTCTTTTTATTTACTTTTTTTTTTTTACAATATATCGGTACTTTATTACAGGGGTCCCCAACCCCCAGGCCGGGGACTGGTACCGGGCCGTGGGTCATTTGGTACCGAATCACAAAAGCACGAACCCCACCACCCCCATATGTCGCAGGCCACGCCTCTAAACCAGAACTAAAAGCAGAACTAAAACCAGGACTAAAACTAGGACTAAACCAGGTCTAAACCAGGTCTAATCCAGGTCTAATCCAGGACTAAAGCAGGTCTAAACCAGGACTAACACAGGACTAAAACAGGTCTAAAACCGGTCTAAACATGGTCTAAACATGGTCTAAACCAGGTCTAAACCATGTCTAAACCAGGTCTAAAACAGGTCTAAAACAGATCTAAAACAGGACTAAACCAGGTCTAAACTAGGTCTAAAACAGGACTAAAACTGGTCTAAAACAGGTTTAAACCAGGTCTAAAACAGATCTAAAACAGGTCTAAACTAGGTCTAAACCAGGTCTAAAACAGGTCTAAAACAGATCTAAAACAGGACTAAACCAGGTCTAAAACCAGCCCACTCCAGTCCGCGAAATATTGTTGGATATAAAACCAGTCCATGGCTCAAAAAAGGTTGGGGATCCCTGCTTTATTACATTAAAATTAAGTACAGCCTCTTTAATTCTCTTGGCAGTTTCTTAGTCTTGGTGAAATCACTACTATGGTTCACCGTTTTTTGGATTTTCCTTTTGGCTATTTCAATACAACAGAATAATACAAAGCTGCCTCGTGGTTGCACTCTTTAAACAACCAGTGGGATCTTTCGGACAGTTACGACATCACCCGATCGCAGCCAATCGAACGCCCTCGGCTCGGTCCCGTTTTGGTGCTGTGCGGTTCTATGGGCCCCGTGTGATCTGGGGACTACTGCCAATACACTCGAAACCCTCAAACACAAGCACAACCAACCAGTATACAGTCTGTTAGCTGTAACGTCCCTCATGTGTGTTACTGTGAACAACAACGGACAAGTGCCAATGTTTCTTTAAAGGGCCCGTATTACGCTCTTTTAAGATGTTATAATGTTGTTTTCCTCGTCGCAAACAGACCTGGAGTTGTGTTTTGTTTCGTTCTCACGTTTAACACACAAACCCGGCAGATTTAGGCTGAGTTCCACCTCGTGATGTCACATGAAGGAAGATGAATAACGGCTTTTATTGTCTTCACGTGTACTGGACATACAAAGGAATCAAAATTGGACCTGTCACCTAGCCTAGTGCCTCCGCTCAATTTCATTTTTCTCCAGCGACTTGGGTCAGGAATCGGAATACACTAGACGGTTCGCAAAAACCCCGGAAGTGCAAGTCCGGGCATCAGCCAATCAGCGAAGAGACATATATTCTGTGTTGGCAACGATTCCCGAGATCGAGGATTTAAAGCCGGAACAAAGAGAATGTTCTGTGAATTTTATCAAGGGGAAAGACATTATTGTTCTTCTTCCTATGGAACTTGGCGCATTACATACATCACGACCAAATAACAGTGACTGGTTAAATTTAAAAAAGTACCCACCTACTGTCGAGCGAACAAATCCTATTTTCTACGAAGTGAAACCGTCTGATGAATCAGGCTGCCTGTCAACACACAATATAATATGACATGGGGAGACTAGACGTGGACCAGACTGGTACACAGGTAGCAAATAGGAAAGTGGGTAACATTAAGAAGTTGCCGATACAATACATACCTCGATACTTAGGCCACGATATTCTACATATCTCTATACAGTGCACTTTTAGTTCGATACGATATATTTGAAATCGATTCGATACGGTTCAATAAAAACTAAGTCTAAGTCATGGCTGTGATACTAAAAGTCTTTGTTAAACCACTTCTTTTGCAAAGTTCATATAAAACACAAACATTTTAATGATCAAAACAGTGAAAATGTCAAATGTGTCGCATAAATGAGTTTCCTAAACAAACGACAAAACTGTAGCTCTGTAACAAAATAATTGTGTAAAATATACAAAAATATACTCTTGGTGATATATCGATACAGCAGTCCATGATATCGATACTGTATCATCACATTAAACCCCTAATGCAGCATAACATGAGGATATGGGGAGGAGAAAAAAAGAGAACCACCCCCAGACCATGCTCCTGTTGGGGGCAAGTACACAAAAAAACAACACCTCCGCGACATACAAATATTTCCACAGGTGTAGCAACTGGGTAGGATAGGGGTGTGGAAATAATCCAACGTAGACAGGCAGCAATAGGAAGCGCTCTACTGTGTTTTTAAACTCCACACACCTTCATTAGAATCATTTGGATGTTTTCAGCGCGTAATTGCTGATCTCTACTGAACTAAAGGTAAAATGAGCTGTTAACTTAAAAAAACTACCGCTTCGTGACATCACAAGGTGGAACTGGGATTTCGAAAACACAGAGGACGTCAGACCTTCAGGGTATTTTAGTTAAAAGTCCGCAACAGGTGCTCCTCAAGGATAAGGCTCAGAAGCTACAGACAGTGAAGATGACCAGGCTTGTAATGTAAAAACGATAAAAGCGATAAAGTAAAAAGCGGTCAAAAAGTCCGAGGTACTCTGTTTGAATTAGAATAAACATCCTTTAATGGTTTTGACACATGTGGGGTCTTCGTCAGGGCATATAAAGAGGATTTTGAGCAAACTGATAATAAAGTGTTACTCAAACATGTGTGAATGAAACAAAAAAAAACAAAAAAACACAACTCCATGTCTGTTTTTGAGGAGGTTTTTGAGGTTATAACATGACTTAAAGCTCATAAGAGTCAATTTTGTGTAATATAGGACCTTTAAAGCTGCACTGTGTAACTTTTCTGGTGGAGGGTATGCCACATTCTTGTCTCCATGGAGATATTTACTATCTACTTACTTGAATTACCAAGAAATACCTGCATGCGATCGAACCGTAACCTCCTCATCTCCGCGGTGATACAGAGTAATGCCACACTGAAGAACATTCCTGGCAAAGCAGTAGCCATGGAGACACGCAAGCGAGCGGCATACCCTCGGCTAGAAATGTCACACGGTGCGTCTTTAAGTTACTGCCAAATATGCACAGCCGCTGACACGATTCTAGTCTGTTACATCTTTACTATGGCTCATGCTGGCTTGTTCTTTTTGCACTTGCTACAGAACTGAATGAGAGAAGTCAACCAAAACAGAATATTTTTCAAGCCAAAACTGTAGAATTTAACTTTAAAATAGAAGTAGAAACATATACATAGTTTAGTCATAGAAAATTATACTACAAAAGTTAAAAAGTATATCGTGAAAGGTACAGTTACAGTGTACGCCAAATGCTACTATGCACTTGTGAATACAACGTCCTTGGTTTTCTTTTGGCTCTTTTCACGCTGATTACCGAAAAACGTTTGGAAACACGCGGATGACGACTTGACGACGGTGTAGTTCCCAACACTGGGCATGTTATAAAACCGTGGATTCAGCAGCAGCGTCTTCACAACCTGTCAAAGCTTTTCCACGGCGGACGGGACACTAATCTCGTCATCGAAGTCGCTTACAGAGAGCTGATCGTAACTGCCGAACATAAAGGAACGGTACAATCACATCTTAGTCCAGTGACGTTCGTTTGGTCTTCCGATAATTTATGTTTTTAGGTTCTTTTATCAGACCAAGAGTTTGTTTGCGTACCTGACAGTTTCGACTTCCTCAGAGTGCTCACGTGATGGGATCATTTAAAGAGGTTTTGGCGCCGTCTTCCTACTGGTGGAGGCAGGACGATGGCGCCACCTGCAGTCCGACTTCATCAGGACAGTATCCCAGGTGTGGTGACATTACCGTACATCAGGGGCATAACAGAAAAAGTGCAGAGGGCGATGAGAAAACACACAAGTGAAACCATATAGAAAACTCAGGCGATTACTCGGCCACCCAAAAGCCAAAACAGAAGCAGAGTATAAATGTTACGTCATATACAAAATACCCTACACGTCCTGCAATAGAACAAACATCGGGGAAACAGTCCACGAAAAAAGAAACACAGAACGTGAGAAGGAAACAGCGAAGGCGAAACACAAAGCAGAACAGGAACGACTCAAATCAGCTGTTTCTGAGTACTGTAAAAGAGAGCAAATATCATTAAGGAAAACAAACACCATTGCTGGATTAAAAGAGGCAATCGAAATACGGAAACATGCCCTTGGGACTATGAACCAGGACGAGGGGGCTCTTTTACTCTCACATACTTGGGATACTGTCCTGAGGAAGTCGGACTGCAGATGGCGCTGTCATCCTGCCTCCACCGGTAGGAAGACAGCACAAAAACCTGTAAAAATCAGCTGAGCGACACATCACAGAAACATCACTTGACCACTCGAAAGTTTCAGGTATCAATCAGTAATTTATAAAAGGAAAAAAAACGAAAGAATACAATGACATTTGGATTTAAAAAAAAAAACTGGACATTTTCTCAGCTTTCCCAGATTTTGTCAGCATTTCTTTCACCAACAGAGCCCAAAAAAAGTCGTCATCCGCATGTTTCCAAACGTCTTCCCTTTTTTGTGACGTAAACATGAACAGAGCCCATGACGAGAAATTCGGGACGTTGCCATAGCGATTGACGATTTAAAACAAAAAAGTACTATATATCTGGATCGAATGGGAATAAATATCTGAGTTATAGTGGATCTTTGCCGGAAGCTGAAAACTGCGAATTTCGTATCTAAAATGTTAAATCTTCGGGAGATATTTTGCTTTGAAATGCAAGAAAATTAAACGTTGGCTTGTATGGGATTTAATTTTAATTTCCATCTTAAACCAAACATCTCGGGAAGAATTTGTCTCTCCCCATCCTCCAAAACGTAAAAATTTAAGTAATACATTTTTTTTTCATACTTATCTGGTTCTAAATATTACCAGACATTTTATACATATATTGGTCCTCCTTCATCTTGAGAGGATGTAGAGGAGCAGCGACTCTACCCCAAGCTCCACTGTCTCATCACCCACCTTCGTAACGGTCAAAAGTCCTCAAAATGGCGCCTATAAAGAGGAATCTGTGCCACTTTGAAGTCCACAAAGTCTTGAAATCGTCCTCGTAACTATTTTATGCATACGTGGTCCAGGCGGTACCAAAAAAAAAAAAGAAAAAATCAACAAACTTCGGACGATTTAAACGAAATGTACGTTGACGAAAAGGTGATAGAGTTTAACGATAATGGTGCTTTTCCACTGCCTTAAAAGTGCACACGTTTCGGATGGACACCTGTTTGCAGTGATGAAAAAATGCTCAAAAATCTACTTCCTGTTTTGTCTATGATTGTAACGGACATTTCCTCCCCGCTTCCTCTTTCGTGTGGTCACCTCGGGCTGTCGCGAGCGGCCGATGTAATGTACAAATGTTTTCGAAACGTGGGGGTAACCTTGTTTTTTCTAATTCTGTTTTTTTTTTTTTTTTTGGCCCAGTTGAGCTGGGTTCACCTATGAGCACAAAAGTGTGGGTCTCGTTTTTTCTATAGCCTGAGAAGCATGTTTTTTCGCTTTATAACGGGGCTGCATTCAGAAAAAGACCTTTACTCATAATATAAATATATGTATGCGTGTATTTGGAGGGAAGCCATTTTGAATTTTGTTTTTATCAAAGGGTTGCACAGGTGGGGGAGGGGCTGTACATAGTCTAAGTCTTGCACAGTGAAACGAAAGATGCATTTTGCCCTCGTCGATGTTTAAGATATAAGTAAATTATTGTGAGAGAAAAAACAAAATGGAGGTGTGTGTTTGGGTGGGAGTTTCGGGGAACAGCGGATATGTACAGTTCAAATAATGTACCAGAGGATAGAATCTGTGTGTCAGTCGTTCATTCGGTTTTGAAAGTAAAACCAAAAATAAGAAAACAGAAAAAAAAAACTATTTTCTTCATTATTTGTCGCCAAAACCAAAATGAAAAAACGGATAACGCCCGTTTCCTGTTTACGTGACTTAAACTGTGATGCCGCATACGGACTGAACCAGGACTGAACCAGGACTAAACTAGGACTAAACCAGGACTAAACTGTTTTCAGTCCTGGTCTCAGCCCCAGTCTGGACCCGGTCTCAGTCCCGATCTCAGTCCAGGTCTGCTCCCTGGTCTGGTTCCGGTCTGGTCCTGGTTTCAGTCTCAGTCCCAGTCGCAATCATGGTCTGGTCCTGGTCTGGTCTTGGCCTCAGTCCTGGTCTGAGTCCCGGTCTGAGTCCCGGTCTGAGTTCCGGTCTGAGTCCTGGTCTGCTCCCGGTCTGGTCCCGGTCTGGTCCTGGTTTCAGTCTCAGTCCCAGTCTCAATCACGATCTGGTTCTGGTCTGGTCCCGGCCTCAGTCCTGGTCTCAGTCCCGGTATGGTCCCAGTCTCAGTCCTGGTTTCAGTCCCGGTATGGTCCCGGTCTCAGTCCCGGCCTCAGTCCTGGTCTCAGTCCCGGTCTGGTCGTGGTCTCAGGCCTGGTCCTTGTCCCGGACTCAGTCCTGGGCTGGTTCCGGTCAAAGTCCTGGTCTCAGTCCCAGTCTGTTTCCGGTCTGGTCCAAGACCTGGTTTAGTCCTGGTTCAGTCCTGGTTCAGTCCAGCATCACAGTTTAAATCATGGAAACGAGAACTGTCATTATCCGTTTTTCCATTATTCAAAAACTGGGGAAAAAAACAAATCATTATCCATTTTTTCATTTTGGTTTTGGAGACAAATAATGAAGAAAATAGTTGTTTTTTCCGTTTTTTTATTTTTTGGTTTTATTTTGAAAAACAAATGAACGAATGACACACAGATTGTATCGGCACTTTTTCCACTCTCCTCCTTCAGATATAATAATCTCAGTCATATTCCCACATGTTCAAATCACTGTAGGTCTGAGAGAACGCTGCAAAAACTCAGAGGAAATGACTTTGTGAGTTGAATAGACATTTTTAATTTGGTTTGACTCAGTTTTATTTTTACTTACTGGGCCTAAAATAATGATTTAAAATACTGTATCCACCAGTGAAGTAAGAAAACAGAAGAAAACGACACAAATAATCAAATATTAACTTTATTATTTTTATTATAAATGGTTCACTGTGTAACTTTTTTGGCAGAGCTTGACTTCATGTAGCTTTTTTCTGGAATGTTCTGCAGTATGGCATTTAATTGAACTATCTCCATGGAAACAAACAGACCACATCGCCAGGCCGAGAAGTCATGGTAATAATAATTTATCTTTTTGCGATGGTTTTGAGAAATAAAAAACACCGTAATTGAATAAATAGGAGATATATTTGTTAATGCCATACTGTGGAACATCCCTGGCGAAGCAGTAACATCACCATGGAGACAAGTAGACGGCAGACAACCAGAAAAGTTACACATTGCATCAATTTTTAATAATTTAAATGTTGATCAAATTAAAATAGTTTGCAAAATAAAGAGGGACTGTGTAACTTTTCTGGTTCTCTGTGGGGCTTGTCACTTGTTGTCTCCATGGAGATGTTACTGCTTGTGCTATAAAGTTCCACAGAATGGCATTAAACTTATCCTTTATTCAATTTAGTAATTTTATTGATATTACTGTAAGCCTCATCGCTCCACAGATCTTGACCCGTAACTTGAGCTGGTGGCGTGACCAGTTTGCTTGTAAAATCTCCATGGAGACGAGCACAGACCCTCCGAAGGAAAAGTTTCACAGTGCAGCTTTAAGTTAACACCCTTATTATAGTTCTATTAATATAAAATTATAAAAAAGCAACACTGGATGATGATTTTTCTCATAATAAAAAAAAAAAATCATTTAAATCAGTATCAGCAGAGGTGGGACCAAGTCTTTGTTTTGCAAGTCTCGAGTAAGTCTCAAGTCTTTGACCTCAAGTCCGAGTCAAGTCCCAAGTCAAATACAGGCAAGTCCAAGTCGAGTCTCGGGTTGCTGGCCCATAAGTCCAAGTCAAGTCCAAGTTGTCTGCTTTGAGCTTCAAGTCATTTCAAGTCTTTAAACCAAAGTAGCTTAGTTTTTGCAATTTATATGTATTTTAAACTGAATTACACTTTAAAAAAATCAAAAAATCATATTTGTATATGAGTATAGAGTATGTAAGAGTTTTAGAATTTAATTTAGTAAATTTTTTCCTTTTTAAATGTCTTCACACGATCTTAGAGTGAATCATTACGGTCAGAATAGAAAGAATTCAGATATAAAGTGCTTCTCAAGTCACAGGTCTCAAGTCCAAATCAAGTCCCAAGCCACTGACCTTCAAGTCCAAGTCGAGTCCCAATTCATAGTCCATTTTATCAAGTCAAGTCTCATGTCCTAAAAATAGTGACTCAGGTCTGACTCGAGTGTAAGTCACGACTTGCAAGTCCCCACCTCACTCCAAAACCTTTGTCCAGTTCACCCTATGCAGTAAATGACACAAAAACAATAAAATAATCAGAAAATACGTAACTTAAATCTAGTCAAAACTCTTTATACTTTATTTTTATGAGTATTTTAAATGTCATATAGACAAAAAACACAGCAGACCACAAACAAAACAGCAATTAGACAGAGCAGGTACAATACAAAACAATATAAAGTATAATTGTTCAAATCTAGTCCAAACTCTCAAGTCATTTCAGCTCATTTCTTGCAGTGTAAAACCAGAGACACGGGCTATTCAGATGTACTGTAAAAAAAACTGTACAGGTGCTAATCCAGTGAATGCAGACCAATCACAGACCAATACAAGTGAAACACGACCTCCACCTCAGGACAACCCACTTATTTAACCCTACCTGAGTCTAGCCTCGTGTGTCTATGGAGTACCAGACCTATTGTGATTCACCGGTCCGGTCTATACGCTGGAGTGCAGAGGGAGATCTAAATTTAAAAGTTATAAATGTGGATACTGGCTTCAAATTTTATTAAGTAGGTCTAAGAAAATGCAACATTCTAACTCTAAACCAGGCCTGAACTTTGGTAATCTAGTTTAAACTCAATCTTACATTCAGTTACAAAGATTAAGAAAAAAAGCAGCCTTGAAAAAAAAAATAAAAATGCTTATTGCGAGTGGGCTTGCGTTTTCACAGATCTGACCAGTAACTTAGGCCTATCTATCTAACAGCAAAGTAGAAAACAGTATTAAGACAAAAGTTACTATTGCAAAAGTAGGAAAATTGATTATTATTATTGAGGTCTACAATGTCTAATTACAAAATATATCTGTAAAAAAACAAAATATTAATTTAATCGGATTGTGTTTTTATATTGGACCCTCTGCACTCCAAATATAGACCACTTCTTCCTGTATTCCTCTTAACTTTACAGACTTCCTGGTTCGATCTCAGTTCATAAACTCAGCATTCTCCTGGTTTGAGAGAAAGTTCTGTTCTTTTTTTGGGTGAAACATTTGTCTTTAAATGTTTTCTATTTTGTACATTTGTATGTAACATATCATGTAAATAGACAGAGACAGTGATTTAAATCATCTGGAGGATTTTGTAGTCTTTGTAAAGCCCTAATAAATGGTATTTGGTGTCACACAAGAAAACATGGATCTGTCTTTTTTTTATATATATATTTTGAATTTCATACATACATTTATATAGCTCAAAGTCAGACTTATTTAACTGGTGGTTTTCAGATTCTAGACGTGATGATGTTTTAATTTCAGACGGTGGGAAGAGATGGATTTATTAATTGATTACATTGTACTTTATCATGAAATATCCAAAAGGTAAATTCACAAATGTTGAATCTAATTAAGACATAAATTCATTACTGGATCCTACGACAATCTGCAATTTAACAATATTAACTTTAACTACCCACTGTCTGTATTAAATATTATTGACCTATAAAATGTTGTCATACACCCTCATGAACACAAAGATTTATAATCCTATAATTTTAAAAATGAATAAATATCTAAATGGCTTTACCTGTATTTGGTCCAATATAATTGCTATTTAACAAATTAGACAGAAGATTAACTAAATAAATTTTTTGATGCATTCAAAACTATTTCTAATTTTAAGATGCAATGCGGGGTACTGGCCACATGGAGGCACTAAACATCCTGTCAACGGTTACCTATAAATCTATCAGGCTAGAAACGTTATTTTTATTTTTATTTGTTTGAAAACATATTAAAAATTCTTTTAAAGTTGTCAATACTTGTTTTACAAAAGAGATTAAAAATCTACTTTAAAGTTAATATTGTCAATTTATCAGGCATCAGCTACAGTAATATTCGAATGTTTTAGTAGTAAAATCATATATTAACATTGAAATAATAAAACGATATAAGATCAAAATGTAAAAAAAATAAAAAATTAATAAAAACATGTATTTTTTGATTTGTCATTTTTGCGTAATATTATTTTATTTTGAAACTTCATACCTTCTTCCGCCCTCATTTCCTGTGCAGCTAAGACCGTCCCAAGATGGCGCCCGGTGCTACTCCTGTGGCCGAGTCCGAAGACCACAAAATGTGTAAATCTAAGAGTTTAGCGGATTTTTTACCGCAACACTCGTACTGGTTCGACTTCTGGACCTTCATCCTCTTCGACATAGTGCTCTTCCTCTTCGTTTATTTTATAGTTCCGTAGAAAAAGGTAAGAAAGTCCTGTAGAAGTTTCCAGTGAAGTTAGAATGAGAGGGCGGTGGCTACGGAAATGGCTCAAAACTCTGGGGAAATATGTAAAACCTTCATAATTTAACGTGACTCCCTTTTGCAATTTCTATCTAACGTAATCACAAGTAATTTCTACTAAACATTTATTCATATAATATAAATTGATTGCTTCTAAGTGTTTATTATCATGTTAAATTTGTCTGTTTTTCCACCTATCAGAGGATCATTACTTCGGTCACGTAGTCGATGGAGAAACGTGTTCACATCTCACAGCTGTCAGGGAAAAACCTTTTAAATATTTATTCAAGTTGTGTTAAGTCTGATTACCGAAACACTGATAAGACTGTTTTATGATTTAGATCTCGTCACGTCACCCTGGAGCTGCCAACTTTATACATTTTATAGTTTCAAATGCTTTAAATGCACGTGCAGAATACAAATAATAAGAACCAATGGCATCTTTTCATAGTAAAAAAAATAAAGTCAAGGTTTAGAGTTTTTGTACAAATGTGGGCAAAGATGCAGAGGCCGAACAAGATTAAAATGATTAAAATCCGCATAGGATTTGAGTAACTTTTAAAAACATATATACTTTTAATACTGCTTGAGAAATATTTTTATTGAAATAACATTACACTTTTTTTTTTGTTCCTGTTTCCACTGTGACTAAGTCTAAAGTGACAAAAGCTTTATGTGGCAATATGAAATGATTAGAACATTTCTTCTTTTTCTTGTGCCGCCTCTTCAGATAAGATGTACTATTTCTCATTTTTGTTTCTATCCTTTGAAAATACCAAATTTTGTGTATTATTTAATGTTTTGTCCTTCCAAATTACATCAACTTCAAATCATAAATCAGATTTTATGTCCCGACAGTTACTCTTACACTCTTTTCTTATCTGAGACTTTTCCAAATACTTTTTTACTCTTACTTGAATAACTTCTTGGACCACTACTTTGTACTTCTACTTGAGTAATATTATTTTGAAGTAATGTTACTCTTACTTTAGTAAAATTTTTACCTACTCTACCCATCTCATTTAATATTAAAATAATGCCTCACAAAATCGAAACGTGTAGGTATTTTTAGAAAGTTCTCTGTAGAGTTCTAATGTTCATTGATTCTTTTGGGTATCATTAAGAAGTTGCCGATACCTTGATACATAGGCCACTATACGATACACTTTCGATTCGATACGATAAATTTCAAATTGATTTGATACGATTCAATAAAAAATAAAGGCTAAATCTTGGCTATGACACTGAAAGTCTTTGTTAAACCACTTCTTCTGCAAAGTTCATATGAAACTAGGGATGGACATTCAGTTAAATTTTCGTAATCGATCGTCTGGAGAATTAACGATCAGTTTTCGATTAATCATTAACGTTTTTATATTCAAGTTATCATTGTTACTACTATCTGCACTACTCATCTGTATAAATAAACTCAACTTTACGACACATAAACTATAAACATATGAACTCACTCTAGAGCCACATCAGCCCGTTTGACATTATATGTGTTTAATGCAGCTTTGCGCAACTCTCACAGAAACGAAACTTAAAACCGCATGACTAATTTGCAAGAACTAAGCAAAGAAAAAAAAATAGCTCTTGTGCACTGATGCGGTTCAACTTCTGTTGGACTAAAGGACACGACTCAGTGGAATATAGCCGCTAAGCACAGCAACCTACATTCCGTTTGTCGATTAAAAATTAATGTAATCGACGAAATTCTTAAAGGGCCCATCTCATGCAAAATCAACTTTTCAGAGCTTTCTACCTTCTAAGAGTGATGTCTGGGCCTTGTATATGTCGCAGAAGTGTTTTTTAGATTGATTCGGCGTTTTTTTTTTTTAAACAAATTGCAGCGTATTTCTGGCACCCTCCCACGTGACGACAAACTAAAGGTGCTACAACGATGACGCCGCAGATACACCTATGACGCACTTGACGTAGCAGAAAGCGCTTCATTTGCACATATACAAGCACTTCAATTGTGCTTGTATATGTGCAGAAGATACAATGTGAAAAGAGTTATTTTGCATCAGATGTGCTCTTTACTGATCAATTATCGACTTATCGACTGATCATGCCCATCCCTATATGAAACACAAACATTTAAATCATCAAAACAGTGAAAATGTCAAATGTGTTGCAATAAACTATTTTCCTTCCTCTGAACAAACAACAAAACTGTAGCTGTATCAAAATAATTTAGGAAAATGTTCCAAAAAATACTCTTGGTGATATATCGATACAGCAGCCCACGATATCGACACTGTAGCATCACATTAAACAATACGATATATTGATATTTTGATATTTTCGCACACCCCTATTGATAACTCCAGCCTTGTACTTGTACCACACTGTTTAATTTCAGTGAATTGTTTGGTGTTGGTGCCTGTAGGGCCCTCATGTCCGAGCCTGCAGCTGACACTGGTGTAATCAGCGCCTCATGTTGTACATCTAAAACACAAAAGAAGTGGATTTCGTTACTATTGTTCGAGGGGGATTAGGTCTTTCCAGGACTCTTTACCGCTCTCGTAGAGGTGCGTTCGTCTCTAAGCGTCCGCTGTGTATTCTGAAGTGTGTACAGTCTTTAATGTCAGGCCCTGCGCTGAAACTTAAGGAGTTAACGGCACAAGTACAAGGCTCTGGTTCTGACAGGGACAATGGGACGAAACAAAGCACAAACAGCCTTTTACTCAAACACTAATCGACACACAACAGACTAAATTAGAATGGGATCGTTATTATTATTATTATGTCCAAGCGCTGAGGGTGGTGCAGGGTCTTTTGTCATTGTGCGGTCGTGCAAAGAACTACGGCCAACTGTGAGAATCGCACTAATGGGTTCTTGTTCACCCCAAAACTGGTGCACACACACTTCACTAAGGCTGGGTATCAATAAGAAACTGCCGATACGACACATACCTCGATATAGTGCACTTTCGATTTGATACGATATATTTCAAATTGATTTGATACGGTTCAATAAAAAATAAAGGCTAAATCATGTAAAGTAACGACTACTAGAATTCATAGAAGTCTAAATCAGCGAAGATTACAGTTGTGTCGCTGAAACGGATTAAAAGACACTTTCTGTTGCAAAGTTCATATGAAACAAGTCAAAACATTTTAATCATCAAATCAATAAAAAATAAAGGCTAAATCATGTAGTGATACTAGAAGTCTTTGTTAAACCACTTCTTGTGCAAAGTTCATATGAAACACAAACATTTTAATCATCAAAACAGTGAAAATGTCAAATGTGTCACATAAACAAGTTTCCTTTCTCTAAACAAGCAACAAAACTGTAGCTGTAACAAAATAATTTAGTAAAATCTACCAAAGAATACTCTTTACGATATGTCAATACAGCAGCCCACGATATTGATACTGCATCATCACATTAAATTATATGATATATCAATATTTAAATATTTTTGCACACCCCTACACTTCACATTGTAATCAAAGTGATATAAAAAAAATCTTGTATTGTTTCTCTCTAAGACAATATTTCACAATTTGTTAAACCACTACTACCTGTGCAAAGTTAACAGAGAAATGTTGTAGCTAAAATGTATTTGTTCTTAAAAATCAGCAATATATCAGGTGCAATCATTGACTGTATATATAATTGTGACGTCACCCACAGCGTTCAGCTCCACTCAAATGAAGTTCGCAATGTTAACAGCTACAGGGGAATGTTTTTTTTTTTTAAACAGACAATATATTGAAATAAAAATACAAATAAAAAATACACACATTTTAAGACCAAAATGATGAGGCTCACTGCAGCAGTTTCAAAGAGAGGAGTGACAATATTCTAGTGTAAGTCACAAACCAGGAAGATGTTTGGAAACATGCGATGCCGACCGACTGTGATCAAACCCACTGAAGTAAATGTGATCAGCGGTAAAATGAAGACTGCAGACGTACGTGCAGTTTGGAATCCTCTTGAATTTGCCGCCTCGTCTCTTCTACTCGCATGTAGCCGGTGCGCTCGGAGTTGTGCGTCAGCGGGGAAATGATGAAAACTGAGGTGTGGCTGTAATTGTTGATGAGCTGAATATAACAGAACACTACAATGACATGGAGATGGAAAAAAAAGGGACATTTTCACATTTTTCATAGATTTTGTCACACTTACTACCGCGAAGAGAGCCCGCCTGTAGTTGCCATCGCATGTTTCCAAACGTCTTCCTGGTTTGTGAGCGTGATTAGAGCCTATTGGAGCCAGGGTCAGAAGGAGCCGGAAGAGAACGTGGCGGCTAGGGCATTAGCTATGTTCATTTATACAGTCTATGGGTGCAGTGTATGGATTATAGCCATATCGTGATAATATCGTATCGTGAGTCATGTGTTGTATCAAATCGTGAGGGACCCTGTGATTCCCAGCCCTAGTTGACCGTTGTGGAGTGTCACTGTCCTCTAACGTGGATTGTCTTTTTGTTTCTAGACTTGGCTGATCCGATGTGACGATGTTAAAGACGTGAAGAGCCGGACCGCTCCCGCTTCGAGGATCAAACTCCAGCTTTGCCTGACTTTGAACTGTTTATGAAACCCTCCAAAACAAGAACCATCTCCTCCATCACACCACACACGACCTTCCTCCTCTCCTGGGACGCTCTTGGACTCTCTCTCCTTCTGTTGGTGGATTTCAGATTCTAGGATGAGCTCATGTCTTACTGTCAGATGGGGGCAAGAGGTAGTTTTTCCTAATTATAACTTTATTTTCTGTTTTTGACAAGAAGAGCTCGCTGTATTGTAACAAAAGTCTGCATCTTAATATTTATTTTCGCTGCCCTCGTCTGTATCAAATGTTACTGGCCAAGCGATTGCCGTCGTTGTCATCTGAAGCACTTTGGGTTTAAAAATGTCAAATTTTACTGTAAAAAAATGATTTGAATCGATCCTAAAGGGTTGATTCAGACGACCAAAAACCTCAACTTTCAAATGAAGACTTCCCTAATCCAGTCTGTAACGTTTTCTGCATTTTCCTTTTTGCGATTTTGATTTGTCTGACGGGAAGAAATGCCTGTCCTCTGTAATTACCAAAGTAACATGAATTACTTATAGAAAAATCTGTAAATGATTTAACAATGATCAATAGCTATCAATAGTTTCCTCTATCTTCACAGTTTTATTGTTGCTGCGCAGAAGAGACCAAAACAAAAGTATTAATAAAATTGTACAGCCTTTTGAAACCTGTCTTTGGCTCATGAATTAAAGGTGTGTTGTGTAACTTTCTGACCAGGTGACGTCTTTGCGTAGTTTGTCTCCACGGAGATGAGACTGTGTTGCTCAGAATGTTCCACAGTTTTATTTAACGTATCCATCTGCAGCTATTTACAGGTTTATTTATCGCAGGGGTCTCCAACATTTTTCTTCGGGTGAACTACCGTTACAAATTTTTGCGGTCACACGAAAGAAATTATACATACTGTAAGAGCCATGGCAAGACTTAGATGGGGTACAGTTAGATAAAACATAAACCATTATTTATTTATGAATGATAGATTTACAATAATAGGCATTTAATTAATCAAATTTAAGTTATTCAAGATAATACAAGTAATTCCAAAATCTCTTGGCAAGCGACTTGGAAGGGGATGAAGCTCTGATCTATTGCCTTGAGAAAACATATATTTTTTTACTTTGAGTCGGCTCGCCTCTTCTCAGATCAGATTTGCAACTTGGCAGCTTTTTCGTTTAATGCTATACTGTGGAAAATTCCGGGCAAAGCGATGACAATATCTCCATGGAGACAAGCAGGTGGAAACGTCAGAAAAGTTACGTATCTTCACCGGACCTGTAAGTGCTAAAACAGCCTCCAGTGCACAGTGACATATTTTGATGGAGTTTAGTAAGAATTTTTTAGCTTTATGCAAACTTTTGTCACTTTTTTACATATAATAATAATAATAATAATACATTTTATTTCTATAGCGCTTTTCAGGTCACTCAAAGATGCTTTACAGAACACGTATGAAAACAAACCTTTGCTCTTTTGACTGAGCTGCGGTTTCCAAAATAGTTTAAAACGCCACATAATGTCAGACCTTTCAAAAAAATGCATGAGTGAATGTTAAAAATGAAGCTTTATAATATGTATGTTTTGGTGTCATTCTCTGTGTATTTTATTACGTAAATCTGGTCGTAATTTATAAATTGATAACACAATGTGAACTATTTAAATACCTTTTCAAAATTACTATAATAAAACCAAACAAAAAACAAGTTGAATTGAATCGTAACGTGTAACTATCTGAAGTAAATATGATTATTAAAGTACTATTTTGTTTTGTTTTGTCAGCCGTCGTCGTATTTAACCAGTAATGAGGCCGGAGAAATTTTCAATAGTTGCAAGAATGTGTTCTGCATATTTGTTAAATAGACACAAAATAAAATAATGACTGGGTTAAATGTAATTGTTGTGCAATCCGGTGTTAAGCAGTTTTATGATTACCCGAAAAGCGCGCTGGTCTGTCCCTTCCATATCTCTCTAAACCGACTGAGAATGTTGCCAGTTTGGAAATAAAATAAGCATATGACATTTGTGTTTATTGGTTTTGTTGCAACTCAGGAATACAGGTAAAAAAAAACAAAAAAAAAGTCAAATCCTCCAGCTAAAATATACGTGACCTAAACTAACCCAGAGACACTGAAGGACGGGACAAATACAAATTTCTGTACCAAGACAGAAGTGACTATTTGTCAAAGAAAAGTAACAAACGAAAGCGGTGAGCAAACTCAGAACTAAATTCAGCCAAACTCAAATAATCAGTTTTGGGCAGAGGTGGGACCAAGTCGTCGTTTTGCGAGTCTCAAGTAAGTCTCAAATCTTTGACCTGAAGTCCCAGTCACGTCCCCAAGTCAAATACAGGCAAGTCCAAGTCGAGTCTCGAGTCACCGGCCCATGAGTCCAAGTCAAGTCCAAGTCGTCTGCTTTGAGTTTCAAGTCATTTCAAATCTTTAAACCAAAATACCAAATATTTCTGGGCATGTCCCACTGGGAGGAGGCCCCGGGGAAGACCCAGGACACGCTGGAGGGACTATGTTTCTCGGCTGGCCTGGGAACGCCTTGGGGTCCCCCCAGAAGAGCTGGAGGAAGTGTGTGTGGAAAGGGAGGTCTGGGAGTCCCTGCTTAGACTGCTGCCTCCGCGACCCGGCTCCGGATAAGCGGAAGAAAATGGAATGGAATGGAACTTGGAATTGGAATTTTAAGATAAATTGTACTTAAAAAATCACAGTATATTTATATATGAGTATTTACTTATTTATTTATTCTAAACTGGGACACTCACCCGGGTTAGTCAGGTTGGTATAATAAAACTGAATGTGAAAAGAGCATGTAATACACTGTGCGTTCTTGTTCCAGTCGTAATCTGAAGGGGCTTCTGTCGCTGCCTTTTTGTTTTTTGTTTTGCTTTATGGTCTTTCCAAAACATGGAGTTCTGTATTTTGGCAAAACAAATGAGAATTTATGCTCCTCTTGACTATTGGCAGGGATGAGATTAGTCAAAAATTGTTTTAGTCCTGGTTTAGACCTGATGTAGTCCTGGTTTAGTCCTGTTTCAGTTCTGGTTTAATCCTGGTTCAGTCCTGGTTTAGTCCTGGTTCAGTCCTGTTTCAGTTCTGGTTTAGTCCTGTTTCAGTCCTGGTTTAGTCCTGGTTCAGTCCTGGTTTAGTCCTTTTTCAGTCCTGTTTCAGTTCTGGTTTAGTCCTGGTTTAGTTCTGTTTCAGTCCTGGTTTAGTCCTGTTTCAGTCCTGGTTTAGTCCGGCATCACAGTTTAAGTGACGTAAACGGGAAATGGCCATTTTCCGTCACAAACACAAAATCAAAAACTGAAAAAAACAAATCGTTATCTGTTTATTCATTTTGGTTTTGGAGACAGATAATGAAGAGAACATTTCCTTTTTCATTTTCTTATTTTTGGTTTTATTTTGAAAAACAAATGAACGAATGATACACGGATTTTGTTACATCCTTGGTAGATACGTTTAAGGACAAACTATGGAACACTTCAGGCAATACAACACCAACTCCACGGAGACAAGAAGGTGGCAAACGCTCCCCCAGAACCGTTCCCTAGGGCACATTTAACTCATAAGTACTGTTTACGGTTTGACCTCTGTCCGTGTTTCTCTTTTCTCTTTTATCTTTATGAGGGTCACTACTACATCACCCAGAGCTTTGAAGTTGAAGACAGGCCAAAGAGAGTTAAATCTTAATCACGAGAACACGGGTGAAGGACCAAACTCGTGAAAGATGTAAAGATACAGGCCTAAATAAAATAAAAACACTTATATTTAGATGTCAGTGTAATCCCGAGTCATCCAGGGAGGTTCCACGGCAAAAGAGAATGTGATTATTTCTGAGGAAGACACTTGGATGGATGGCGAAATGTCTTCACTTCAAACAGGGTGACCAGATTTTCAAAGCAAAAAACTGGGACATCCCTGGTTTGGGTTGGATGGTAATAATTAAACTGTGAAATGAGTGCGTAATTAAGGAAAACTGTTCAGCACTTGGCACTAATATTAGTGAGAAGTCACATTTTCTTTGTGTTTTGGTCATTTTTAAGCTGCTTTTCTGTATTTTACCTAAGCAAATGACAATGTATGCCTCTCTTTACTGTTGACAGGTATTAGATTGGTCAAAAATAGTGACACCTGGGACATTTCTTATATAAAAAAAACTGGGACAAATCACTGGTTTTGTATAAATCTGCTGGGACAGAGGACACAAGGCTCAAAACTGGGTAAATAACAGAGGTGGGTCATGAGTCGTGACTTGGACTTAAGTCAGACTTGAGTTACTATTTTTAGGACTTGAGACTTGATAAAATGGACTAAGACTTGGGACTCGACTTGGACTTGAATGTCAGTGACTCAGACTTGAGGCCTGTGACTTGAGAAGACTTGAAAAGCACTTTTAAAACTGAATTCTTTCTGTTCTGACCTTAATGATTCACTGTAAGACAGGGGTGTCCAAACTTTTTTCATCAAGGGCCACATATTTCTTTCTTTATTTATTTATTTGAGACAGGGACAGCGCACAATTTTTGCATTTACCTTAACAGGAGAGATGCATTGGACATCAGGTTGTAGCATCAGTGTTAATTTTCACCTGTCGTCCCTGAGCAGATTCATTGATTGATTGTTTTTAACTGACTTTGACGATCAACTGTTCTGGAGATTTATGTAGCATGTTTTGGGTTATCTAAACACAGATGAAGCAGAGGACCGATCGAGGGACGCAGACTGATGCCCAATACAGTGAATAATTGAAATGTGTGCATGTTTAACATGTTAGAATGAGCCATCAGTCTTTATTCATGCTAAAATCCTTAAAACCACACACTAAATATTAAATATTCGCTTTATCAATATAAATTTTCAAAAAACTTGCAGTAAAAAAATATTTTTAATTGATGCAAGGTAATTTGGGCCAATTCACCTGGAACTCTGAGGGCCAAGAAAAATTTGTCTGAGGGTCGCGTTTGGCCCCTGGGCCATAGTTTGGACATGCCTGCCCTAAGATCTTGTCGAGACATTTAAAAAGGAAACATTTAAATTTTTACAACTCTTACAAAATGTGACTTCTAACTCACATTAGTACCAAATGCAGAACAACTTTCCTTTATTACTCAGTCGTTTCACAATTATATTATTACCAAACAACCCAAACGAGGGATATCCCAGTTTTTTATTTTGAAAATCTTTTATAAGTTTGTTTACTGTTGCCGCGAAGATCGGTTCCCTCCCTGTTTCCCGCCGGAGCGCTTATCTCGCTGCACCCCGCGGCTCCTCCCTCAGTCGCGTGTCGTTTCCTGGAGCCGCGTTCAGTCGCTCCGCTGTAAACAAAAGTTAGAAACGGTTCAAAATCCGCCTCACGATCCGCGGAAAAGACATGCATATCAAAACAGGTGAGTCCTAACCACTTTCCCACCCCGCCGGGTGCTTTTGTCCGCGTCTGGATCGCCGTTTTGTCCGGTTATATGACCAAGTTAGCACCGCTTTAGCCCGAGTGTCGAGGCTCCCGCTTTGAATGGACTCTTACGAAACTTTGAGCGGAGCTAACGCGATCCCCGGCTCAACTTTGGGCTGATTACACGCTAAAACTTTAACGACAACACCTGAGTTTGAATAATATTAAACTTTAAACTCCTACGAGGCTGTATCGGTTGTGAAAATGTCGAGTTTGTGAGCGTGAAGTCGCGATTCGGGCGCGTTTGTGAACACCGGCGTTGTCAAAAGTGTGCTCCAGGCTCATGGCAGCGCTTAGCCTCAACTCCAAAGAAACTGAACCGGAGCCGTGCCAAAAATAGACTAACGTTTTCCTCACAACCAAACGCCGTAATGTCTAAAATATGCGCCTGATCATGAACTAACCATTGAGGAATCCGCTGTATTTTGGCGAAGTTTGATGCGCATGTAACGTCATTTGAATAAACAATGATCTCAAGGGTTGCCTTTTTTTTTTCTTCTTTTTTTTTTTTTGTGCGGTCACGTGAAAAGTTGGCAGCATTTCTGATCGGTGACACGGTTGTTTGACGTCACTGACTAGTACCTTTTTATCTAAACTAGCATATTTTGAAATGATATAAAAATGATTATGATGAAGCGTAGAAATATTGATATATCGTGTCGTTCAGTGTGGTGACACAGTGGCGATATCAAGGGCTGCTGTAGGGCTGGGTATCGTTCAGAAGCTGCCGATACGATACATACATCGATACACAGGACGCAATATGATACAGAAATCGATACAGTGCGCTTTCGATTCGATACGATTCAGTATGATATGTTTTTTCGATATGGTTCAATAAAAAATAAAGGCGAGAGTCACGTCACTTCACTCACGTGTTCTTGTTTACACCCGCAGCGGTGCGCAACACTGAGATTATATTCTTTTTACGACAATCGGTTTGAGTTTGGATTAAAAGGACATTTGTTAGTGCAGACTTGTGATGTGAGGAGGAGCCTGTGTGAGCGTTGAGTGTTGGAAATACATCGACTTTGAAGCTAGTTTAGGTTTTGTTAGCGATTAGCTGCTGTAGCTCCCGCACATAAACAGGCTGTTTTCTATTGGCCTATTGTAAAGTAAAAATTGGCCGTATATTTGTTACTGGACCAGCATTGATATGTAAATGAGCTGTGAATAGACGTGTGAATGATCCACATTTATGCATATAATTAATTACCGCTGTGCGCACGTTTTTACGGCTAAAGGCTAATAGCGGTAGTTTCTTTACTAGCTAGGAGTTATGGGTCGGTCGCGATCGAAGCGGCTCTTAGAGCCGGCTCTTTGAAGCGAACAACGGGAACATGTTTCTTATTGGGAGCCGTGTTTTCTCTTTTTCTCACTTTTTCTCTTCAAGCCGCATGTAGACCCGTAGTTTGACAGCAGCAGGGGCTGAAAACGAAACTTTCAGAAATATGCGTGTGCACAGGATAAAAAAAAAGTGCATATTTGGCTGCAGTTCAGCATAAAATGAATAAACCAGGACTAATCTTGGGCTCGAGAGAGAGATAGAGATAGAAACCGAGTCCCGACACTCAGTCCTGGTTCAGTTCTGGTTTAGTCCTGCTTGCAACAAAACAATCTCAAGAGTCGCTTGGGAGCCGAAAGAGCCAGCTGCTTTAGTGAGCCGAGCCAAAAGAGCCGGTTTTCCAAAAAAAAAAAAACTGGAATACCCATCACTAGTAGCTAGAATGTGATGCAAAAATGCCATTAGGCCAATCTACTGTATGTAAATATGATGTAAAGAGGCAGAACAACAATAAATGTTGCCTAAATAAACCCAATTTAGAATCTACTAGAGCCAAACCTAAGTTTTTTAAACAATTCAAGATTTACAGTGAATTTTTACATCACTAAATATATCTGCGAATATATCGGCTATCGGCAGCTCCAACTCCCATTATATCCGTTTCATATCGGCCACAACAAAATCCATATCGGTCGGGCTCTAGTAACAATAACTGGTATTGTGTCGTCAAAGTTCTCTGGACCATCACAATATATCGAATTACAAGACTCTTTGCTTAAATTAAGAGTTATGGAGCAGGAATAGCTAAAAAAAACCACATAGACCATGATCCTTTGATCCATTTCAGTGCAGACTACAAGAAGAAATAACAGTTCTAACACTTTTAAGTCTTAGTTCTTTGGATTAAGTCTTGTTAAGGCATTTTAAGAGGAAAAAGAAGCATATTTACAGTTTTGTTAGCCTCCACGAAATATCGCAATAAATATCGTACCATGAGATGTACATCGTGAAAATATCGTACAGAGAGATTTGGATATTGTTACATCCCTAATCGTGAGCCTCGCCAACATATCATGAGCTTTCTGACGATATCACAATAAATATCATACCGTGAGGTTCATACCGTGACGATATCGTATCGTGAGACTTGGATATCGTTACACCCCTAATATTGAATCAATTTGAAATATATCGTATCGAACCAAAACTGCACTGTAACGAGGTATGTATCGTATCGTCAACTTCTTAATGATACCCAGCGCTTATTAACCAGTACATTTATAAACAGTAAACGGCAAGTACACGATTAGTTTTTATTTAGTACTTTTTACACAATCTTTATCGTTACTATTTTCGTTGTTGCTGTTTTTATCACGATAAACGGTATTGTTTATCTGTCTCTACAAGTAAAAACATTGGCAAATTATGGCAGCTCCACACACATACACATACCAGTCAGTCAAGAGGCTGAGCTAGAAAGAATTAGGAAGTTAAAACGATGACTTAATGACCCATAAGTAGACGTTTCTTTACCGTAATTCTTTCTAGCTCAGACACCTGATTGACTGGTATGTGTGTGTGTGTGTATAGCTGCCATAATTTGCCATTCTTACTCGTAGGGAGGGGACATAAACAATTATAGTTTATTGTGATAAAAAAGGTGGACAATAATCGTTTGTGGAGCATTTTATATAATAGTGATCATCGTCAAGAAAGATAATCGCCATTGTTTCACCAGAATGTTCCAGAAAAAAGCTACTTCTTCATGATTTTTTTCTTCTATATCAGACATGTCAAACTCAGGCCCGGGGGCAAAATTTGGCCCGCAATATAATTATTTTTGGCCCGTGAGATCATATCAAATCTGTTTTAGAGCTGGCCCACCGACTACAGATAGACTATAGAGACATTATTTATTTAAAATGTTGTTATTATTTTATATTTTGCTTGTTCTGGATTCAATGTTAAAGCAAAACTATTATTAAACATTTATTTTAATAAGAAAAGGTTTATTGTTACATCTCGAAAGAAGTTTGGCCCATGACTTAGTTTCAGTTGTTAATTTTGGCCTTTGTGAGGTTGAGTTTGACACCTCTGGTCTTGATGATTGTTATTTTCACTTATATCAAAGTACAACACTATAACAGTTGTTTTAAAAGCTAAATCCTGTTCATAGTTGTAAAATTAACATGCAATTATAGTTATTCATGTCCATAATATTTTTAAACTGTCAGCAAAAGCTTTAATAATTATCGTGATATAATTGTTAATCGCAGTTATTTTAAACATGATAAAATCTCAATATTGCCCCATGCCTAGTTACTCGACAGCTTAAAGTCTTGGGAATCATCCCGAGTGTGTCCCAATGCGTCCAGATAAACAGTATGTAAATGCGGAGGCTGGAATGTGGCAGGTCGGTGGGTAGGAACAGGTTTCTCACGACGCAGAGTTGAGGAATGGGTGGGAAAGAAATGCCTTTATTTGAGAAACGTCACCGAGCCCGAGAGCTATCTGTCAACACGGAGACCGGGGTTTTGTACCTGAGAGTTTCCCAATGAAATACTGTAAAGTGTTAAACAGAAGTTATGAAACCTGTCACTGTATGTGATTTTACTGTAATGCGGACAATAAATGATGACAAAATATTGAATAGCAAAACTTTTAAAGCATATTTTTAATAAGAAAATGTTGTATTTCCCTAGTGCTTTTGCCTTTTACTGCAACATCTCAATTTTGATATGATAAATTGGCAAATACCAGAGTAATATTGCACTTAAATTCAGTTTTTGGCATGTTACTTCTATCTTTATTGGTACAAGATTAGTTACTTTACCGACTAGGGGTGGAACGAGAAACAATTTTCACGCGGCGGATGAGACATAAGATCCTGACTATATTTATGGCCTGAATTTGGTCATTTCCTCATTTTATAATTAAAATTAACTACAAACTCATGCACAGCCCTTTTCTTACCGCAGACCTTTAAGAAAGTTGCGTAGTCACATTTTATACAGTTAAATGTTTGCACTGTAAGTGTTAAAATAAACTGTTAAACTGCTTTGTATGTTTTAAGCGGCGACCTAAACAAAATACAAGCCTCTGGTGGAGATTTAAAGCAGCACTATGTAACTTTGTTGGTCTGGTTAAACAGCTCTATGTTACGTTTATTAAATTATAGGTGATTTTATAGTTAAAAAATACAGAAAAACAGACGTTCTGACTGTGAGTGGGGTCGCCTCTCCACAGATCTAACTTGGTCTGGTTTGGTCTCCTTGAAGATAGAAAGGTTTAATGCCACGAGAAATGTTACACAATGCATCTTTAAGGCCAATGGTGCTAAAATGTGAATATGTATCATCAACAAATGTAGTTGCTTAGTAGTAGTCAGAAAAAGTATTTGCTAATTATTTTTAAAAACAAATGTATTTCACTGCACCTACTTTGTTTTTACTATTGCAAATGCGTATTTATTCATATTTTTTTATTTTACTCTTCTGTATTAGTTTCTGTGTAGACTCTGCACATGTGACTGGGCGACAGGTGCATTGGAGGAGAATCATTTAGCTGTAAATGCGTTAAAGAAGATTCACGCACATTGCCATTTAATTCCGAATAAAAAATAATTTAATTCTTAATAAAAATTTATTCTGCTTTAAAAAGACCATGTAAACACTTAATTCCTAATGAAAATGGTTATTCGGAATTAAACTTATTTCCGAAGTAAGTGGGTGGTTTATTCTGATTTGAAGCCAAATTAATTTATTCCTGGATCATGTAAACGTTTATTCTTCTTAAAAATAATCCCGGTTGTTTGGCGCATTCTCGTTGGGAGGCCCTTCTGACGCAATCCGGACGATCCGGCTCCACCAGTCCTGCGCTGGACTTTCATCCACGTCTCTTTGGATTTGTGAGCGGGATGCGGGAGTGGGCTGAGGTAGAGCAGCCTCAGACTCAGTTTGTCTTCTTCCTCCCTTCTCCGACACTTCTTGCGCAGTCATGGGATGGGAAAAGTTTGGACCGTGTTTGTGTCCGTAGCGTAACGACAAACCGAGATGACATAAAAGCCACTGGCAGCTGAAGTGTGTGTTTTCTTCCAGGTCGACGTAAATGCGTTTGTGTCTCTGTCCAATCAGAACCCTTCCCCACCCCCAGATGCTGAGCGGAATTAATTAAAGCCGATTTAACGTGTTTTCCGTGTAAACCTCAATTCGGAACTATTATTTCCACGTAAACTCGAAGGAGACTATTTCAATTCTGAACTATTGAATTCAGAACAATTCAAAATCAAAAAACATCATGTAAACTTGGCCACTGTCTCACTCTTAGGTTCAAAACATTGTCTCACTTTTGGTTTTCTTTTATCAATACAGAGTGCGGGAGTCTTCTTGAAAACTCTTCTGTACTAATTTATTGTGAATGAATTTATTATATGGACCTCTCTTCTCTTTTCCGTGTTTTTTTTGCAGGTTCCTGGGAAGCTGCTACTACAGTCTGTGAGTCCGACCCCCTGTGCGACCCCGCGGTGCTCGTCTCTGCCGCGAACTCCGAACCACAAATCCGAAACCGCCGTCTCTCCCCCGGATCAGGCAGCGGAGGAGGGGGAGGCGGAGGAGGCTGCATCCCCGAGAACACCAACCAACAACAGCAAGCGCCACGCCAAATCTCCCCCGAGACCAACGGCCCCGCCAACGCACAACCACAGGGTCCGGCGGTACGCAAAGAGAAGGAACGCAAGGCTCACAAAGGCAGGAGCGCGCGCCGGGAGAGCCACAAGGGGGCGAAAGAGAGGCGGGCGTCGCAGAAGGAGCGCTGGGTGGGGGACAGTCTCTCTCTGCTGAAGCCTCCTCCGGCCTTCCCCGTTCAGGACAGTCCCGCCAAACTGCAGCCCGCCGTCAGCTACGCCTCCAAAGTGAAGGCGGGAGCAGCTACAGGTCAGTCTTTCGGAGCACATTCCATTTTTTTCAGCGTTTAGCCTTCCAGACCTGAGGGTATTTTTAGTACATTTGTCCTCACCTGGATTTTTTTCTTAACTTTGCTGTTAAAACTCCCCCTTTTACCCCCAAATGAAGTGTTATATATCCTTTTTTTCAGTACAACCTGTTATTTCACAATCTGCTCCTGTAGTTGTGTCATATGGCTGTATGTGTGAAGAATCCCTCAGGCGTCCAGGTAGAATCCATGACGAGGAAAAAATTCAGTTTGTCGACTGGACAAAAGTTAGTTTGGTTGAAGACTGTTCACAGTTCATTCAAGCTGCTTCTTCATTTCATCCAAGCACCTTCTTCAGTTCATCCAAACTGCTTCTCCAGAATTGAAGAAGCTGCTTGGATGAACTGCGAAACGTCTTCAACCAAACTAACTTTTGTCCAGTGGACAAACTGAATTTTCTCCTCGTCATATGACTGTAATAAAAGCTATAGGACCAGAAAGACAAATGAAAAAAGAAAATAAAATTCCCAATCTTTCATACAAAACACTCAGCAAACATTTATAAACAACATTTTGGACATAAAAAATGTTTAATTTAGAGCCTTAGCTACAAAAGTGCCAAATATCAAGTCTGTAAGTAAACTAAAAATAACCTTATAGCCTCAAAACAAAACAAAAAGTGCAATGGCCCCATGACTTGACTGGTGTCAGTCATGGAAACAGCTCGTGTCAGGACACAGAGTCACATCACTTCCTGCATTTCCATCGTGTTTATTGCATTTGGATTTGGACATTTTCACTGAAATAAACCTTTCAAATAAAAATAACAAGGGATGCACCAGTACACAGACCAAGATGTAAAATTTTCCATTTATTTGAGAAATAACTGCACTTAGAGCGGGTTTTTCAGTTGTTACGAACACAGACACGCATCGATCATTTTGACTCACTACTCTCTTTGGCAAAGTTTGGGCCAATCAAAATGGACGAAGCGCATGAGTTTGGCCGAAAACAAAGTTCCTATTGGACACTTGTTTCCCCGATGTCATCACATTAGCGTGCGTGTATTGCGTGCGTGTACATATTCTCGGAAAGCTGAAAGTCCTATTTTTCAAAGGGAAAAAAAAGTAAGTTTCTATCTTTTATGGTTGGAAAGTTATGCGCAGTTATATAAAACGTATTCACCTGGAACGGTTAAATTGATGTCTTGGGGGGGAAAAAAAGCAATTGTTAACTATAACTATTTCTTAATGGATGTCTGCACTTTCTGTTGGTCAAATTATTATCTTCCACAATTTAAGATCCACTGTTGTACAGCTACGTGACTCAGAAAGGAATTAAATGTGCCTTTAAAACATCTCCCCAGTCATAAAAATGTAGGTCCTTGGAGATTTTTTTTTATGTGTTTATTTTGGGCAGTTAAGCATTTTACATTCAGTATTATCCACATTGACATTATTGCAATTAGACAAACAGAACAAGTACAGCAACAAAAAAATTTGCCCAAAAAGGAGTGGAAAGAAGAAAAAATCCCACCTCCCTCTTGTGTATTCCACAGTTGACTTAACGTTTAGTATTTATTCATATTGTTGCTTAAAAATACCATTTTAAAAACACACAATTGTCATTGTAAGTGGGTTTGCCTTTTTACAGAACTTGGCCTGGTGGGAGTCACTTATGTCTTCATAGAAATAGATGTGGTTAATGCCATATTGTGGAACATGCTAGGCCAGGGGTGTCAAACTCATTTTGGTCCGGGGGCCGTATCCAACCTACTTTGATCCCAAAGGGGCCAAATCAGAAAACTCATGGCATATAAACCCCAAAAATAATAAGTTCAAATATTTGTGCTGAGAAACACAAATCTATTACAGAAATCTTTTTTAATTGATGAACTCTTTCTTTTACAAAATATTATATTATAAACAACCTGAAACTTAAAAAAAAATGCAATTTTTTATTTTATTTATTTTATTTATTTATTTAAGAAAATAGGGACAACACATTTGAACAATACATGATATGTAAATATGTTATCAGATTATAGCAAGGCTTTTCCATCTGCTGTCCTAAACACAGTGTTTTAAAATTAACTTGGACTTATTCCTATTTGCATACATTTTTCTTGGAAAATCTTGCACTCTGCTCCGCTTTTCTCATTTTTGACATTTTGCTGATGAGGGTGTCACAGTCAACAGTTAAAACGATCGTCCTTTAAGAGCGTTTGGAAAGAGACAAGTCTTCATTTGTGCTGCTCTGGTGGGAGGGGCCACGTACAGAGACGCTGCTGTGATAAACACCACAGAAAATGACCAATATTTTAATAGAAAATATAATTAAAATATAAGAGTAGAAAATCAGCTGAGGGCCCCCGGTCTGTGTGTTTGACACCCCTGATCTAGGCAAAGCAGTAACATCACCATGGAGACAAACGGGTGACCTACACTCCACCAGAAGTTGCATCATGTACACAAGTATTTGCCAGTAATTGTGACAAACTTAAAATTGTGTTCTCTTCTCTTTAATCCTAAAAATACTGTCTTTCTCTTTCCTGCCAGGTTTGTAATTTTAGTATGAAGACGATACCAGACTAAATATGATGAATTGTATCAGCATTAATACCTATCGAGTGCGTTTACATGTGCATCAGTATCCCGGTTATGATCCTTATTCTGGTTATGATCGTATTCTGTATATAGTGTTTTTATGTATAAGAGAAAGCAGGAGACTCATATTGCTGTGTACATGCGCCATCAGAGTAGACTGTAACTGTAGCACAGATATGGCAAGGAACTAAACATGTGGCAACTTTGGCAACTAACTTAAGGTTTTTTAACAGGTTTCTAAAAACAAAAACGCTTACTTACACTGAAGTTAGAGCATAAGTTTGTGGAGCTCTGTCACAGCTTCAGTAAAAGACTTTATTAACATAATTCATAAGTCCCACAGCGTCAGTTTAGTTTTTTTAGTACTGAAAAAGTCCTAATCGCATTTTGATTCATTTTGGGAAAGTTGCTGCTCCAGTCTCTTAGTCCGCACATGCTCAGTGCAGCACCGATGTTCAGAAATCAGGATACTGCGTCTACAGGCCGCAGTGTCCGGGATTCTACCAGAAAAACCAGTGAGTTTCTCATCACCGGGATACTGCCTTATCCAGGAGATGGAGATCAGGATACTGTGTTTACATGGACACTCAAAAACCCGAACACAGCCAGAATACTTCAGCGTATAAACCTCAGCACATATAAACGCACTCTCTGATCTCTCCTCTCTTCAGGTGGGCTGGAGGAGGACCGCCCGGCCATCGGCGTCCTGCTGCAAAACCAGTGGGGCCTGAGTTTCATCAGTGAAGCGCGCCCCGTTTCAGAGAGCTCCGAGTCTCCGCCCCCAAAGACAGAGCCGTGTGCAGAGGAGCCGTGCGCAGAGCCACAGACGGAGGAGGAGCTGCGTGCGGAGGGGCCGTGTGCAGCGGAGCCACAGACAGACGGGCCGTGTGCAGCGGAGCCACCGACGGAGGGGCCGTGTGCGGAGCCGTGCGCAAAGGAGCCCAGTCCAGCCGCTACACCCCTCACCACAGTCATACGCCCCCCGCAGGAAGACGAGGAGAACAACAGCAAACTGCTCCTCAGCTGTCGCCATCTAGTGCAGGCTTTGAATTATCACAGTAGAGGTGAGTGGAGCAATAGGATCTTGTCACTCTTACGTCACAAACCAGGAAGACGTTTGGAAATGTGATGACAGCTTCCGACAAGCTCTGTTCGTGGTAGTAAGTCTGACAAAATCTAGGAAAAATGAGAGAAGGTCAGTTTTCTTCATGTCATTGTAGTGTTCCATTATGTTCGGCTAAACAACAGTTACAACCACACCTCAGTTTTCATCATTTCCACACTGACGCACACCTCTGAACACTGGGCACATGCGATTAGAAGAGACGAGGTGCCAAATTCCAGATGATTCCAAACAGCACATACGTCTGCAGTCTTTATTTTACCGCTGATCACATTTACTTCAGTCGGAAACTACACTGGAAGTCATCATCGCATGTTTCCAAACATCTTCCTGGTTTGTGATGTAAGCGTTATTAAAAATATTGTATACATGTTACAAAAAATATTATGGAAGTTTAAATATTGAAGTAAACATTAAACAAGGATAAGCCATGCGAATCTGTGCATCATTCGTTTTTCAAAATAAAACGACAAAAAAAAAAAAAAAAAATTTAAGTTTTTGATTTTGTGTTTAAATGAATAATGGAAAAACAGATAACGACTGTTTCCCATTTCCATGACTCAAACTGCGATGCAGAACTGAATCAGGACTAAAACAGGTCTAAACCGGCCTCTGTATCGGCCTCTGTATCGGCCTCTGTATCGGCCTCTGTATCGGCCTCTGGCCTGATCACCTGACCGTCTACGCGGGCGCACCTCCAGGCCGTGCTGACACTCAGGACTAAACCGGGTCTAAACCAGGACTGAACCAGTACTGTTTTAATCCTGATTTAGTTCTGGTTCAGTCTGTATGCGGCGCAAAAGTCTGGCATAGCAGTTTAAGTCACGGAAACAGGAAACAGCCGTTAACAGTTTTTTCCATTTTGGTTTTGGAGACAAATAATGATGAAAAGAGTGATCTTTTTGTTTTCTTGTTTTTGGTTTTATTTTTGAAAAACAAATGAACGAATGATGCACGGATTCACACGCTGTGCAGTTTTAACATGTGACTCATAGCTGTAGAACACCACAATGTGCAGCAAATTTCATTGGAATTCTTACAAACTGTGGTATAGATAAAATGAGACCATACCATTATAAGATACTTTTTGAACAAATATAAAGAATAGTGCAACATGTTTCTTCACAACTACCACAATTAAAACCCCCTATAGTTTGCGTTCATATTGTATGGGGTTTTGTCTCTTTTGTGTCTTTTGTCTGAACTCTATGATTCACCGGTTTCGAAAGAAATAACCAAACTTACGATCCACAAATGTTGAACCATCTCATTATTTATTTGGGATTGGCTCCACAAACTTGCCATGTTAATCTTATGGCTTAAAATCCTTTCAGTTGACCACAATCATGTCTTTGTGGTCGAGCAGTCGCACCACTTTATGACGCTATTGTGGGAAAACAAAAAAAATCACTTCTGTTTATTTTTACTGACACAGAAGACGTTGAACTCTGTGCTAGTTTTTGTTTCATGTGGATAGGCCCATAGGGATTCCAGTATATGATGTCACATGAACGCAGCACATTTAAAAAAAAAGTTATTGAGCCTCAAGGCAAATTAGTCACAGCAGCTCGGTTTCACAATAAAACCAAAACAACGGTAAGAAATCAACTTGTCAAAGCCAAAATATGTTCTGATAAACATGGAGCCTATAGACTTTCTTTTCTCTTAAAAGTGCATTGTGTAACTGCTTGTTTCTATGGATATGTCATTGTTCTGCCTGGAATGTTCCACAGTATGACTTTAAACAGCTCTACTTTACGTATATTCAATTGCAAGTGGTTTTATAACTCAAAAATACAGTATCTTCTAGGGATGGGCATGATTAGTTGTCTAATCGATAATTGATCATTAAGAATTTCATCGATCACGTTCATTTTTAATCGACAAACTGAATGTATGTTGTTGTGTGTAGTGTGAGGAGACGAAGCTGTGTCTGACACAAACACTGGAGTTGTGTCTCACAGTCCCACATTTGGGCTCTGGCTCCTTGGAGACTCTGTTCCACTCAGTGAGTGTGTTTACAGCACATCAGTGTCCCGGGGATGATCGGGGTTTTGTTGAGTCACATGTGTCCAAAAGACACACACTTTTCAGTCTTTTCATCACAACAGAAGCCAAAATAAATAAAGTGAAATGATGTTAAATAAAGAGCTGCACTAAACCTGCACACGTCTGATCTCTGAAAACATGAACCATCTCCAACACGACACACACACAGAACACACTCGCCATCATCAACATCATCAACATCATCATCCCTCTGTCACAGAAAGAACACTCATATTCCACTGAGTCGTGTCATTTAGTCTGACAGAAGCTGAACCACATCAAAACGTAAGAAAAGAGCTGTTTTTTTCAGCGCTTATAGTTTATGCGAATGAGTCATGTGGTTTTAAGTTTAGTCTCTGTAAAACGTAAACAAATGTGACAAAGCCGCATTAAACACATTATAATGTCAAACGGGCTGATGTGGCTCTAGAGTGTTTATGGTTTATATGTTGGAAAGTTTATTTATGCAGATTAGTAATAATAATGATGATAATTTTAATGTAAAAGCGTTAGATTAATCGAAAATCAATCGTTAATTCTCCCAACGATCGATTATAAAATTTAATCGCCCATCTCTAGCACCTTCACAAACAGGCATTCTGACTGTGAGCGGGGTCGCCTCTCCATGGATCTGACCTGTAACCTGGTCAGGTTTAAGAAAGGTTTAATGCCATACTGTGAAACATTCCAGACAAATCAATAACATCTGCATGGAGAAAAGCGATTGACGGACTCTCCAGTTGCTCAATTTTACACAAACAATGAGAAATACATTGTAAAGAGTCAAATAATGTCCTAATGTTTACAATCCGTTTATAGTGTGATCCTCTGTTAGAAACCGATAGATTTTGCTTTCCTCTCGTCTTCAAAGTGTGTCCTCCTAGCCCCAGCTGTTTGGTCTTTGGCCCAGAGTCGTAGATTCACATGTTTGGGTGAGACGTCTGGTATGAAAGCTCCAGGCCTGGGATCAAATGTCAGCACAATCCTAAAGCCAAATCTGCTTTAAATGGATCACGTCTTGTTTTTGTTTATTAGTCATCAAATTCAAGAAGGGAAAAGATTACAGATGTTTGAAAATGTGTTGTGACCAGGACTAACTTCTATGCCTTTTACGGCCAACATGACTGAGGCGTTGTTTTAAAGGTGCACGACGTAACTTTTTGGTCAGGGGTCAGTCACCTGCTTTTTTTGTGTGGAAATTTCATTGCTCATCTGGTTTGGTCTCCACAAAGATAAAAAGGTTTAGCACCACACTGTGAAACATTCCAGACAAAGCAATAACATCTCCGTGTATGGAACCAGTATGGAACTTTTTAACCAAAGGCATTTATATATTATTATTCATTTTCATTTTGGTTGCATTTATTACTTTGGAAAAACAAATTAAAAACACGTGTGCTTCCTGTGGGGCTTGCATCTCACCAAACCTGACACTTATTTGACCTGGAGTAGAGCCTCATCCTGCTGGTTTCCATGGAAATGTTGTTCCTTTGTAATCTGTGTATCATTCGTTTTTCAAAATAAAACCAAAATTAAAACGAAAAAACAAAAAAATTGTCATTGTTTTAAATGAAAAAACGGATAACGACTTGTTTTGTTTGTTTGTTTTTTTGTTTTTTTCAGTTTTCGATTTTGTGTTTAAATGAATAATGGGGAAAAAAAACAGATAACGCCCATTTCTGTGACTTAAACTGTGATGCCGGACTTTTGCGCCGCATACGGACTGAACTAGGTCTGAACATGGGACTGAACTGGTCTCAGTGCTGGTCCCGGTCTCAGTCCCAGTCTCAGTCCCGGTCTGGTCCGACAGTCCTGACAGTCTACGCGGACACACCTCCGGGTCTGTCCTGGTTTCAAGTCCTGGTTTCAAGTCCTGGTTTCAAGTCCTGGTTTCAAGTCCTGGTTTCAAGTCCTGGTTTCAAGTCCTGGTTTCAAGTCCTGGTTTCAAGTCCTGTTTTCAAGTCCTGTTTTCAAGTCCTGGGTTCAAGTCCTGGGTTCAAGTCCTGGGTTCAAGTCCTGGGTTCAAGTCCTGGGTTCAAGTCCTGGGTTCAAGTCCTGGGTTCAAGTCCTGGGTTCAAGTCCTGGGTTCCAGTCCTGGGTTCAAGTCCTGCATCGCTGTTTAAGTCACAGAAACAGGAAACGTCCGTTATCCGTTTTTTCCATTATTCATTGAAACACAAAAACTGAAAAAACTAAGCATTATCCATTTTTTTCATTTTGGTTTTGAAGATGAATAATGAAGAAAATGTTTTTTTGTTTTTTTTTCTTATTTTTGGTTTTATTTTGAAAAAACTATGAAAGAATGATACATGGATTCTTTGTCTATAATCTCCAATGAGAACATTTCAAACTTTGGTTTTAACTTTGTTGCATGAAATCATCCAGGTGACACGCCACCTCCAGAAAGATGCAGACTGTATCTTTTCAAACGGTTTCAAAAATGTAAAATTCCAAGATGAATAATGGATTTCTTACCAAATAATTGGGCTATTCACATAAATAATACTAACAGGGTAAATTGTCACTGTTTATAATAATAGAACCAAATAGTATCTTTAGTTTTATTGAAAATCTGTCAGTTTAGAGAAACAACATGTTTCAAATATTTAACCTTGTCTCGTTTTGTCTTTACAGAATGGAACGCTATATGCAACAGAGAGAAAAGAGGTGAGTTACAAAAATGTTCTTCAAATTTCAAATATTTTTGTAAATTGGTTTCATTATTCCATTTTCAATCATATTTAGGAATTACAATTTTAGTATCACATGTATGTATGCACTAGGGATGGGCATTCGATGAAATTTTCTTAATTGATCGTCGGAAGAATTAACGATCGATTAATCATTAACGTTTTATATTAAAATGATCATCATTATTATTACTATCTGCACTACTAATCTGCATAAATAAATTCAACTTTACGACATATAAACCGTAACGACTCTAGAGCCACATCAGCCCGTTTGACATTATAATGTGTTTAATTAAGTTTTGCGTAACTCTCACAGAAACAAAACTTAAAACCACATCGCTAATTTGCATAAACTAAGCAAAGATAAAACTACAGCTCTTGTGTCACTGATGCGGTGAACGTCTGTCGGATTAAAAGACACGACTCAGGTGAATACAGGTTAGTGTGACCATATTTGCGTTTGTCAAAACCAGGACACCGTACGGGGGGAGGGAGGTGGGGACTCGTCATCCACATTGCGCGACTCTCACCTGGTAAAGCTTTTTCCCACTGGACACCGAAACATATGTGCTGCTTTGTAAACTGTGCACATGGACTCACACTTGTCCCGAACGCAACGGAAAGCGTGGAATTTCTTGTACAAATCGTTAAATACGCATTTGTGCTTCGGTACGTTGCAGACTGACCGACTGTTTGTGTCTCGCTCCTTCTGATGCAGAGACACATGTACGGACCTGTTTGGTCACACTACACACAGCAACCTACATTCGGTTTGTCGATTAAAATTAACGTAATCGATGAAATTCTTAATCATCAATTATCGATTAATCAATTAATCATGCCCATCCCTAGTATGCACTGTACGTACTAGGATGTAACAATATCCACATTTTTCTGTACGATATTTTCACGATAGTCATTTCAAAGTACGATATTTATTGCAATATTTTGTGAAGACTGTGAATATGTGATTTTCCTCTCAAAATGCAAGACTTACTCCAAAGAACTGAGATTTAAAAGTGCTTAGAACAGTTATTTCTTCGTGTAGTCTGGACTGAAACTAATGATTTAAGAGAAGAGACTTGTATTTCGATATATTGTGAGACTTTTGACAATATTTCAATCATGATATTTTGGTTATTGTTACATTCCGAGTGTGTACTGGGTAATGATTTTGATAAACGGCTGGATTTGGGCCAGGACAGGTTTGACAGCATTAATTGCCAAGACTAATTTGGAGTTTATGTTCTTGTTTATGCAGTAGAGGAAAAATATTTGTGGTTAATTTGGATTCTACATATTTTGAAGATGAGTAATGAACCAAGGACGAAAGCAGGGCTGGGCATAATACGAACGGTTAAGAAATACTGATTTAATTTTGAGCTAATGTCAAATTTGCTTTTATAATTGTCATGGCATGTAACTCTAACCCTAAGAGAAACTGAAATCTGTAATGGTCCTATATTATACTGTTTTCTGTTCTGATATAATGTCATTTCCTGATCAAAAACAGACCTGGAGTTGAGTTTTGTTTCATTCACACATGTTTAACACACACCCTGCGCATTTAGGCTCAGATCTTCCCTCAAATGAAAAACACTTTGTTCCACCGTGTTTAATTGTTTACTTAAGGATCCCTATTAGTCTCTGCAATAACGACCGGAAGTGGCGCAGTGTAGGTAAATGTCACTTATGTTAATGCTTTTCTATAGCAGAATATCTGTGTAAATGTCTCATGTATTCTCCACCAGCTTCATAAGAAGAAAGACGAAAACGAAAAGGAGAACAATGACGACGCATTAGTGAACTACTGAACAAAACTAACGTTATAGTCATGAATAAAACAGAAGTAACTTGTTCATTCAGATTGATTCTGCATTTCAAATTAACTCGATTTCATGATGTAGATATTAACATAGACAGAGAGATTTGTGCAGTTTAAATGTGACACATGTAATCTGTGAACATCTCTAACGATCGAACTCCACAAATCTCTGTCTATGCAAATATCTACATCAGGAGTCTCCAACCTGTAGCTTGGGAGCTGCCAGTAGCTCTCCACTCTCTTCCAAGTAGCTCACCAAGGGATTTTTGAATTATATGTACTGTGCATAAAAAGTGAAATTTGATTAATTACCATTGTAAATGTATCATTTTGATGCCTGACTTGGTGCAACGATAAATGGATAATGGTTTATGTTTTATAAACATCTTACTGTTCCCCATCTAAGGCTCACCATGGCTCTTATATTTACTCAGTTTCTTTGCGACTGCTGAAATTGGTGCAGTAGCTGTCTGGCATTTTTGTTTTGTAAAGGCAGCTCACTGCAGAAAAAAGGTTGGAGACCCCTGATCTACACCATGAAATCGATTTTTAATTTTAATTCTAGATTCATTCTGAGTGAACAAGTTACTTATGTTTTATTCATGACCATAACATTAGTTTTGTTTAGTAGTTCATTAATGTGTTGTCGTTGTTCGCCGTTACGTTTTTGTCTTACCTTGATAATTGTGGATAAATTCTTCATGGACAGAATATGTCCTTTATGTTATATTGTTGGTTGAAGATTTGGTGATGGGGCAGATTTATGAAACTGGTGGAAAATATGAGAGAAATTTTGCCATAGAAAAGCATTAACCTGAAGTCCCGCAAACCTAAGGTCTATTGCACAGACTACCCTTTGTATGAAAGTAAATCACATAATAGTCAATAAATAACAGCAACTTATGAGGGGAATAGGCAGAAAACCCATACATCAGTTAATCAAAGTTTGGTTAGTTTGGATTTCTTGATGTTTTTCAAAGCATTAGTTCAGTGTGATGTCCTGTGGTAGTACAGGAGGTGCTCCACTGTGTTCTTAAACTCCAAACACCTTCGCTAGAAACATTTGGATCATTTCAGCCCTGGAATTGCCAATATTTACTGAACTAAAGTTAAAAAAGTAGCTGTTAAACTACCACAGCATGACATCACAAGGTGGAACAGACCATTTTGAGCTTTGGAAATGTAGACAGACTAATAATGAAGAGCTACTCAAACGTGTGTGAATTTAACAAAACAGAAAACGGTGTAATCTAGGAATTCTACAATGTTATGTGAATGCAACTCATTAATCTTTTTTTTTTTTTTGCTTTCTTTTTCAGATCCTAAAAAAGTAGTTTGGTACAACCCCGTTCAAGATAACCCGGCTTAACAGAGACACAAACCCGAAGTCTATCCCACCTGATGCACATAAAAATAAAAAATAAAAACTACAAAAAAAAAAAAAGAAGAAACTTATCAATGGACAGATTTTCAAATTCCCTTTCACTGTCAGGACACTTTTGGACTATGGACTTTTTTAACGCCTTACAAAATGCCTGCCTTAATCAAACCATTTCTTCACTCTGTTGAATTTTTAAAGCCTATATGAGTTCGTAAAGATGTTTTTTAAAATTCAGAGTAGCTGTAAGTTAATTTTTTCACCTAGCGTCGCAAAGCTGTAGTTTTAACAGATCTCTTCTTCTCTTTGTAATGCGAGCGGTCAATCAAGCACTTTTGTTATGACAGAGAATAATACTGAGACCGATTTTTATTTTAATTTTTTTTTTTTTTTGTCCCCATTTTTGGATTTGGAATAATGTCTAAAAGTTATATTAAAGTCTATTCAAAGGTTTACATGAGGGTGTAGCACAGAAAGCACAATACAATTCACCCTTTATCAGAGTTAACGCTTTTTCTCCCTTTATCCGGAGTGAGTGACGCTACATTTCCTCCTACAGGGACTTTACCGTTTTCAGTATATGTTGATTGTTTTTTTTTTTGTTTTGGAAATGAATTTATTGAAATAATAAAATTTACACTGGAGAAGGAATGTAAGAGAACAGTATTGCTTAATAAAAGAAATAAACTTGATGTGTTTTTTTCTTTATTTATTTAAAAATGTGTACAAACAGAAATTCATATTTTGTTTTGTTGCTAAATTCTGTTGATGCTTATGTACATTTTACAGTTTTATGCCTGCAGTTGTGTTTTGTTTCATTCACAAAGCTCTAATTGCTCTGTTCCACCTTGTGATGTCATGTAGTGGCAGTTTAACAGCTACTTTTTTACGCTTGTGGGTAAAAACGAAAAAATATTTTATCAGAAGTGCCTTTTGTTTAGACCAGGAGTGTCAAACCCAAATTCACATAAGGCCAAAATTAAAAACTGGGACTAAGTCGTGGGCCAAACTAAATATTTATTGAAAAATTTCTGTGTTGGCAACGATTCCCGAGATCGAAGATTTAAAGCCGGAACAAAGAATGTTTTGGTGAATTTTATCAAGGAGAAAGACGTTATTGTCCTCCTCCCTACGGGATTTGGGAAAAGCTTAATATACCAGTTAGCCTCGTTAGTGGAGCATGACATGCGTCACGACCAAATAGCAGCGATTGGTTAAATTTTAAAATAGTACCCACCTACCATCGAGCGAACGAACTGTAATGCTGCGAGGTCAGAAACCGGCTGACAAATCAGACCAGGGACGGGGGACAAAACTGGGACTGTCGAGGGTAAATAGGGACACGTCTGGTCATCCTATACTTTGCAGCTGATGTCCTAAACATTCTGCACTGTTTGAAGCTCAGTTAATCAAATTATGTGCTCAACGTTAATCTGAGCTTTCTCTTAACTACAACAGGTGAAACTGCAATAACAAGGTAGCCAGTTTTTCAGTCTCACCTTCTTGTTGGAAATACCTAAACAGGACCAAGAACTCGTATCGATCACAGACTCCTAAAATGTTTCGTTTAAATCCATTTTGTATTTTTTTCCTGACAATTTTAAGTCTTTTTTGACAGTTTTTGCTCCTGTGTGTGTTGTGTATCCATGGTAACTACAGAAACATTTCCATCCAACATCACCAGATATATGTAGAACACCCCCAGCGTGATGTCAGTGCAAAGTATCAATTGACATCTCTGTGGAAATACTGCAGTCTAAACTCACACCGTCCGATATATTACAGTCTCCAATGTGACCTCTTTCCAAATCACAAACGCGGTAGTCCCGCCAAGCACCATGTGATTTTTGTGATTTAAGAGTCAATGAGGCATAAATGAAACTAGCTCTGGGCCAAAAGGAGTCCAAAGATCAGTCTCTCCACGTCACCTCCACTTCATCTGTCCTGAACCTGAAAATGAAAGGAACAGTAAGTAATAATCATTTAAAATTTTATAAACTAACTCCCCAGATATGAGGTAATATCATATTCATAATTACAAAAACACTGGGCATAATGGTCTGTTTTTGGGGGAGTAACAACAACATAACATGGATTAAAGCTCACAAGAGTCAATTTTGTGTAATAAAAGGACGTTTAAATGCTGAACTCCAGCTGGTTTAAACCTAAAAGGACAGAAATTATTGGAAAATTTGTCAATATATAACAATCCATGTATCATTTGTTTTTCAATAAACATGTATTTTCTTCATTATTTGTCTCCAAAACCAAAATGAAAAAACTATATTTGTTTTTTCAGTTTTTCAATTTTGTGTTTAAATGAATAATGGAAAAAAATTGACTGAACCAGGACTAAACCAGGACTAAATCAGGATTAAACCAGGTCTAAACCAGTTTCAGTCCTGGTCCCTGTCTGGTCCCAGTCAGAGTCTTGATCTGGTCCTGGTCTGGTCCCGGTCAGAGTCTTGGTCTGGTCCCAGTCTGGTCCCAGTCTTAATCCTGGTCTCAGTCGAGGTCTGGTCCCGGTGTGGTCCCGGTCGCGGACACAGTCTCGGTCCCAGTTTCAGTCTCAGTCTCGGTCTGATCCCGATCTCAGTCCTGATTACCCGACAGTCTACGCCGGCACACCTCCAGGCCCGTCCTAACACTCAGTCCTGGTGCAATCCTGACCTGGTTTAGTCCTGGTTCAGTCCATTATTTGTTTTTCCATAACTCATTTAAACACAAAATTAAAAACTGAAAAAATCATTAATTATTAAATAAAATAATTAATTAAATTTCATCAAATCATTATCTGTTTTTTGTTTTTTTTCCATTTTGGTTTTGGAGACAAATAATGAAGAAAATTGTTGTTTTTTTTTTTTCATTTTCTTATTTTTGGTTTTATTTTGAAAAACAGATGAATGAATGATACACGGATTTACAACCTATACCGATTTTTATACCAATTACATAACTATTCTTAGCAATAGTACAATTTAACACTTTACTAATATCAGCTCCAGATTAAAATAAAAAGTATTTCCTTTACCTCTTGTGTGATCCATGAGTCCTCCAGCTCTGTGACCTGCCCGGATCTGAACATCTCCCATCCGGCTTGAGCAATCATGGCCCCATTGTCGATGCAGAACCTGAGGAGTTTAACACAAAAGGTTTATCAGCTACGGAGAAAGAACACCGTGAACCAAACGCTGCGCTCACAAAGGCTGCTGCGCCTGCCTCAAGGAACGATGTGGTAACGCTTTCATTTTAGCAAAGATACGTTTAATTCTTTGGAAATAAGGTGGGTACTATTTCATGATAAGATTCAACCTGTAACTTTTTTCCTATAGATTTGATTTTCCACATAAATTTCAGAAAGCGGAGTGGTCCATGGAGATAGATTTCGGAATGTTAAGCTATACTACATTTAAACTTTTTAATAATTACCGTATTTTTCGGCCTATAAGGTGCACTTAAAATCCTTTAATTTTCTCAAACATCCACAGTGCGCCTTATGTACTAATTCTGGTTGTGCTTATTGACCTCGAAATGATTTTATGTGATACATGGCTCTCAAAAATCTGTCAAAATGTTTTAGTACAACTTTGGTAAACTACGAAGGCGCACCACTGGATGGATGGACTGTTGGAGCATTGCAGCTACTGTAGTCAGGAGCCTCGCGGAGGAAAAGGCGAAGTAGTCGTAGTAGTTCTGCATCGACTCAACGAACACTGCCGCCGTTGCTTTGTCACCTTCGTCACAGAAAGAACACTCATATTCCACTGAGTTGTGTCCTTTAGTCCAACAGAAGCTGAACCACATCAGTGCACAAGGAAAGAGCTGTTTTTTTCAGCACTTATAGTTTATGCAAATTAGCCATGTGGTTTTAACTTTTGTTTCCTTAAAACGTAAACAAAAGTGCGCAAAGTTGCATCAAACACTTTATTACTCAATGTATATTTGAGTCGTCCTCGTAGGAAATAAAAAAACAAACTTAAATTCTCCATCCACATTCACCAAGACAGGGAGGCGACGCCGGGCAAATTACACCACGATCTGCCGATGGATTGTGGATGCCTGGGCTAAGGATCAGTCTCAAGTGTCGTCCGTTTGTTTCACTCATATTCCGGTGCGTTTTACGTATGAAAATAGACGAGAATTCAACATTATTGATATTGCGCCTTATAATCTGGAGGACCTTATAGTCCGAAAAATACAGCAATAGATTTCAGACTTGTATTTTTATGCCATACTCAACAATACAGGTCTGACTATATAGTAAATTATCACAAATTTTATCATTCAGAAGTGGTGACTAGTGGTGTGTAGTGATTTTCTACACCTCCTTTCAGGAAGAAAAATATCAGTTTTCAACACCATTTTTTTCTGTATCAGTAGTACAATTTTTCCCAGCACTGTACTGGTGCAGCCCTCGCCAAGGGATATAGGAACTTTGTACACTAATAAATGGATGATGGTTTATGTTTTACAGGCATATCTAAAGCTTACCGTGGTAAATGAGTATCTCTTTGTCATTTTCATTTAGTAAAGGTGGCTCACCAAAAAAGATTGGAGACCCAGTGCTTTAAAGTTACCCAGCTCTACATCGATTTATACGATATATGATTTTTAACAGATGTACCGTTCGTCAGTAGCGAAGAGTTTGGCTCCTCTCTCTTCACACATGACTCCCATCATCTCCTGCAGACGGAGGTTACCTGCACAGGACACACACTCAACTTTACACTGCAGAACCTGCGCAAAGGCTAATCTTGATTAATAAATAAATCAAAGACAATAAAACAAGGACTCAATTCGATTTGCTGAGTGTATATTTGTTGAAAACATTAGTCAAACTCACAGCCGACTCCTCCGACGATCAGCACCTCCTGTGAGCCGCAGTGAGCCATGGCCCTCTCCGTGATCTCCACCAGCATCGAGAACAGTGTCTCCTACAGGACAGACGCAGTACTGCTCAATTTGGACTCAAAACATCAAGACATCAACACCACACACTGAAGTGAAAACCTTGATAATCATGATCAAGCTTCAAACAGCTTCAATCCTTAGTAAGACTGTCAGAAAAAATTATAAAAAATATATACTAATTTGAACATGTATCTATAAACTGAAGAAATTACATAAATAGTAATAATAATAACAGACAAAGGTCAACTAAATAATTTTACAATGATCTTTAAAATTGAAATCTAAATGGCTTATTTTAGAAGCTTTATACAGTGCTCTTACCTGCAGAGAGAAGCACAGGTCTTCTGCTGTGCATTCCCCAGAACCTAACATCTTATTGGCCGCTTCCTACAAAAGAACATACAGTTTAAATCTGTGTATCATTTGTTTATTTGTTTTTCAAAATAAAACCAAAAATAAGAAAACAGCTATTTTCTTCATTATTTGTCTCCAAAACCAAAATGAAAAAACAGATAACGATTCGTTTTTTTCTGTTTTTGATTTTGTGTTTAAATTAATAACGGAAAAAATGGAAAACGTCCGTTTCCTGTTGCTGTGTTTCTGGTCCTGGTCTGGTCCTGATCTCAGTCCCGGTCTCAATCCTGGTCTCAGTTCTGGTTTGGTCCTAGTCTTAGTCCCGGTCTCAATCCCTGTCTGGTCCTGGTCTGGTCCTGGTCTCAGTCCCAGTCTCATTCCCGGTTTCAGCTCTGGTCCTGGTCCCGGTCTCAGTCCTGGTTTCAGTTCCAGTCGGGTCCTGGTCTGGTCCTGGTCTAAGTCCCCATCTCATTCCCGGTCTCATTCCTGGTCTCAATCCTGGTCTGGTCCCGATCTGGTCCTGGTCTCAGTCCCAGTCTCATTCCCGGTCTCAGCCCTGATCTCAGTTCCAATCTGGTCCTGGTCTGGTCCTGGTCTAATTCCTGATCACCCGACAGTCTATGCGGGCGCACCTCCAGGCCCGTCCCGACACCCAGTCCTGGTTTAGTTCTGGTTTAGTTTTAGTCCTGGTTTAGTCCTGGTTAAGTCTTGGTTCAGTCCGTGTGCAGCGCAAAAGTCCAGCATCGCAGTTTAAGTCACGGAAACGGGAAACGGCCATTATACATTTTTTCCATTATTCATTTAAACATAAAATCGAAAACTGAAAAAACAGATTATCTTTTTTTTTTTTTTTCTTATTTTTGGTTTTATTTTGAAAAACGAATGAATGAATGATACACGGATTAGTTTATCACAGTGATTTTATGACAGAAGTCTAATCTTACTCTCAAGAGACTCACTCACTTCTATATAAGACAAAATGCCTGAAAAAGACACGTCCATTCCCTTCACTGTGTACGGCAGCTCCACATACTGAGTCCCTCTGGAGGCAAAGACAGATGAACGTGGTCATTTTACTCATGGAAATAATATGTAATATATTTAAACAGTTTTAATACTTACTTTTTGGCCATTTGCTCGATGTTGTAGCCTGGACTGGGGTCATTGGAAATCTAAAATATGAGGTAGTTTCATGAACATATTGTCTTATGTTGGATAATTAAGGATATTTTACCTTATAATTATTATGTAAAGATGACACTTTTATAATACATTTAATAATTATTTTAATTAAGTCAGCACTAACATGGCAGTTATGTGCTCAACCAGAGGTAAACACAAAAAAAGTAGGACAGAGGAGAATCATATTTTCTCAAGAGACCGCTTGTAACATACAAACCTTTATAACTCGGGCAAATCGGTCCAGACAGTTCCCGACGGCGATGTCAATGGTCTCTCCAAATATTCTGTAGCGTCGCTCGGAGTAAGCGATGACCTACAGATAGTACAGAGGAAAAGATTAAGTTTAAAATGATTTTTTTTTACACACATTGCGCACTGACAAGAATAAAATACATAATTTTAAATACTACGCTGCCCTCAAGGCATAACTGTCATTTAGTTTTGTGTCTGATTCTACTCTGCTGCTGCATCTGTAGATGTCACTGGCTTTGTCCTGGGCCAAAGAAAAATATTTTTACAGCCCAAAAAAATTGTCCCAGTCTTCTTCTTCAGTTTATTTTTGCTTTTTCCTAAAAAACATTATTAATTCATAACGATCACATGGTGGTGAGCTGAAACTGTCACAGCTGCCCTGTCATGACTAACAGAGACACAGCTGCCAAATGGTGCCTCAACCAAGCATGACAAGGAGGGTTAAGTGTCTTGCTAAACGACACACAAAAAAGTCAAGTAAAAAGATAAAGTGTAAAGTATGAACTAACATGATAAGGATTTGGATTTGGATCTGTTGCTCTACATCCCAAGTCCTTGTCACACATTTTTAAACATCTATAATCTATAAACTCCGTACTGTCTGCCCTCACCTGTTGTTCCGCCCTCACCTGTCGCTCCACCCTCACCTGTTGTTCCGCCCTCACCTGTGTGTTTCCTCCGCTGACGTAGAGCACCGTGGGGTTGTGAGCTTTGGTGATGAGGCGTCCCATCTCGATGTGTCCGATGCAGTGGTTCACTCCCAGCAGAGGTTTGTTCCAGAGCTGAGCCACGGTCCGAGCCACGAGAGCCACAGTGACCAGAGGAGCGCCCATCCCAGGACCTGACGCACAGGGACAGAATTAGACAGGAAAGGTATTGAATATAAAGTAGGTAGACTGAGTAGACTTTATTCATATCTGCAGAAATACAGTCCTGTAAGATGCAGAAATTAGAAACTGCCAAAATTATTAAGTATCCTTGGAACTAATAATACGCTAATAAAAGTTTGCAAACTTTAGACTAACTTGATTCAACTCATTTTTTTTCAACTCATAATTTTTATATGACACTGTGAATTGCTTCTCGTATAATCACATCTTTATTTTGAGCCACGTCACAGCTGAACAAACAGAAAGTGGTACAGAGAATAATGCAATCTGTATTATTTGAATCTAAGATTGACTCGTACAAATGAAGCTCAATCCTTGAAATGGAATGGGAAGAAGTAACACAAATTTTTAACCCAATCCAGTGCCAGAAAAGACATTTAAATAAAATAAAGAAAAGCTGCTTCCTTACACGTTGCGGTTTGTCATGTCAAAAATGTATTATGTGTTTGAGAAAGTCTGCCAGTTCAAACCTTGTTATGGTATGGTATGTTAGGTATAATACTCCCTACAACAGAGGCATAACCAAACTGGTCTGCTCTAGACTGGAATGTACAACACTGTGTCCAGGCATGAAAACGGAAAAAGATGAGAAGGGTGAGCGAGGGGCGACGGAGCCTCTGGTGTGTGTGGGTTTTTTTTTTGCAAATTCAGTGCACATGGGGGAAATAATATCAAATAATATAAGACCAGGCCCTGGCTAAACGGCCATGAAAACCATATGGTTGGACTCACAATGATTTTTCTGCATAAAAACAAAGCTTTAGAAGACACTTTTATTACGTGTTATTTTGGCACTGCACATGCGCAGTACTTCACTAACGGCACAAGAAGAACATCGGAGAACAAAGCTGCAACATGACTGGAACACCGTTCATACAGTTCAGCACATGATTGGCTCTTGGCAGCGGAACAGGCGGGACATTTGCTGACACTCGCCATATTCGTGTTACGAAGTATAGTACACAAAATAACACAAAGTAATGTGAGTTTATTTAATATTTCAGTGTTGTCTTATACTTGTTCTGATATAGATTCTATTATATATAGATTAGATTCCATTATTTTGTTGTTTTTAACAGTTTCAAGTGCTTGTTATCTGGTTGCACTTGGCTGTTGATTGAACAGATTTCACGGCAGACAAAGACAGTTGAGTCAGAGGAGCCGGAGTCAGCGTGAAGCATCCTCTGTTACTGTGACAACCTCAGCATCAGCTCTAGGGGGGACCAGTCTTACACAGGGCAGAGACAGCGCCCCCTACTGACTACACCACCCACACACAGGAAGAGGTGAGGCTATGTGGGGGCTTGGAATTGTAACATTTGAAACACAATCTTCCATGTCCTAGGATATTTGGCACAAAAAGACAGTGATGGTTCATTTTGACAAATAACTGTAACAGAAGATTTACTGATGTAAATAAATTTCTCCTGTGTTAGAACTCCAGCCTCATGTCTCTTCTTCCACCTCTTGGGCTACAACACTTCATTTTACAACATTAGCTTACACAGTGTTTATAAACGAACGTGTTACCTTTAGTATAGGCCACACAGTCGATGTCTTGAGGCTTGAGTCCAGCTTCATCCAGAGCCTCTTTTAAAACAGTGAGGATGACGGCGCGGTGGTGTCTGGCCGTGTCACTGGGCATAAAACCTGAAGAAAAGAAACCAAATAATTAGAGGTAATATTTTTTTTTTGCATAATTCTGATAACAATATTCAGACAATATTTTAACATTTCATCTTAAATTAGGTTAAAATATAGTATTAAATGTGAACAGAGAATAAAAAATTAACCCCAGAAGTACAGAAAAATCACTTTATACTTGTTTGGAAAATTACACTATACATTTATGTCTATTTCTGAGGTTATTTTCATAGTTTTAATTCAACACTATACTCCCCATACACCATTTATTCTAAACAGGAATATATCCAGAATATTTCCACACCTCTAATAAATAATACTGTTCGACAACCTAAAAAACATAAAAATTTTAAAAATAAAGTGTACATGCCTTGTCCAGGAGGGGTGATGTAGGTCCTTCTTGGGTTCGAAAGCACCTCTCCATCTCGGATAATGCCCACTCCGATCTTATTGGCACTGCCCTCAAACCCAATCACTATCGTCATGGCAAACTGGAAAGAGATACAAGTATATGGCAGATAAATACATTTCTGTTTTAGTCAACTGGAGGAAAAAACAGAAACATTAAGCAATAATGATGTACAGTAAGCTGATTCTTTACTGCCTTGTCTAATTTCAGTTCAGTTTGAATTAATATATATTACAGCAAAGCAAAATCACAAATTAACATAAATTAATAGTTAAAATAAAAAAGAGAATATCAGCCCATTTCAGTACAGAAAAAAATTCCAACAAGGATTATTGTGTTCATGTACATTTTAAAGGTGCATTGGGAAACTTTTCTGGTGGAGGGTGAATCCATGGAGATGTTATTGCTTTATCTGGAATAAAAAAATATCTTCATGGAGACCAAACCGAGGGTGACCAGACATCCCTATTTACCTGGGACAGTCCCAGTTTTAAGCCCTGTGTCCCCTGTCCCAGCAGATTTATCCAAAAACAGTGATTTGTCCCAGTTTTATACAAGAAATGTCTCAGTTGTCCCTATTTTTGACCAATTTGATACTTGCCAACAGTAAAGAAATACCGTATTTTCCGCACTAAAGGGCGCTCTGGATTATAAGTCGCTCTGTCATTAAATGGTCTATTTTCAAACTTTTTTTCACAAATAAACCGCACTGGACTTTAAATGAAACACAACAGTTGGATGGGTCAGTGGGACTTTGCTTGTGGCGTTCACGGTGACTCTGGGCTTTGTTCAGTTGTGGCGTGTAGGGAGGGTGCTGTCTGGGACCGCTGGATTGTCGGCGTGTTCGCAGTGACTCAGTTGTTCAGTTGTGTCTAGAAGTGGCACATTGTGCTCGCTTTTTCGGTTCGTTCCTCCGTTCCGTTCCTCGTCGGCGTGGAGTGATGAGTGTGTCTGTGGTTGTTTTTCGCTGCACGGTCGCTGTCTACTCCGTGCGTGTTTGCGTGTTCTGCGGGTGGTGCAGCGTTGTAGTTTACTGAAGTCGTGCTGGGACACCCGAGTGGATTCGTGTATGGGGCGCTCTGGACTGTGGGGCGCGGTCGTTTTTTGATGGGGTTGGAAGATTATTAGTGCGGAAAATAGGGTACATTTGTTCAGTTAAAATACAGAAAAGCTGCTTAAAAATTACAAAAACACAAAGAAAATGTGACTAGACTGACTCACATGTTAGTCATGAATGGACCGAGTCCATTACAATTTTCATTAACTACACACTTGTTTCACAATTTAATTATTACCAACCATCGCAAACTGGGAGTGTCCCGGTTTTTGATTTTGAAAAACTGCACACACTAATCAAACCAGACCAAGTTACAGGTCAGATCTGTGGAGAGGCGACGCAGCTCACAGTCAGAATCTTGTTTTTCTAGGTATTTTTGAGCTATAAATCCACCTGTAACTTAATACATACAAGACAGAGTGTTTAAAGTCATACTGTGGAACATTCCAGACAGAGCAATGACGTCTCCATAGAAACAAGCAACACCCAACCTAAAAAGTTACGTAGTGTACCTTTTTAGTGCTGTTAAAATGTTTAACTTTTTAAAGCCAATTTTCTATTTTTTTTATTTGCAATACATTTACCACCCTTTATGAATTATTTAATCTTAACTTTAACACATTATGCATTGAAGATCAGACTGTTCTAGTGACTCGTTTGTACGTCCATTGAAACGTGACGAGTTACGCGATTAATGCAATTTCTACAACACAATTGTATATTTTCAGCGCACCAGTTAACACACAGACAAAACATAAATCATTCTTTCAACACGTTAGCTCACATTTCATAAGAAGTGACCGGTTTATCTTGAAAACAAATTAAACTTGAATTTTCTGCTAACTCTCTGCTAACAACATGCTAACGAAGCCCCTTTGGAGGACCCCAAAATAGGCTTCGAGTGATTTCGCCTGACGTAAAATAACACCAAACTATTTTAAAAAGCGATTTTAACACACCCATTATTTAACCTTATCAGTGTGAATTATAACAATCTTTAATCTAGTTCTACATATTAGATTTCAATATAATTTGAGCTAGTTTTATATTAAATTTTGCGATAGGCGCTAATTAAGCAATGCAAACACGTGGGTTGACCATTCTGCGTTTGGTTTTGTGTTTAGGGGGAGTGATCAGAGAGGAAATCACTTGTCCTGTCTGCCCATCCTGTTGCAAAAGTGCACGTAAGATCTCTATTTGCATGTATTTACCTTCAAACGCATGGCTGACCCCGAGCTAATTTAACTAACGCGGTTTTGCATTGATCGATTGTTAGATGCAGCGTTTTTGGAGCTTTAGTTTCACGGTTCATTCATTCTCTGCACACAACAGGCCCATGCTGCTGCTTTGGTCTTTGTCAGAGAAGCAGGGCTAGCGTTAGCATGGCGTTTACTTACACTTTTGTTCTCATAACATCGTGCCCAGCCTGCAAAACAAAAGTTAGATTCGCTTGAGCTGTGTAGTTTGCAGAGGGATGTGCAAGTCAAATAATTGTGATTAAAAAGATGAAACAGACTAATTATGTGGTGGGATATTTGTTTTTCTTTTTTTAAAGTAAGCGGAGGTTCAGTACAGCATGTGCCTTATGTTATGGATAGAAAATGAATACAAATAAAGTTGTTTTCTTATTATAATTCTTATGAGTTTACTGATAAGAACGTAAAAATGTCATTGTTTGTTTATTGCTAATTACAATTCTAGATCACATCCTTGTTCTCTCAACTAATTGTTCAGCCAGTACTGTCATATGAGTGTTTTTGTGGGTTTAAGTCATTTTTAATTATAATTGAAGAAATTTTCAAATCAAATGCCAATTGTATTCATATATCTTTACAATTTATGATTTAAACTGAAAGTCTTGTCTGTGGAATCCCCATAGTTGTTCAGGTGGCATTGAGACATGACCAGAAGTCCCTATTTACCTGGGACAGTCCCAGTTCTGAGCCCTGGGTCCCCTGGCAGATTTATATTTAAAAAACAGTGATTTGTCCCAGTTTTATACAAGAAATGTCCCAGGTGTCCCTATTTTTGACCAATTTACAACCACCCAACAATAAAGAGAGGTACAAATTGCATTTGTTTAGGTAAAATGCAAAAAGTCTGCTTAAAAATGACCAAAACACAATGAAAATGTGACTATACTGGCTCACGTGTTTGTCATGAATGGTCTCTGCATAACAATTGTTCTAAATTATGCACTCATTTTACAGTTTTATTATTACCAACCACTGAAAAACTGGGGATGTACCCAAAATTCTGGTCACTCTAGACATTACTGTACATTAAAACAACATGACTCTAGAATCTGTGCCTGCTGTCTAGTGTAATTTGTATTCAGTAGTATGTTATTTATTTGGATAGAGCAGTTTCAGAATCAAAAAAGTAAACATAAAATGTCCTAAATATGTCTTAAGTTTCTTTCTTCTTCTCTGCAGCGTCTTGTGTGTGTGTTGTGTGTGCGTGGTGTGCGTCTGTTTGGAGTCAGAGCCGGTTCAAACATGAAGAGAAGCAAGAAAGAAGATGGAGCAGCTGAGGGAGAGAACGGTATTACACACACTCAAAAACAATACGTTAAAACACAAAACATTATTGAATTATATTTTAATCAAAATACTATAAACCAGTCTGATTACTGAATAAGTTAATAATGACTAAGTTAATAATTTGGGATACAATATTACTTTGAATGGACAGAGTCAGTCACCGCTGTGAAGTAAAATAAACATGCTTTTTTTTTTTTTTTTTTTTCCAGGTTCAGCAAAGAAAGCGAAGCCGGCGAAGGAGCCCGAAGCCCCGATCCTGTATGACGATCCTCCAGACAAACTGAGCAGCCAAGACGGGAAAGACGCCAACCTGAAGATCACCTCCTGGAACGTGGACGGGCTTCGTGCTTGGGTCAAGAAGAAGGGGCTTGATGTGAGTTACACACTGGGGGTTTAGATGAAAATATATTTTACTATTGTTATATATGGCTGTAACATGTATTATTGTATAGAGCAGGACCATTGAACTTTATTTTCAGGGAGATTGGGCAGATTTGCACACACACTGCTACTTTAATAGGGCTGGCATACATTTTGGGGAATTTTTTTCTTTATTTATAAATCTATATATTTTAAATAGTATCGTCACAGATTTATCAAAAATTGATTTATTCTCCATTGAGATTTTGACCTTTAGCAGTCATTTCAATGTAAAAGGGCCTTTCTACAGCTGCCCTGGGCCAACTTATGGACATGAGGCTGCCAATCTGCAGCACCAACCCTCACACACCACATTCATACTAGGCAATGTGGGTAAAGGGAGTGTCTTGCCTAAGGACACAACAGTAGCTGTGCCACTAGCATCTCACTGTGGCACCTGGTATTCCCTGTGGTCTCCCATCCAAGTACTAACCAGACCCATCCCTGCTTAACTTCTGAGATCTGATGAGATAAGACTTTGACAAGGAGGTCATATTGTAAATAATGTATAATAAATAATCTATTGGCCAAGAGAACCAGATTCCCACTTTTCCCTTTTTCTAATCGCCTAAGTTTTTTGTTCTTTATGTTCATCTTTATTATATTTGCTGTTACTGTTTTCTGTGTTACTGCAGTTCCAAACAGTGGTAATAAAGATGTTCTGAACCTTTCTCTTCCAGTGGGTGCGTGAGGAGTCCCCAGACATCCTGTGCCTTCAGGAGACTAAATGTGCACAGAAGGACCTGCCTAAAGACATCACGGAGATGGAGGAGTATCCACACAAATACTGGGCCACGTCAGAGGAGAACACAGGCTACAGCGGAGTGGCCATGCTCTGCAAGAAAGAGCCGATCAAAGTCACATACGGCATTGGTGAGTGACGTGTATGTGTCTGTGTGTCAGTGTGTACGTGCATGTATATTTCTAGTGTTTCTCATTAATGGAGTAATCAACTGTGGCACTATTCATGGGACCGGAGTAATGGAAAATTATGGCTGTTGCTATAACGATTAACAATTAAAAAACATAGAATTACGAACAACTAATACTAAATTATTAAAAAGTACTTCTGCTTCTCATTAGATGCAACATTTCGAAGACTTTTCCCCCTCATTCAAAAGAAATAATATATGTCCTAATTGTTGATTTTCAAGAGACATTTCAAATCTGTCAAATTATCAGAAAAGTATATTAATGCAACCACTTACATCAAGGTTGAAGGTTGTGGGTGCATCGCTATAGCTATTTCCACTTCACTTCTACCTCGCCATAGCCATGTTTACAGAATGGCAGCCACGTCTCACATCAGTCAGCCCCAGGTCAACTGTGGCTATAGAAGAGACTTATCACTATCAAGTGATGACGTGAAGACATTTGAACTAAAGGCCACCACACACTACAGAATATTTTTAGTCTCAAATGTTTTTTAAACATGAAACAAAAAGCACACAGCACAGACACGAGGAGAGTCTTGTGAGATTTTAAATCTCTGATCACAAACACTGCAGCGGGATTTGTTTGCAGACCACAGGCTAAAGTTGTGAGTGCGATCGTGACAGCTGTTTCTTGTTGACAGTAAAACCACTCGCTCTGAGACTCTTAAGTGTTCAAAAGATCAGAGCACTGCACTTCTAGTTTAAATGCAAATCAAAACTGTTTTATTATTATTTGTAAAACTCATCTTTTAGTATCGATACTTGCTCAAATAAATGTCTAGTTTTGATATTGGTTTTAGTGTCAATTAGTGTCTGATTTTGATACTTTGAATAACCATAGTAGTGTGTAAACTAAACGAAACAAACCATTTATCCAGGCAAAGAAGAGCACGACAAAGAGGGGCGGGTCATCACTGCAGAATTCCCAGAGTACTACCTGGTCACCGCCTACGTCCCAAACGCCGGAAAGGGACTGGTCCGTCTCGATTACCGCAAAACCTGGGACGAGGATTTCAAGGCTTACCTCAGCGACCTGGACAAGCAAAAGCCACTGATTCTGTGCGGCGATCTCAACGTCGCTCACCAAGAAATCGACATAAAAAACCCCAAAGGAAATAAGAAAAATGCAGGTTTCACGCCAGAGGAGAGAGAAGGGTTCAGTCAGTTGTTAGCAGCTGGGTTTGTTGATAGTTTTCGGGAGTTGTACCCAGAACAGCAGTACGCGTACACATTTTGGACCTATATGATGAATGCTAGGGGTAAAAATGTTGGATGGAGGCTGGATTATTTCGTGTTGTCGTCTGCGTTGATGCCGAATCTGTGTGACAGCAAGATACGAACCAAGGCTATGGGAAGTGATCACTGCCCCATTACTTTGCATTTGGCCATTTAGGTTAACAGCTTCAGCCAGTCTTAGGTAGTTTTCTGGGTCTTGTCATTTCAAAAAGTTGAGCTCAAAATGATGCTTACTCTAGTTTAGCTGAATTGGAGGCATAGTTAAATTTGTTAATCTGTTGTGTGTAAACAGAATCACAAAAAAACAACAACTCTGGACTAAATCATGACTAAACTAGGAAAGGTCAAACTCTACTTTTTAAATATGTAACTTTTCTGGCAGAAGGTCCATTGCCATCTTGTCTCCATGGAGATATTACTGGCTGTAAATTTCCACACTAGGGCATTAAACTTTCTTGCACTTATCCAGTTACAGATTCTTATAGCTAAAAACAGGACTAAAGACTAAAGACTCAAACAAGACTAAAGACTCAAACAGGACTAAAGACTCAAACAGGACTAAAGACTCAAACAGGACTCAAACAAGACTCAAACAAGACTCAAACAAGACTCAAACAAGACTCAAACAAGACTCAAACAAGACAGGACCCAAACAGGACCCAAACAAGACTCACTGTCGGGATGGGCCCAGAGGTGCGCCCACGTAGACTGCTAGGTGACCGCAGACGAAGGGCCGGTGACAATCTCCGCGTCCCAGGGAGGTAAACGTAGCTGTCGCCCAATCGCACTTTGCGGACATCTGGCTCAGGGTTCTCCCTCTCTTAAATCCAAGATTAGTCCTGGCTTAGACCTGGCTTAGACCTGGCTTAGACCTGGCTTAGACCTGGCTTAGACCTGGCTTAGACCTGGCTTAGACCTGATGTAGTCCTAATGTAGTCCTAATGTAGTCCCGACTTAGTCCCGACTTAGTCCCGACTTAGTCCCGACTTAGTCCCGACTTAGTCCTGACCCGCCTGTAAAATTCCAGAATGTTAAAACCTGCCCAAGTGCAGGACTCTGAAGTGTGCTCTCCTCTGTAAATTGGCCTGTTGCTGTCATCTGCTGTCTCCGTGGAGATAGTTCAGAAAAGTTACATAGTGCAACTTTTAAAGCAGGACCAAAACATGTAGAGTAACTTTATGGACATCATTTAACCAACAAAAGTCTAGAAACACAAAAGAATGGAATAGTACTAGCCACTGTTTATACTTACTGTAAAACAAAGCACCGTTCTAGGTATTTGCAGTTTTATTTTTTACTGTGTCATAGTTACTTTCTAAATATACAGTTACACAGTATTTTTGACTGTCTTGCTTTCGTTTTTGTTACTTATTTGCACGTTTAGAATTGGATTTTGGTCTCTTTTTGGGCATACATTTCTCAGCTTAAAGGTACATTGCGTAGATTTTCTGGTCAAATGATTTTCTGAAGGGAAATGTTTTTGCTTTGTCTGGAATGTTTCACAATATGGCATTAAACATCTTCATGGAAACCAAACCAGACCAAGTTACAGGTCAGATCTGTGGAGAGGAAACCCCGCTCACAGTCAGAATCTCTGTTTTTCAAGGTAATTTTGAGCTATAAAACCATCTGTTAGTGAATAAATGTAAATTAGAGCTGTTTAATGTCACACTGTGGAACATTCCAGGCAGAGCAATGACGTATCCATAGAAACGGCCAACCAAAAAGTTACACAATCCTTCAACTGCGCATAAGCAGCAAGAGTATGAATACATTTTTGCTTAACTTTTTAAAACGCATTGAACCTAGATCCATGTAAAACTTTTATTAACATTCTGAATATTTTGTCTGTAAATGATGTAACTTTCCCAACACTAAAACGTAAAAAATGTGTAAGCTTTCAATGGTCCATTTGGTCTGTATACTACTGTTCTGTGCATTTTCATATCAGTGTTACCCAAAGGTGCTATCTATCCTGTTTCAAAGTTTATGTTTTCTCTGTAGAAAAAAAAATAAAGACTGGATTTTGATAAGTTTTGTCTCATAATTCTATCAATTACTGTAGATTTATTTAATTAATACATCTCCATCTAAAACAATTAACCTTTTAAACGGCCACTATGACACTATTTTGTGATATTATATATTATTATAATGTTCCCTCAAGTGTTTCTTTCACACATGTTAACACACAAATCCTGCATATTTAAGTCGAGTTCTTCTCTTAAACTGAACTGAACTGAGCTTTGAAGATGTAGACAGGAACAGGCGCACAGGACTTTTATTGGACAAGGCGTTGGCGGATCAGAAAGGGGTTTGGAGGAGCGGGACGTCAATCCTCCAACCACGGCACAACGAACATCGGAGCCAGCTCAGCACAAACGGAGACGTACCCAACCAGTCAGGTGCCAGGGACCAAATAGTACTTCGTATTAAGAATTCAAGTATCACTCAAGCTCTTGTTAGGGAGGTGTTTTATTCCATTTTGATTTTAAAAAAGATGAAGTTCGACATTTGGTGCAAAGCCGAACATATCTCCTTGACTACTGGTAACAGGGTGGTCTACAGGAACTCGTGGAAGGCTGAAAACCAACCCCACAACCCGCCACAAAGGCACACAGATCCACTACGCCCATGCATACTGCCGTCCATGCCACACTTTTGGCTGTGGACCGGAATGTTTTGGTGCTGTTTTCAGACACCACTTCACCTGACCGCAATCCCTCATTTTCTGTATCTTCTGAATCCTTTAAAAGATTTTCAAGAAGTTTACTACACACTGTCCCTCTGGTCTTCCTCAGACCTTCCCTCCCTTCCTGAGATAAAACCAGAAAAGAAAAGCAAGACTGAGACAGCGTGCGGGAGTCATATTGATTGTCCAAAATAAATAACAAACGTGTTTTATCCAATGAAGTTTGATATTGTTAAAAATAAACATATTCCAGTAGTTATCCATGATTCTGTTGAACTGCATTGAGACCTTTGACTAAGACACAAAAGCCGCTGAGCAAAACTTGAATTTCCCTCGGGACCAATAAAGTATCTCACTCTCTCTTTCTTTCTCTAAACTGTCAGTCTGGTGTGTTTTCTAAGTGGCCTATTTGCCCAGTCCCCACATAAACCCAAGAGCGCGGGAAGGGAAAAAAAAAATCTTTCTTCGGGTCAGTGTGACCCATAGGAGAGCGTGAGGGTGTTAGATGCACGTCTTGGGTCTAGGTTAAATGCGGAAATACAGGTTGACATTTTTCTCTTCAAAGCTTAGCTCATCTAAGATAGCGCTAGTTAAGGCAAGGCAAGTTTATTTGTATAGCACAATTCGTACACAAAGTAATTCAAAGTGCTTTACAGAATAAGAAATACATTAAAATCATAATAAAAACAAATCAAAACATAAATAATCATGAAGATTAAAATTAAAAAAGAGAGACATAAATTGGAGAGAAGTTAACACTGTGAGCTTCTCCTGTTGATGACTCCTGTAAAGGTCTTTAATCTGGGTTGAGATTATCACTCCATCTCTTTTTTATTTGTCTGTAAACAGGCCATGACAAGTAAAATATGTGGAAAAACCTGGGATCCCAACTGCAAATTATGATTGATGTTTTTGTAAGAATTCAAGTGAGAAAGAAGCTCAAAAGTAGTTATCCTGAATTATGAAGAAAGATAAGACATCATTTGTTTTGTTAATGTTATTTATATATTTTTATTATGTTCCTTCGCATACTTCGTCCATTCTAAGTTCAAGTCACACACAATTCAGACAACACCTTTCGTTATTATTTTGTCCTATAAAAGTGTTCATTCCATCTTTTTTCAAATATAATGTATTGTTAGCGTATTTTTGAAAAGGTCTGATTTTAAAACGTAGCTTGAACCTGTTTCTTTTTCCCCTCTTCCGCTCAATGTAAACACAAAAATACTATCTTGCTCAGAAAATGTTTAAATGTGACGTATTCAGAGCCTGACTTGGTTTTACGTCATATCGGTGCGTTTGAGGTCTGTTAATATTGTTAATGTTGGGTCAGGATCCGCACCCAAGAGGAGGAACTTATCACTTTTATGAGACAGTCACTATGAATAATTATCTCCTAATATTTCAACATTTGAAATTACGCTGAAATTAAGACTTCTGAATTTATACTTTTTAGTTTATAGTATTGTATCTGACTCATTTATGACCAAGTTGTAGAATATTTTGCTTTACTTTACTTTATATTATTTGACTTTTACTATAGCTACCTTATTACAATCTGCAGTATACACTATTTATTATGAACAGTAGTCTGCCTCTGCTGTTTTGTTTTTATGTTAGTCTTATATTTTGTTATGAAAGTGCTGCGTATTCATTCCCTAAAAAATGACAAAGTATTAATAAAATAAATAAATAACTCCTTTACAATGGTAATCTATTGTATTATGTTTGTATTTTTTTCAGTGTCAGAACAGCTCTTGATCCAAAATGGCTGGTTTTGCAGCTTTCCTAGTTCTCTGTGGCTGCACGGATTATGATTGTCACCACAAGGGTGCGCTGCTCCACTGTCTGATTTATTTTCTCGCCTGACGAGAAGTTATTTGAAAATAAATTTTTGGGTCTGATTGACCCACCCCAAGAGCGGGGGCGCGGGAAAAAAACATTTCTTCGGGTCAGTGTGACCCCGAGGAGAGCGTGAGGGTTAAGTCAACATTCTGCCCCTGATTTTGTGTGGACTCTACAGACTGACTAGACCCATCAGGTGTTTCCTCTTCTACATTCTCTTGCACTGAAACTGAGAGCTGCTGCGCCAGGTTCTGAACAGCACGCTCCTCAAAGCCCTGCTCCAGATGTTGTTGGAATTCCTGTATTTTTTTATTTGTTTTTTTCAATAATGCCATACAATTCTGTTACTGTAAACACTAAAAATATCATTTTTATTTAGTCTTGTTTATTTAAATAAATGCCATCCATCCATCCATTTTCTTCCGCTTATCCAGGGCCGGGGGCAGCAGTCTAAGCAGGGACTCCCAGACTTCCTTCACCCCAGACACGTCCTCCAGCTCCTCCGGGGGAACCCCGAGGTGTTCCCAGGCCAGCCGAGAGACATAGTCCCTCCAGTGTGTCCTGGGTCTTCCCCGGGGCCTCCTCCCGGTGGGACATGCCCGGAACACTTCCATTTAAATAAATGTTTAAATTAATCCCAACAAAAATACAAATTAAATTACCTGCGTCATCATCGGCGAGGCCGATGCAGTATCGTGTAATAATAAGAACAACAGGTGACGTTTATTACAATCATATCCACAAAACTTTTGCAAACTCGACGGCAATTGTGCGCGTGGCAGGTGTAACTGTCCGTGGTGCTGAACACCAAATTACACACATGAACCAACTGTGTGATGTAGCCTTAAACAGAGAAAAATACAACAAAAGAACTTCCTCCTGTGTTCTAAAGAGAAAGGCCGTACTTCTCTTTTTCATTTTGTTAGTCTTCGCTCATCACAATAGGGACATGCTCAGATAAGCTGCATCTAACTCAGTGCTGTAACAGTTGTAGTTTTGCACAAAGAAGGGAACAAAGTGTGTCCACGCAGACAGAACCAAACCGAGCCACTCCACGTCATGTGCTCCACAGAGCTGCAAACACGCTCGTACCTCTGTCCTCAGCCACGGCGCTGTGATCCTGACAGTTTGTAGGTGCACTTTTTACACTTTTAAACAGAAAGGCTCTGTGAGCTGGAGTAAATGATTACATAAAAATCCTGTTTCACCTGGCCCCTCCCTTCACCTTTGTTCAGACTCACCTGTGCTCTCAGGTTTTTTATGCCTGGCCAAAGCTGACGCACTAACGTAGCAGTAATGTAGATAACATCTAGAGGTGATATGTGAAAACAGGGTTATAATTATATATATATATATTTAATAATATAATAATAATAATAATTTTAATTGTTTTGTCACAAACATATTTACCACTTCGAAGTAATTATTGGAACATTTATGTGTCCATTAAATTTAATTTCAGTTTCCCTACAACAATACATTTCTACTTTTCTAATTTTATTTATTTATAAAGGGACAACACATTCATGAATATTTAAAATGTAAATATGTTAAGATTAAAGCCAACGTGGCTCATTTCCATCTTCAGTCCCTCAGCAAGTTGATGTCAAATAGAGGACAGGGAAAAGTACAGCAACAATCACACAAAAGTACACAACCCCAGCACTCGCACTGATCGCTGTACATACAATTAACTTCAGACAGTTCATTTGAAGTTAAAAGTCAAGAGTTAAAGGTGCACTGTGTAACTTTGTCATTGCTCTGCCTGGAATGTTCCACAGTATGACATTAAACAGCTCTACCTTACATTTACACATTTACGGGTGATTTTATCATTTATAAATACCTAGAAAAACAGGCATTCTGACTGTGAGTGGGGTCGCCTCTCCACAGATCTGACCTGTAACTTGGTCTGGTTTGGTCTCCCTGAAGATAGAAAGGTTTAATGCCACACTGTGAAACATGTCCATCAAGAATCTCCATAAAGAAAAGTATTTGACAGACCCTCCGCCAGAAAATCACACAATGCACCTTAAATTTGTATTTTTTCATGTTGAGAGAACAAATTTTATTGCATTTGACATAAGGAAAATGTACAGAGGCCGAGAGGGGTCACAACAAACGCAAACGCCGCAACGCAACAAAAACCCACAACACACCAAAAAAAAGCCACAACGGAAATGACCGCGGGACTCTATTTTAATGCAAACGGCGCAACAAATACAAACATCACAACACAAACGCAAATGCCGCAACACATTAAAAAGCCACAATGGAAGTGACCTCGGGACTCTATTTTCCGACGGACCGATCAAGCGGCAAGTGAAGAAGAAGAACTACAACGTGAAACAAATAATGATAAAACAACAAATTACTTTTACTTACGTTTCCAACTTCTCCGTTCCTTTACTTTTCACGTTGTAGTTCTTCTTCTTCACTTGCCGCTTGATTGGTCCATCATCCTGCGGTCACTTCCATTGTGGCTTTTTAATGTGTTGTGGCTTTTTAATGTGTTGCGGCATTTGCGTTTGTGTTGTGGCGTTTGTATTTGTTGCGGCGTTTGCATTAAAATAGAGTCCTGCAGTCATTTCCGTTGTGTCTTTTTGTTGTGTTGTTGCATTTGTATTTGTTGCGGCGTTTGCGTTCGTTGTGACATCTCTCAGCTTCTGTAAAAATGTCTTATTCTACTGAAAAATTTGCCAGCCTGGGGCCACCTAGTGCTTCCCCGCAATTTCATTTCTCTCTTTAACGACTAGGTCAGACACTAAAAGGCTCACAAAAACCCCGGAAGTGCATGTTCGGGCACCAGCCAATCAGTGAAGAGTCATACATTCTGTGTTGGCAACGATTCCCGAGATCGAGGATTTAAAGCCGGAACAAAGAGAATGTTTGGTGAATTTCATCAAGGGGAAAGACGTTATTGTCCTTCTTCCTACAGGATTTGGGAAAAGCTTAAAGGTTGTATAGAGGATTTTCCAAGGAACGAGAAATCCAGCGACTGTTTGTCCTTTTTCAAATGTTGCGCATGCGTGAAACCACCCCCCCTCCCCTACAGCTCCTACGTAGAAACGCCTTCTCCCGCCTCCTCTTTACGCCAGAAACAGGTTTGTTTACAGCCGGTGAGCTGCACATGACTTGTAAACAACTAACTACAGTGTTGGTTAGGCAAGGCGGAGAAGTGAGGAGCGGGTGTGCGGACATTTCGTTCGCGGACGAGAAGTGAGGAGCAGGGAGAAGAGCGGAGCAGGGAGAGAGGAGAGAGGAGAGGGAGCGGTGCGCGGAGATTCCGTGCCCGTAGAAGTGAGGAGAAGGGGGAAGAGCGGAACGGGCAGCGGGGGACAGGAGTAGGAAAGGGGAGCAGAGAAGGTTGCGCGGAGATTCAGTGCGAATGAACTAGCTACAACACGCAGCAGCAAGCGGACTCTTTCTTTGCCTTGAAAATTACGTTTTCAGACATAGGATATCGCTTTCGTGTCCTGAAAAACGTTTGACTAGCTCTTGGAAAATAAAGTACGTTTTCATAATAAGCAGAAGTTACCTGTCCAGGAGTAATTTGGCGACCAATGCGTCAGTCTTTAGACCCTGCGTCTGCTTCAGTCGCGCCATCGCTGGAATGAATCTACAAGAATCACCTTAGTTTGGCTTCGCTGCTTTTCCCCTTGTCTTCTTCTTTCAGCGACCTCAAAAACGGACTTTCTTTTGCGGCTAACTGCTCCTGGATTCTTGTCTGCCATTGCAACAAACTTTGTGCTAACTGCGAGGAAGATATAGGTCAAAAAAAGCCGCTAAGAACTGTTGCGTTGGTGGAGTAAACAGCGTCTGTGCGTCTTGCGTCTGTGGACTGCGTGACAGGCGTACGTAAACCACGTACCGGCGGCGCGCAGGCAGGTCAGTTACGCTAGAAACGTAGGGAGTTTGATTGATAGCCTGTCAGCTCACAGATAACGAGGCAATGTCGTTATCTATTGGCAAATGTTTAGCTGGCCCCACCACGTCCAGAGTTGATGAATTTTTATTCTCTTTTTTTTGGTCATCATAATTACAAGGCTACTGCACCTCTATAATGCTATCATTGACAACTTGAAACAAAAAAACAAAAAAAAAAAAATCCTCCATACAACCTTTAATATACCACTCAGTCCTGTTAGCAGCGCATTACATACGTCACGACCAAATAGCAGCGATTGTTTAAATTTTAAAAAAAGTACTCGCCTACCGTTGAGTGAACAAATTCTAATGCAGCGAGGTCGGACAGTTTCTACGAAGTGAAATGAAGTGAAACCGGTTAATGAATCAGGCTACTGAAAAGTGACCTAACTGTGAGAAATTCCTTTAAATTGAAGCTATATGTACCTAAAAATATGAACAAAACATTCCAGGCAACATAAAGACACAAACATCTCCATGGACATAAGCATTCGACGGACGCTCCACTAGAAAAGTTCCACGATGCAGCTTTAAATAAGTATTCCTACATACTTATTGCGTGTGTTCTCTGGTGCATTTTGAGATGGTACGACTGTCTGAACCCTTTCCCACACTCTCCGCACAGATACGGCCTCTCTCCGGAGTGCGTCCTCTGGTGCCTCTTCAACCTGTTCGCGCTCAGAAAACTTTTATCGCAGTCGCCGCACGCGTACGGCTTCGCTCCCGTGTGGTACCGCAAATGGATCGTCAAGTAACACGACTGGGTGAACTTTTTCCCGCAGTGCTGACACTCAAACGGCTTATGCCCCGTGTGGAATCTCTCGTGTTTGAGCAGCTCCGCGTGCGAGAAAAAACCCTTGCCGCAGTCCGAGCAGAGATACGGACGCTCTCCCGAATGCGTCAGCTCGTGCCGTGTCAGCGTCGCTTTGTAAACAAAACTTTTATCACACTGAGTGCATTTGAAAACGCCCTCCCTCGTGTGGCAGCGCTCGTGCTTCTTCATGTTACGTTCTCGCTTAAAACCTTTACTGCAAAACGAGCAGCTGAACGCCATTTCCTGAGAGTGGATTTTCAAATGCGTAAGCAAACCTCCTCGGTACAGAAATCCCTTGCCGCATTGGTTACAAACATGCGGTCTGTCTTTTTGGTGGATGCGCTGATGAGAAGTTAAGGCCGATCTATACGCAAAGCTTTTACCGCAAACACATACATGCAGTTTTGCTTCGTGTTGTGATCGCACGTGGGCATTCAGAGCGGCAGTGCTTTCAAAATCTAACTCGCAATGTCGACATTTTAACCGACTGTTCCTCGCTTTGGAGCAAAAAGTCCTCAAATGTCTAACAAACGCAGACTTCCACGCGAAACTCTTACCGCATTTACCGCAAAAATATTCACCGTTTTGCATATGCGTGCTTGTGTGCTCCTTATATTCCGCTAAAGATTTAAAAAGTTCCTCGCAAATCGTGCATTTAAACTCCGAGTCAGTCTTGTGCAGTAATTTGTGTCTTTCTAGCGATTGTTTGAAAGTGAAACGGCAATCACACTGGGTACAAAGATAAGGTTTCTCGCCGGTGTGGATGCGCTGATGGGAAGTGAGGAGAGAGAGGAGTTTGAATGTTTTGGGGCAGTAAGAGCAGCTGTATCGTCCGTCAGTATTTTTTGCCACTGCTTCTTGGGTAGTTTTCTCCGAGTCGGGTTGGGTACAGTGGGATGAGTTAATGTGTTGTTGAACTTGGTCTTGTTCTGGATCTGTGTAGTCACACTGGGGGCATGAGAACACAGTGCCGTCTGTCACAGCACCTAAAGAAAAGCAAAAATACAACATTCACGGAGATTATTTTAAAGAGAGAGTCGCTATAGTGTTGGGGAATAGTGATTACCGTATTTTTCAGACTATAAATCACACTTTTTTTCATGGTTTGGGTGTTTCCTGCGACTTATACTCCAGTGTGACTTATATATTAAAATGTTCACGCTGACAGCCACGAGAGAGGTTCTAGTGTTGTGTGTCAGTATCTGCTGCTCCTGTTCCTCCTGTACCACTGTCACTTGGCTCTACTGCACATGTCTCCTGCAGAAAGAGCCTCTGTCCTGTCTGTATCATGTCAGTCGATCGCACCATTACATCTGTATCACTGAAAATTTAACATTTAAACAAATTTATAAAGACGACAGAAGACAGAACACAAATGCCCTCAAAAAGAAAATCAGATTTTGCAGATTACAAGCTGCAAGTAGCAAAATCTGCAGCTGAAAACGGTAATCCAGCAGCAGAAAGAAAGTTCTAAGCGAAAGAGAAAAGTAAGCGAGAAACTTGTGACACCAGGAGTGATGCACCATGAAACTTTCCTGAAGTCACTGGATGGATGGACAAAGCCTGGACTTCAGTGACACCGAAACCATCCTGTCGGGATTCAGAAAGGCCGGAATAATTCTAACTGGAACTGATGCTGAGTCTGACGACAGCGACACAGAAGAGGAAGCGGCGTCTGTTTACCTCCGGAGGTCGTGGAGTTGCTCAGAAGTGACACAGAGGATGAAGAATTGAATGGATTTAGTGATTTGGAGTGAGATGGAGAGTTTGTTAAACTTGTTCTGTTCTGTTGTTTATGTTATAGTTTATCTGAAGAACTGTTCATATGTGACGTTAACAGTCTGTTGTTCTCTGTTCTGTTGTTATTACTACAACTTGACATGAAATGTCGGTTCCTGGTCTCTGATTTTATAAAATAAATTTGACCCAAAAAGTGCGACTTATATATGTTTTTTTTTTTTCTTCTTGATTACACGTTTTTTGGCAGGTGCGACTTATACTCCGGAGCGACTTATAGTCCGAAAAATACAATATGTAAGAGACAAAACCTAAATGTATCAATATAAAAACAAAGTTGTACTTTTACTAATAGCATGTTTTAATAATAAATAAACATACCTTCCTCCTCTTTCGATGTGGCTGTAGTTGCTCCATATGAATGCTCAGAACTAAAGAAAAGACATTAATAGATTAAAATACTTTCATTAACACACTAAAAATGTATTTAGGACCCATTCTGAATATGGCAAGTTCTTTAAAAACTGTTAAAGGTCCTATATTGTGAAAAACTATGTTTACGTCTTCAACCTTACCTGGCAGTGGAAATACATGTCAGTTTTGTTTTTGGTTTGATTTTTTTTCCAGTTGAGATTTACACTGAATACTTTATTTTACTGCTGCTGATCACACACTTTACTTCTGAATTCAATTCATTAAGTCAAATTTTTGAGAAACTTCTGAAATTGGTTCTTTTTTTTTTTAGTGAGATTAATGGAGCAACTAAACATGAAAGAGGGAGGGTATGATTATTTATTATTAAAACATGCTATTGTAAAAGTCAGCTTGTTTTATATTGATACATTAGGTTTTGTCTTACTAGTTTTTTCGACTATAAGTGCTCGAGTATAAGTCGCACCTGCCAAAAACGTGTAATCAAGAAGAAAAAAAAACATATATAAGTCGCCTTTTGGGTCAAATTATTTTATAAAATCAGAGACCAGGAACGACATTTCATGTCAGTGTAGTATAACAACAAAGAGAACAAAGACTGTAATGTCACATATGAAGTTTTCAGATAACTAACTAATTACAGACAGACAAGTTTAACAAACTCTCATCTCACTCCAAATCATAATCCATTAATTCTTCTCCTCTGTGTCACTTCTGAACAACCCACGACCTCGGAGGTAACAGACGCCGCTTCCTCTCTGTTCGCTGTCGTCAGACTCAGCATCAGTTCCAGTTTTGAATTATTCCGTCTTTCTGATCCCGACAGGATAGTTTCGGTGTCACTGAAGTCCAGGCTTTGTCATCCATCAGTGACTTACGGAAATTTCATGGTGCACCTCTGGTGTCACAAGTTTCTGCTTACTTTTTCTTTCCTTAGAACTTTCTATCTGCTGCTGGATTACCGTTTTCAGCTGCAGATTTTGCTACTTGCAGCTGAATCTGCAAATTGATTTTTTTTGAGTGTTCTGTCTTCGTGTCTTTATAAATTTGTTTTAAATTTAAATTTTCAGTGTACGATGTAATGGTGCGATCGCTGACATGTACAGACAGGACAGAGGCTCTTTTGCAGGAGACATGTGCGTAGAGCCAATGACAGTGGTACAGGAGGAACGGAGCAGCAGAAACTGACACACAAGACTAGGCTCTTCGTGCTGTCGCTGAACATTTAATATATAGTCACCACGGAGTATAAGTCACAGGAAACACCCAACCTGAAAAAAAGTGGATTTATAGTCGATAATACGGTAATCACTATTCCCCAACACTATGTACTCTCCCTTTAAAATAACTTAGTGAATGTTGTATTTTTGCTTTTGTGCTGTGACAGACGGCATGTGTTCTCATGCCCCAGTGTGACTACACAGATTCCAGAACAAGCTCAACAACACATCAAACTCATCCACTGTACCCAACCCGACTCGGAGAAAACTACCCAAGAAGCAGTGGCAAAAAATACTGACGGACGATACAGCTGCTCTTCTGCCCCAAAACATTCAACTCCTCTCTCTCCTCACTTCCCATCAGCGCATCCACACCGGCGAGAAACCTTATCTTTGTACCCAGTGTGATTGCCGTTTCACTTTCAAACAATCGCTAGAAAGACACAAATACTGCACAAGACTGACTCGGAGTTTAAAATGCACGATTTGCGAGAACTTTTTAAATCTTTAGCGGAATATAAGGAGCACACAAGCACCATTGAAAACGGTGAATATTTTTTGCGGTAAATGCGTAAGAGTTTCGCGGGAAGTCCCCTCGTTTGTAGACATTTGAGGACTTTTTGCTCCAAAGCGAGGAACAGTCGGTTAAAATTCGACATTGCGAGTTAGATTTTGAAAGCACTGCCGCTCTGAATGCCACGTGCGATCACAACCGAAGAAAAACTGCATGTTTTGTTGCGGTAAAGCTTTGCGTAAGATCGGCCTTTAACTTCTCATCAGCGCATCCACCAAAAAGACAGACCGCATGTTTGTAACAATGCGGCAAGGGATTTCTGTTACAGAGGAGGTTTCTTACGCATTTGAAAATCCACTCTCAGGAAATGGCGTTCAGCTGCTCGTTTTGCAATAAAGGTTTTAAGCGGAACGTAACATGAAGAAGCACGAGCGCTGCAACACGAGGGAGGGCGTTTTCAAATGCACGCAGTGTGATAAAAGTTGTTTACAAAGCGACGCTGACACGGCACGAGCTGACGGCATTCGGGAGAGCGTCCGTATCTCTGCTCGGACTGCGGCAAGGGTTTTTCTCGCACGCGGAGCTGCTCAAACACAGAGATTCCCACGGGGCATAAGCCGTTTGAAGTGTCACACTGCGGGAAAAAAGTCACCCAGTCGTGTTACTTGAGATCCATTGCGGTACCACCGGGAGCGAAGCCGTACGCGTGCGGCGACTGCGATAAAAGTTTTCTGGGCGAAAGGTTGAAGAGGCCCAGAGGACGCACTCCGGAGAGAGGCCGTATCTGTGCGGAGAGTGTGGGAAAGGGTTCAGACAGTCGTACCATCAAAATGCACCAGAGAACACACGCAATAAGTATGTAGGATACTATTTAAAGCTGCAATCGTGGAACTTTTCTAGTGGAGCGTCCGTCGAATGCTTATGTTCCATGGAGATGTTTGTGTCTTTATTTGCCTGGAATGTTTTGTTCATATTTTTAGGTACATATAGCTTCAATTTAAAAGGATTTCTCACAGTTAGGTCACTTTTCAGTAGCCTGATCATTAACCGGTTTATTCATTTCACTTCGTAGAAACTGTCCGCCTCGCTGCATTAGAATTTGTTCACTCAACGGTAGGCGAGTACTTTTTTTAAATTTAAACAATCGCTGCCTATTTGGTCGTGACGATGTAATGGCTGCTAACGACTGAGTGGTATATTATTAAGTTGTCAGGAATAAGGAGTAATTATGATGACCTGGACCTAGATAGATCACCTCGTTAAACAATCAACGTTTCTTTCACGTACGCCTGTCACGCATCACTGTTTACACCAAAACAGTTCTGCGCTTTGAATCTTCGTTGCTTTACAGACAATCCTGATCTCGCTGAAAGAATAAGGTGATCTGTTTCTTCCGCGTGGCGCGCTGAAGCAGACGCAGGTCTAAAGACTGACGCATGGTCCCAAATTACTCCGGACAGGTTTCTGCTTATTATGAAAACGTACTTTATTTCCAAGAGCTAGTCAAACGTTTTTCAGGACACGAAAGCGATATCCTATGTCTGAAAACGTAATTTTCAGGCAGAAAGAGTCCGCTTGCTGCTGCGTGTTGTAGCTAGTTCATGCACGGAATCCGCGCAGTCGCTTCACTCCTGTTGCCCGTTCCGCTTTCCCCCTTTCCTCACTTCTCGGGCACGGAATCTCCGAGCTCCCTCTCCTCTCTCTCTCCCTGCTCCGCCTTCTCCTGCTCTCAGTTCTCGCAACGAAATGTCCCGCACACCCGCTCTCCCGCTCCTCACTTCTCCGTTGCCTAAAACACTGTAGTTAGTTGTTTACAAGTCATGGCAACCGGCTGTAAACAAACCTGGCGTTAAGAGGAGGCGGGAGAAGGCGTTTTCTACGTAGCTGTAGGGGAGGGGGGTGGTTTCACGCATGCGCAACATTTGAAAAAAGGACAAACAGTCGCCGGTTTCTCGTTCCTTGGATAAGACATTTTACAGAACTGAGAGAAGTCACAACGAACGCAAACGCCGCAACAAATACAATGCAACAACACAACAAAAAGACACAACGGAAATGACTGCAGGACTCTATTTTAATGCAAACGCCGCAACAAATACAAACGCCAACACAAACGCAATGCCCGCAACACATTAAAAGCACAATGGAAGTGAACCGCGGGACTCTTTTTCTGATGGACCAATCAAGCGGCAAGTGAGAAGAAAGAACTACAACGTGAAAAGTAAAGGACGGAGAAGTTGGAAAGTAAGTAAAAGTAATTTGTTGTTTTAATCTTTTTGTTCACGTTGGTTTCTTCTTCACTTCCGCTTGATCGGTCCGCGGAAAATAGAGTTCCGAGGTCCACTTCCATTGTGGCTTTTTAATGTGTTGCGGCATTTGCGTTTGGTTGTGATGTGTATTTGTTGCGCCGTTTGCATTAAAATAGAGTCCCGCGTCATTCCGTTGTGTTTTTTTTGGGTGTTGTGGTTTTTTTGCGTTGCGGCGTTTGCGTTTGTTGTACCCCTCTCGGCCTCTGTACATTTTCCTTATGTAAATGCAATAAAATTTGTTCTCTCAACATGAAAAAATACCAAATTTAAGTCATTGTGTGATTTCTGGCGGAGGGTCTGTCAATACTTTTCTTATGGAGATTCTTGATGGACAGTTTCACAGTGTGCATTAACCTTTCTATCTTCAGGGAGACCAAACCAGACCAAGTACAGGTCAGATCTGTGGAGAGGCGACACTCAGTAGAATGCCTGTTTTTTCTAGGTATTTATAAATGATAAAATCACCCATAAATGTGTAAATGTAAGGTAGAGCTGTTTAATGTCATACTGTGGAACATTCCAGGCAGAGCAATGACAAAGTTACACAGTGCACCTTTAACTCTTGACTTTTAACTTCAAATGAACTGTCTGAAGTTAATTGTATGTACAGCGATCAGTGCGAGTGCTGGGGTTGTGTACTTTTGTGTGATTGTTGCTGTACTTTTCCCTTTCCTCTATTTGACATCAACTGCTGAGGGACTGAAGATGGAAATGAGCCACGTTGGCTTTAATTTAACATAACATTTTTAAATATTCATGAATGTGTTGTCCCTTTATAAATAAATAAATTAGAAAAGTAGAAATGTATTGTTGTAGGGGAACGAAATTAAATTTAATGGAACATAAATTTTCCAATAATTACTTCGAAGTGGTAAATATGTTTGTGAACAATTAAATATATATTATTATTATTATATTATTAAATATATATATATATAATTATAACCCTGTTTTCACATATCACCTCTAGATGTTATCTACATTACTGCTACGTTAGTGCGTCAGCTTTGGCCAGGCATAAAAAACCTGAGAGCACAGGTGAGTCTGAACAAAGGTGAAGGGAGGGGCCAGGTGAAACAGGATTTTTATGTAATCATTTACTCCTGCTCACAGAGCCTTTCTGTTTAAAAGTGTAAAAAGTGCACCTACAAACTGTCAGGATCACAGCGCCGTGGCTGAGGACAGAGGTACGAGCGTGTTTGCAGCTCTGTGGAGCACATGACGTGGAGTGGCTCGGTTTGGTTCTGTCTGCGTGGACACACTTTGTTCCCTTCTTTGTGCAAAACTACAACTGTTACAGCACTGAGTTAGATGCAGCTTATCTGAGCATGTCCCTATTGTGATGAGCGAAGACTAACAAAATGAAAAAGAGAGTACGGCCTTTCTCTTTAGAACACAGGAGGAAGTTCTTTTGTTGTATTTTTCTCTGTTTAAGGCTACATCACACAGTTGGTTCATGTGTGTAATTTGGTGTTCAGCACCACGGACAGTTACACCTGCCACGCGCACAATTGCCGTCGAGTTTGCAAAAGTTTTGTGGATATGATTGTAATAAACTTCACCTGTTCTTATTGTTACACGATACTGCATCGGCCTCGCCGATGATGACGCAGGTAATTTAATTTGTATTTTTGTTGGGATTAATTTAAACATTTATTTAAATGGAAGTGTTCCGGGCATGTCCCACCGGGAGGAGGCCCCGGGGAAGACCCAGGACACACTGGAGGACTATGCTCTCGCTGGCTGGGAACCCCGGGGTTCCCCCGGAGGAGCTGGAGGACGTGTCTGGGGTGAAGGAAGTCTGGGAGTCCTGCTAGATGCTGCCCCCGGCCCTGGATAAGCGGAAAAAATGGATGGTGGAGGCATTTATTTAAATTAACAAGATAAATAAAATGATTTTTTGTGTTTACAGTAAAGATTGTATGGCATTATTGAAAACAAATAAAACAATAAGGAATTCCAACAACATCTGGAGAGGCTTGAGGCGTGCTGTTCAGAACCTGGCGCCGCAGCTCTCAGTTTCAGGCACAGAATGAGAAGATACACTGATGGTCTAGTCAGTCTGTGAGTCACACAAAACAGGGCAGAATGTTGACTTAACCTCCGCTTCCTGGGTCACACTGACCCAAGAAATGTTTTTTCCCGCGCCTTGGGGTGGGTCAATCAGACCCAAAAATTTATCTTCAAATAACTTCTCGTCAGGCGAAAAAATAAATCAGACAGTGGAGCAGCGCACCCTTGTGGTGACAATCATAATCCGTGCAGCCACAGAGAACTAGGAAAGCTGCAAAACCAGCCATTTTGGATCAAGAGCTGTTCTGACACTGAAAAAAATACAACCTAATACATAATTACCATTGTAAGAGTTATTTTTTATTTATTAATACTTTGTCATTTTTAGGGAATGAATACGCAGCACTTTCATAACAAAATATAAGACTAACATAAAAAACCAGCAGAGGCAGACTACTGTTCATAATAAATAGTGTATACTGCAATTGTATAGGTAGCTATAGTAAAGTCAATAATTAGTAAAGTAAGCAAAATATTCTACAACTTGGTCATAAATGAGTCAGATACATACTATAAACTAAAAAGTAAAATCAGAAGTCTATTTCAGCGTAATTTCAATGTTGAAATATTCGGGATAATTATTCATAGTGACTGTCTCATAAAGATGATAAGTTTCTCCTCTGGGCGCGGATCCTGACCCAACATTACAATATTAACAGACCTCAAACGACGATATGATGTACCAAGTCAGGCGTGAAATACGTCACATTTAAACATTTTCTGAGCAAGATAGTATTTTTGTGTTACAAGCGGAAGAGGGGAGGTTCAAGCTACATTTTAAATCAGACCTTTTCAAATACGCTAAAATACATTATATTTGAAAAAGATGGAATGAACACTTTTATAGGACAAATATAACGAAAGGGTGTCTGATTGTGTGTGCTTGAACTTAAATGGCGTGGGGCATATAAAAATATAAATAACATTAACAAAACAAGATGTCTTATCTTTCTTCATAATTCAAGATAACTATTTTGAGCTTCTTTCTCACTTGAATTCTTACAACATCAATCATATTGCGTTGGGATCCCAGGTTTTCCACATATTTTACTTCATGGCCTTTACAGACAAATAAAAGGATGGAGTGATAATCTCAACCCAGATTAAAGACCTTTACAGGAGTCATCAACGGGAGCTCACAGTGTTAACTTCTCTCCAATTATGTCTCTTTTTTAATTTTATCCTCATGATTATTTATGTTTTATTTGTTTTATTATGATTTTAATGTATTTCTTATTTGTAAGCACTTTGAATTACTTTGTGTACGAATTGTGCTATACAAATTAACTTGCCTTGCCTTAACTAGCGCTGTTTAGATGTACTTTGAGAGAAAAATGTCAAACCTGTATTCCGCATTTACTAGACCAAGACGTCATCTAACACCTCCGCTCTCTATGGGTCACACTGCCCGAAGAAAGATTTTTTTTTTCCCTTCGCGCTCTTGGGTTTATGTGGGACTGGGCAAAAGGCCACTTAGAAAAACACAGATGACAGTTTAGAGAAAGAAAGAAGGTGGATACTTTTATTGTCCCGAGGGAATTCCGTTTTGCTCACGGCTTTGTGTCTTAGTCAAAGGTCTCATGCAGTTCACAGAATCATGGATACTACTGGAATATGTTTATTTTTAACAATTCAACTTCATTGATAAAACCGTTTGTTATTATTTTGGAAATCAATATGATCCGCACGCTGTCTCAGTCTTGCTTTTCTTTTCTGGTTTTATCTCAGGAAGGGAGGGAAGGTCTGAGGAAGACCAGAGGGACAGTGTGTAGTAAACTTCTTGAAAATCTTTTAAAGGATTCAGAAGATAGAGAAAATGAGGGATTGCGGTCAGGTGAAGTGGTGTCTGAAAACAGCACCAAAACATTCCGGTCCACAGTCAAAAGTGTGGCACGGACGGCAGTATGCATGGGCGTAGTGGATCTGTGTGCCTTTGTGGCGGGTTGTGGGGTTGGTTTTCAGCCTTCCACGAGTTCCTGTAGACCACCCTGTTACCAGTAGTCAAGGAGATATGTTCGGCTTTGCACCAAATGTCGAACTTCATCTTTTTTAAAATCAAAATGGAATAAAACACCTCCCTAACAAGAGCTTGAGTGATACTTGAATTCTTAATACGAAGTACTATTTGGTCCCTGGCACCTGACTGGTTGGGTACGTCTCCGTCTGTGCTGAGCTGGCTCCGATGTTCGTTGTGCCGTGGTTGGAGGATTGACGTCCCGCTCCTCCAAACCCCTTTCTGATCCGCCAACGCCTTGTCCAGTAAAAGTCCTGTGCGCCTGTTCCTGTCTACATCTTCAAAGCTCAGTTCAGTTCAGTTTAAGAGAAGAACTCGACTTAAATATGCAGGATTTGTGTTAAACATGTGTGAAAGAAACACTGAGGGAACATTATAATAATATAATATCACAAAATAGTGTCATAGTGGCCATTTAAAAGGTTAATTGTTTTAGATGGAGATGTATTAATTAAATAAATCTACAGTAATTGATAGAATTATGAGACAAAACTTATCAAAATCCAGTCTTTATTTTTTTTTCTACAGAGAAAACATAAACTTTGAAACAGGATAGATAGCACCTTTGGGTAACACTGATATGAAAATGCACAGAACAGTAGTATACAGACCAAATGGACCATTGAAAGCTTACACATTTTTACGTTTTAGTGTTGGGAAAGTTACATCATTTACAGACAAAATATTCAGAATGTTAATAAAAGTTTTACATGGATCTAGGTTCAATGCGTTTTAAAAAGTTAAGCAAAAATGTATTCATACTCTTGCTGCTTATGCGCAGTTGAAGGATTGTGTAACTTTTTGGTTGGCCGTTTCTATGGATACGTCATTGCTCTGCCTGGAATGTTCCACAGTGTGACATTAAA